ACTCATCGGGTTTGCGATACGGGGTGGAAATACGCCCGGAGCTGAGAATCGACTTTGCGCCATCGAACTGCCGTTTGCCAATCTCGTAGCACGACTTTGCGCCCCCATCGTTGAGACCGAAGAACGGACCGCGACCGTGGCAATCCTGCGATCTCCCGCCACAGGTGCTGTCGTTGAGACGGCACTGCGTGTTGGAGCCGTCTTCACACCAAGCGCCTTGGACGTTGGGTGTAGTGTCTCCGACAGTGGATTGCGAAAATCCCGCGACAAAGCCTTCTGCTGCGTTGGTGGCGTCTGCGTTGGCCGCAACGTCTTGCTCGAGAAGGTAGGCGGCTACACCCTTGTTGTCGCCCGCGATGAGTGTTTGATTGCCTAGTAGACTGGTACCGTGGACGGCAAACCAATTGAGTACACCAATGTTCTTGCCGTCGCTGGCTCGTGCCAATTTCAAAAGCGTCATGGTTTTATCCACGTCGTCGGGGTAGCGGTCGCGTTCAGATGGTGGGTTCGCGAGATAGGCGAACAGGCTGCGGTTGATGTTTGCGTCTGCGATTCTGGTGCTTCCCACGCTGACCGTGCCTAACTCGAGACCTTGGTGGGCGCGCTGGATGGAGAGGATGGAACCGGCTACGATGGCCTCGTAGCTTTGCTTGTCAAAGCCCAAGCTGGTGATTTGGGGGAGGAGGTAGTTGAGCCATGCTCCCGGACCAGCGTGACTATGTGTGCCTGTGACGGCTACATTGTCCTTGGTATACACCGAGTATTCTGGGCCCAAGGCTTGAAGACCTTCCAAAATGCCATTTCGAATCGCAGTATCGCCTGATGATGTGTCTAGCACCAGATATACGACACGTTCGCTGCTCTCACTGGGGTTTCCCATGATGAAGGCGCGCGAGTAAATTCGTTGGCGCAAGCCCGTTCCAATCTGCGACGAGTTCGCATAGCCCATCATATTGAGTTCGACGACAGGTCTGGTATCCGTCAGGACTGATAGCTATCTATCTACTCATCCCGCCCAGTGACGTACCCAGTGATATCTGCCTTGCCCACGCCGACGAGATAGGACGAGGGATCATCAACCACCTCGTCGCCACTCTGTTTCGGACCCAGAAACGAGTCTTGGTGGACCGGTCCTCCATGGTAAATCTGATCTAGTCGGGCATGCCAGAAGTCGGGGGCCGGGAAGCCCAGATTGATGACCAGCTGTCCGATGATAAAAGAGGCGATGAGGGCGGCGCCCAGGGCGACAGCAACATGTGAGCGCGCCATGCCCTCAAGCCAGCGATGCTCGATGTTGGCGGAAGGGTGCGGAAGAAGAAAGTGCGGCGCATCTGGAGGAGGCGTTGAGCATTGGTAAATATAGTAGGAGTACAGGCAGATGGGGTAAGCAGAAGAGCAGAAGAGACTACCAGCGTTGTACTACGTTAGTATAACAGACCAAGTTAGTACCCAAGACAGGTCAGGTACACCGTACACCGTACATACAGGCTGTAGAGGATAGTACCGGTATGTAGGCGTATGTACTCCCACTCCTTCTCACCAATCCATAAAGGGCAGCCGGTTACTCTACCGGATAGACAAGTCCAAGGGAGGGGGCATACCATACCTACTACACCCTACCCTGTCGCAGGCACATGCATCATAATGACTGTTGGGCCATGGTTGCAGCTGTCAAAAGCCCACAGTCCACAGTCCTCAGTCCACAGTCCACAGTCCACAGTCCAGAGTCCACAGTCCACACACACACACACACAAGACTTGTCGTCTCCACTTGCTCCATCAGTTCCAAGGTTGTGCTATTCATTGTCCCATGATGCCATGGGGTTTGCATCAAGCAGCCTGACCTAGGTACCGGCATTGTACGAGTATACGAAGAAGGATGCCTGAAGTGTCTGGCGGGCCGGCGCATGACGTTGGCTGCTGGCGGGGGGTTGTGCAATGCTGGATAGTGTTGCGTGGTTGCGTGGCCGGTTATTGGGTTGGTTGGTTGTCTTTGGCGGGGGGAAAAAGAGTGGCCGGCCTGAATCTGCACGTCCCCCCTTCGGTCCCCCGTCTCGTCTCGTGTCGTCTGTCTGTCTGTCGGGGGCATATCAATTGGCAGTGCCAAACTAGATCGCTTTAGCCTTTTGCGACTTTCTTCACTCCTCCGCCAATATTGTCCATTGATCATCTCCAGCCGCCCTGCCGATAGCAGGATACATACCTACCGGTACAACACCCACCCGTTCCCCAAGAAACTTGTCCAATACAATCCCCAGCCTTTTTTTCGGCCGCTCTCCTGCACGCCTCATCACGCGCCATGCCTCTCATTCACGACTCCTATGACCATCTTCCTTGTACGTCTTTTCTTCGTACTCTGTCCAATCTACAACACCCCAACACCCCAACACCCCCCACCCCAGAAACAGACCCATGTCCGATGCACGCTGTGCGAGGGGGGAGCATCCAACACACATCACCTGATTGTCTTGCCTCCTACGCGAGATATTGATCGTTGTCGTTTCGCCATAGCAGACAGTCGTATCACGAGATACATCGCCAGCAAATCCCATGCGCTAACCTTGCCCCTTCCCTCCTCGCAGACATAGATACCCTGCTCGACGACCAGAGCCTCGCAGCTGCCCAATCCGTCATTGCGGCTGAGATACGGAGCGCAGGCATCGACACCTCGGAACTCCACCCTGCCCTGATCCCAGCCGCAAAATACACACCTACCTTTTCCGACTTTGTCGAGCGAGAGCACGCAAGACTCGATGACGACCCCTCCTCCAAGATGAGCGGCATCGATCTCAAGCGCTACGAGGACCTTGATGCGCCCGACAACACCACACCCACAACCGACCAAGACCGCCCCGAGTTACTCGAGCAGTGGAACAAAGCCCTCAAGCAAGCCTACACAAGCTCGGAATACGTCCAGGGCCGTCTGACCCAACTCGGGCTGCTGGAAAAGTTTGGTAAGAATGCTTGGCTCGTCGGGAATTCGCAGTTGGAGGATGTGCTCAAGGGGATCGAGGCCGAGTTGGCGCAGGTGCGGGAGTGGCAGGAGCAGGTCGAGGCGTATCGAAGGAGTCAGCAGGAAGCTGTCCTTGGCGAGATCAAGACGCTGGAGGAGACGTGGAAGAAGGGTGTGGGACGCGTCCTGGAGACCGAGGTTGCCGCCGAGGCTTTGAAACAGCAGATTCTGGACAAGAGAAGGGCGGGTGCCGTTTAGCAGTGTCTGTTTTCCCTTTTTCTGTCCTTGAGAGGAGTTTTAGAATGCATGATACCCAACGATGGAATTTACATTGTACTCGTTTCAGCTCTGTTCTGCACGTGTAATGGTTGTGCTAAACTAATCAAGTAGAAAAGATACCTATGTAAACATTTCTACCCTCTTCAAGCTATCTACAACCCTGCCCCCACTCCATCACAACTTGGCCGAAACCACACTCCCCCCATCCAACGTGATCGTCGCCCCATTGACATACGCCCCAGCCCGACTACTCAAAAACAGACACGTCCCCGCCACATCCTCCGGACTCCCAATCCTACCCAGCGGCACCCCACTCTCAATCACATGCTGAAACTTTTCCAGCGTCGCCTTCATCATCTTGCTCTCAAACGGCCCACACGCAATCGTATTGCTCGTGATGCCACGCTTGCCCAGATGGCTCGCCAGCACCCTGCTCAAATGGTGCAGTCCGGCCTTGGAGGCCGAGTAGGCAAATGTTTCGAGCGCGGGGACGCGCAGACCGTCGACGCTGCCAATGTTGATGATGCGCGAGGGGGAGGCTGGGGTGGAGGCGGCGACGAGGAGCGGGGTGACGGCTTGGGTGAGTTGGAAGACGCGTTTGAGGTTTAGGTTGAGGACGCGGTCCCAGGCTGCCGAGGGGTAGGTGTCGTAGGATTGGCCCCAGTTGCTGCCGCTGTTGTTGACGATGACGTCGAGTTCTGTTTCAGCGGGTGGTTAGCTATGATTACTTTTCAGAGCGTTTTCTCTGCCCACGATGTGGTGGTGATGGCGGAGAATCAACTTACTTCCCTCCCGCTTCTTGAGCTCATCGGCTATCTTCTGGATTTCCTCCTCCTTGTACAAATCCGCGGGGATGAAATCCGCCTTGCCTTTGCCCAACGCATTCATCTCCTTGCAGGCTTGTTCGCACGCTTTGGCGTCACGGGAAGATACGTAAACGGTGGCGCCATTTTGGACAAAGCCTTCGCTTATCATGCGGCCGATTCCCTTTGCGCCGCCTGTCACCAGGACCACTTTGCCCTGCAATTCTGTTAGTTTGTGTTATGTGGCCTCGAGGGTTGGCGTGCTGTGATATCAAGATGGTTGAAGAGGAAAGCGTGGAGCAGTGAGGCGTAGTACGTACTTTGACGTCGAACAAGGTTGAGCTATCCATTCTGTGTGATATGCTTGGATGTAGAAGAAATGTACAAGAAAGAAGAAAAGTAGTTAGGAGACATTGTCGGCTGTTGGATCGTCTTTGGTAGTCTGCCGGCGCAGGAAGCTGGGGTTGAGCCGAGGCTCGGAGTTGGGTTCTTCCACTCCGTTTGGATCGTGCGAGTAGTTAGAGTGGGTTGCTTCGTATCGTGTTTGTTGTGCACTCTTCATTCGCAGTCATCGCGTCCTTGTGTTCAGAGCGGAATTAGGGCGAGATCATTTTGGACGATTGTTTATCTGCTGAACGACATGTTTATTTCTCCATTAACTCTAGAGAGCAACTTGCACTCATGTGCTTGACCCACTCCGATGCCTACCTATTACCAAGCCAGTGCATCTTTCATGATTGCAAGTTTGAGGTTAAGGTGCCGACGAGAAGTGTGAATGCGGCCTCTCGCAATTTCACTCAATCTAGATGCAGTGGCCGCTGAGCACATTTCCATTCCAGCTCACGACACCTCCAGTACCATATCTAGAGTCTTTGGTTACGGTACCATCTCCGCCATTCCATTTCCATGACCGAGAGTGCCTCAGTTTGTACGGTGCCGACGCAGGTTGCTTTTCACCAAGTCCAATAGGATCATCACGATCCGTTTCAGAGTTACTTCATTGCTCTCGTAGCATCGATCAAGTCGATCAATCATCCACACGGGTATTTGAGTCCTTGTCGCATAAGGAGAGAAGCCGTACCGGTACAGTACAAGTCTGGATCTCGGTTTCTGATAAACTTACCACAAGCAATATATCCCGCTGGTTTCTACTTACCCAACGGAGCCCATGGACGAGGTCCCTAGGCACTCTACTGTGCCAACCTTGTCCGCATTTAATCAATAGCATCCCGATGCTACTTCCGTGTCTCCCTGAGAGATACCCTTTCAGTGGCACAGCCTCACATGTATACCTAAACCAAGTCCTTGCCGACCCTATTTATTCTTGAACTGTGGAAAAACGCGATGAGACGCGCCTTTCGGCCACCACTAGATACAAGGGTACCATCACTTAAACGAGCTTGCAATTACCATTCAGAAAAAGTATCGATACTGCAGCCTGTGGTGAATTGTACTTCCAAATCTGCGCGCGCAGGATGACTTGCACAATTCGTTCATCAAGACTCAGGACCATTCCTTGCCACTCCCACCACGATGGCTTGGCTATACTCTCGGACAGAATATGTGGGATCTATTCATGCTAGACAGACTGGAGAAGATGGATCCCTCGAACGAATATGTCAAGGAAGGGCCTTGTTGTACAGAGTAAGACCTGGCGGAATTGTCGAAGAACTTGCTTATGGAGTACATACAGTACAAAAAAGCGCTCATTTCGCTACATCCAGGACAGATTGCTAGTGTAAGATTGCCAGATACGAAAGCTTTCAATTTCATCAAAGGCAAAGGTCAGGGGTTGATCATCTTATTACATGGGCATCCTGGAGTTGGTAAACGCTCACTGACAAAACTACCTATTGTTCTTGCGACAGTATTGCCTCGGTGGCTGAGATCGACGTAGAGTATCAGCAAGCCGAAAGGAATCTGACGGGGGTCTTTATGGACAATGCCTGTAACGCTGTGAGCGTAGTGGTATCATCTGAGGATGCTCGTATAGGTATAATCACCATGGAGTGAGTTATTCTGCTACTCAACAGTTTCGTCTCATCGCGCTCCGACTTCTTTTTGATGCTGCGACAACTAGCGCAAGGGACCATGAATCAGCAACAAAAATCACCGAAAAACGATTATCATGCCTAGACTTCAGTCGCTGATTCGAGCAAACATTTCACATGGCAATATGCACCCTTCAAGCCGCGGTTGCAATGTACCATCCCGTCGCCAGCTTCGGCAAAAAATATAGCATGCAGATACCATGTACGAGCGATAGCCTCCCCAACTTGCACCATGTTTCGAACTACTTCCAATGGTTTGGAAAGTCTCGGAAAACAGAAATTCTGTAATGTTTTTAAGTTTATCGGAAAGTTTTAGAATGGATGACGTCACAGGTGAAAGTCCCAAACACCATGGATGTAGAACGATCGATTCAGAGGCCATGGCGAAACGGCCAGATCCGCTCGATCGAGTTACCGTGCTTAATGGCAAATTGGCTCGAAAGAATCTGGATCATGGGCTAGGTACTTACTCTACTCTACGTCTGTTGGACACTTTTGACGTTATCCTCTTGGCCGAATCTGGCCGGTTAACTATCTCACCCCAGCCATAGCCGTACTTTGGCTGACTGTGCATTTACATGTGCATACAACTGCATGATTTTATCCATCACAGGTTTCAACGTCTCACAACAGGCTCCCTTGTCTTGATACTGCTGCAAAACGGCATTATCTGATCTCTTGGATCGCCTTTGGTTGATTACATGCCTAGGGAAGATGGTACCCGCTTTTCTCTGAGATTTTGATAACAAGTTAGCGGCGGCCGATACATCGGATTTGTGTACCGGCGATAGGAGAGTGGATACGTCCGATGTCCATTTTTGAATTATAAGCAATCGACGTCATGATCAAAGAAAGTTTTTGCGCACGTCTAGGTTGTTGTTGTTGGAGAGGCGGACTTGCGGGTATTGGAAGTTGGTGCTGGGTGGGTGAGATATATAACGAGTGCCGTACTCTCTTCTCCTTGGAAGACTCATCTAAATCCCAACTTACCACAAGTTCACAACAAAACCAAACCTGACTTGAGCAAATTTCCAGCATCTTGCAAAAACACTTCATCGGTATCAGGGAAAAACACATACAAACCACATCACCACCATGCCCAGCTTCACAGTCTTCAAGGGCAGCAAAGATGGCAAAATCGTCAAAGCCCAAACCACACGCCCCGACCTCCAAAACGATGACGTCCTCGTCAAAGTAACCGCCTCCGGCCTCTGCGGCACAGATGAACACTACAAGCACGCCGACATGGCCCTCGGCCACGAAGGCGCCGGCATCGTCGAGCAAACCGGCCCCAACGTAAAGAACCTCCAAAAAGGCGACCGCGTCGGCTGGGGCTACGAGCACGACTCATGCGGCCACTGCGACCGCTGCCTCACAGGCCGCGAAACGTACTGCGAAGAGCGCAAAATGTACGGCATGGCCAACCTCGACCAAGGTAGCTTTGCCTCGCACGCCGTCTGGCGCGAAGCTTTCCTTTTCAAACTTCCAGACAGCATTTCCGACACAGATGCCGCCCCGCTCATGTGCGGCGGCGCCACCGTCTTCAACGCCCTACACACCTACGGCATCAAACCGACAGACCGCGTGGGCGTCATGGGCGTCGGCGGCCTCGGCCATCTCGCCATCCAATTCGCCGCCAAAATGGGCTGTTCCGTCGTCGTCCTCTCCGGCTCTTCCGACAAAGAGCAAGAAGCTCGTAATCTCGGGGCCACCGAGTTCCTCGCCATGAAGGGAAAATCAAAACTCGAGCTGTCTCGGAAAATTGACGCTTTGCTTGTCACTACGAGTGTGAATCCCGATTGGAATCTCGTGTTGCCACTTATGGCTATGAATTCCATTATTTTCCCCATGACGGTGTCGGGGGGTAATTTCGAGATTCCGCATATGCAAATGTTGCAGCGTGGGATCACGGTGCAGGGCAGTGTTGTGGCGGCGCGGGCGGTGCATCGCAGGATGCTTGAGTTTGCGGCTTTGCATAAGATACGCCCGATTACGATGGAGTTTCCGTTGAGCGAGGAGGGGATTGAGGAGGCCATGGGGACGCTGAGGGAGGGGAAAATGCGGTATCGTGGGGTGTTGAAGCCGCAGGAGTAGGTGGGGATTGTGTGTGTGTGAGTGTAAAATGTTGTTGTAAGATTGTAAAGCTTGATGCTGGTAATGATAGATTTACGAATCCCAATAATGAATCTAATAATGATCGAGTATTCTTCTTGTCATGGACATCTTGTCATGGACATCAAAATGAAGTGAGAATAATATTTTACTGTTAGGAATCGCGATTCACCAACATCTTAAGGATTCGACAAGAGCAGATGTGAACTATCACTTCATACCAAACCCGGCATCAAAGGCGCTAAACGGCGCCGCCAAAAACCCATGATTGTTGGTTTTGCGGCTTATCCAACAAAGCGTATCAGACGAAAATAAGATAAAAGAGAAACACGCAATATTTAGTTTTTTTAACAAGACATTGCTCCAGGAGCAATGGTAACAAGAAAGCGAATTAACAATAATTAATACGGTGCCTGGGCTCTATACCATGCCGGCACTCTCAACCGACATGCTTGCATTATTCGCTCGGTGCGCAGCAGCTTCGTACAAGGCTTTGATGTCTGCTTGCCACATTGTCGTATTCATGCGGATGAAGTTGCGATCATACGTCATCATTCCATTGACCTCGCCTTCGACATCGGTCGTCTGCGTCCAAACACCGCCAGAGCAGGCAAACAGGTCGATCTGCTCGCGTAGCTGGGTCAGAAGATCATGGGCCCGGTAGTTCCAGGCAGCGGTTGAGTTGGCTAGTTCATAGGCGGTCTGTCGGCCTAGATCGGTGTACCAGGTGCTGCATGTCATTAGTGAACGTCTCTCAAGCACGGATATGATTCGACTTACTGTACACCATCAAACTGTGTGCCAATACCGCCAAATTCGCCTTGGAAACCAATTCGTGAGGGATCATACGCGGTATTGTACCCGCTCCCTTGGTTTGACCAGAAGGGCGTTCCACACTGTGGTGTAGAGTAGTGGTGGTTGTCCTGAGACATGGTCAGTATCTTTCTGCATTCTGACGAACCGAGCGTGCAAAGAAAATGTCATGATGAAGCTTACATCAAAGTCACCAGCCCCATGATCCGTCCAGCCACTGACAGAATTGATGAGCCTTGTAGGGTCGAGACTGCGAACCATGTCTGTCAGTGGGAACTCGGGCCATGGCGGGCTCGTAGCCTGACCCCACTCCTCGTTGTATATTGTCTGGCAGTCGTGTGAGCAAGATTCTCTCGAACAGATACTAGTAGCATACCCATGCGAAGATACTAGTGTAGCCCTTGAGCTGTTCCACCATCAGAGCTAGTTGCCTGTTGAACTCGGCTTGCGCCTCTGGATACAGTCGCTGACTACCGCAAGCTGTACCATCGGGTACGTCTGGTCGCAAAGAAGGCATGTCTTGCATGACCAGTATACCCATCTCATCGCAAGCTCGGTAGTACAATGCAGGCTCAACCTTGATGTGCTTGCGCACCATATTGTACCCCACACTCTTCAGCACCTTCAGGTCGTACACCATGGCCTCCACACTTGGCGGGGTGTAAATGCCGTCTGGCCAGTATCCTTTACAAGCATATTAATATCGAACGGTGCTATGAGCAGACTCGGTAATTTACCTTGATCGAGCGTTCCAAATGGGAATATGAACTCTCCGTTAAGCAGAGGTCGTTCTACACCACCCACAACGCCTTTGGACACGGTTCTGAATCCAGTGTAGCTCTGGATCACGTCGTTCCCAAGATTGATTGTAATATTATACAAGTTTGGGTTGTCCGGATTCCAGAGCCTCGGATTGTTCACAGTGAATGTAAAAGGGGCGTCACTCGTACCAGTGGCTGTCGCTTTGGCAGTATCCGAGCCAAGATCGTGTATCACGATCTCGTAGGGTTTCGGAGACTGGGCATTACTGTGGACCGTTACGTTGACTGGATGTTGTTAGCACTATCAGTCACTTGGGCGTTCTGCCCTCACCTGTCCCATCCATATCTGCTGTGAGATCCAGTTTAGTGATGTACTCTGCAGGTACTGACTCCATCCATACAGTCTGCCAGATGCCGCTACAGGGAGTGTACCAGATCATTCCACCACGGCTTATGGTTTGTTTCCCAATGGGGATTTGGTATCTGTCAGAATCAGTTGGATCGAATACATAAACCATCAGTTCGTTGGAACCATTGACGTTGAGGTATGAGGTAACGTCGATGGTGAACTCGAAGTATCCGCCTGTGTGACTGCCAGCTTCTTTGCCATTGACGTAGATTGTGGAATTGTAGTCGACAGCCCCAAAGTTCAACAATACTCGGTTATTTCCAGACCAAGATGAGGGTACTTCAAAGGAAGTCTGGTACCAGCTTGAAATCTTTCCGGGTCCCGTGACGCCTGTTCCCTGTAAGCCATGGCGCATGTCATGCTTGCAGTGAAGCTTACCTGAAAGTGCACTTTCGAGGCAGAACGGCACGAGGACTGGTTTCTCGAGCCTCTGGCCGAATGGTGGGGACGCATTGGAGCCACCCGCACCGTCCCTATATCTCCACACGCCATTGAGATTCTTCCAGGCTGAGCGTACTAGTCGCGGGCGGGGATATTCAGGCCATGGATTTGTCCCGACTTGGTCTGTCCAGTTTGTTTTCAAGGGAGTAGGTCCAAGCTGGTAGTCTGTCTCGTTCGAGCTTTGGCGCTGAAAAATTGTGCCTTGACTCGTCACTGCCAGTGTAGCTGTGACAGTGAGCAGACTGAGGATTCTCAACGGAAGAAGCATCCTGCTCAACTAAGTCGCTTTCGTACGACTCCAAGCGAACCAACGTCTGCAGAGATAATGGCTACGAGGAAGATGGAGACGCCAGGTACTGATATTTAAGGTATAAAAATGTACGGGTGACTGTGATTAGTGATGTGGTTGTATTGACCACACAGTCTGTATGCTGACCTTCACAGGCCCATGTTAGCGGCGGGATTACTGCAAGCCCCAGTCGATCACTGCAAGGCAAGTGCGCTGCTTAGCAGAAAATCAAACGGTTTGGGGGAGTCATTTGGCGTTGGCCGCTGACCTCCCATGTAAACGGAGGAAGCTACGGTCTGCGGCCAACCCTGGAGTCCAGGCAGGGATATGTGCATGTGTCGTGGCTCGGACATGGCCCACATGGGTATTGGAGTAGGTAGATAGGAGCCACCATGTAGCGCAATACTGCCAACCTTGTGTATGTGCATCTACTGTACGGTGTCAGATGAGATGGAGGTTGTCCGCTGTTTGTCTTGGCTTGTGGGCGTTGACTATCCAGGGAGATGCTCCTCTATCAGCGGTATTGTTTTTAGACCCCAACAGTTTCAACCATGGCGAAGGTTTGGCCGGGCAACACTGTATAGGACTAAGGAGGCATAGAAATACACGTTTTTCATGTCAACAGTCGTAATTCGGTATTGGCTGAAAGATGCACAGGACGGTCCTACGGTACCGGTATGAGTGCGGGGTGCGGGCATCTCAAACTCTCCCCGATGTTGGGCTGTCCGCCGATAGAGGTAGGTACCGGTACCCTAGGTAACTAGTCGAGGCCATCTTGCAGAACATGGCATGGCTGTGGGAACCAGCGGTGAGGTGACTTTGGTCTGTCTGCCAAAGCGAGGCTGCAGAGAGATCGGGCGGGCGAGGCTTGCTAAGGGCGGGCGAAAAGCTGTGGATAGGATGGAGCAGGGAGGGGCATTTTCGCAATGATGTTGAGGCCAGGGATGATGGTGGGCGTCTACCCCGCATCGCTTGGCGCATGCGAAGGGAGTCCAGGGCCTGGAGGGAGGGAGGAAGGAAGGAGCGATGGTTACTTCGCGCAAAATAGGAAGGAGCTGTGCAACGCGACTCCGAAGCACCTTCTTGAACCGGTAAACAGCTCATCCATAGCTTTAATTGGAGAGAAGCCATCTGCTGGTCGCAATCCATGACCGATAAACTAGATCCCTCGCCTAGCATCCATATCGTTGTTCCTATACCTGTGCCTATCCAAGTCAATCCTGGTATAAAACTTCTCCGTGCCCTCGTGCGCTGGTCCAACGTCTCCTCTGCCTTGTGACCTCCACCAACCAGCAGTCTATTCCCCTCCAAGCATCCTGTTCGCGTGACGCGGTAGGTACCCCCACCCAAACCCACCATCATCCCTTCGACCCTCAGCGGGACCATCCTCTCCCGTCCCGCTCACAACGACTTCTCGGCCGTGCCGTCATTCTTGTGCATCATGGTCGCTGCATGCAGCCCGGATGTGGGGCCAACGACGACACGCTTTCGCAATACGAATAACGATGCCTTGCCATCGTGAGTGGCGCAGTGCCCAACAGCAATCGGATGGGATCTCGCATCAAGCTTAGCCAAAGTGAGATCGATCATTAGTGAAAGAGCAGCTCTGCGCGAATTTTCATGGATACAAGAGGAATGGTTTGGCCCAGGGCTTGTATTTGCTAGCTGACGAGGTTGGCCTTGATGGGCTGGTCGGCCGCACCCCCGCAAACGTCGGCGACTTTGGCGACTTTGGCGACGTTGGTGATCCCAGGGGACCGCTCGACCCAGGTGAGATGGGCGACGCTGGGGGAATGGCTGCTTTCCTCGGAGTATCGTACGACGTGTTGATGAAGGGCGGTGTCACCCGTTCGACCGTTCGCACCGAAGCGCTGTCGTCCTCGTCGATTCCCGATAGCGTTGTACGATCCGAAGAGTACGGATTGAACGTCGAATTGGCTCGTATGAAGGAGGTTGTGGACGAGCGGATCGTGTCCGTGTCACTGCCTGAACTCATCGTCGACATAGTTCGGAGCGATGCTATGCTAGATGCTCTATCAGAGCCAGAGGTGGAGGATTGTGCGATTCCAATGTCATGCTTGTGTGCACCACAATGAATGTCGGGTATAGTGGTAATGGTACACAGAATCCCAAGTAGCTTGTCTCGCACCTCGCGTGCTGACGGTCGAACAACAGGAGCTCTACTGAGCATGCTTCGAACGAGGTTCAGTATGTGTGGCACGGCACGAAAGGCATCCTCGTCATGTTCGCATGATGCCTTTTCCAGTATGCTCATCCATGTATCAAGCTTGTCGAGATTGGCATGGAACGAACTGTCGGTTCGCGAGCTTTTGCCACCAATGGTGATCTTTTGCTTCGAAGTTCTATGCTTTACAAATTCATGGGGTTTCTTTTTAAGCATAAAAGATATGATCTCGAGATAAACACAACCCAACGAGAAGATGTCGGCCTTTTCCGTCTCGTGTACGCGTGAACGTGGCTTCGGAACTGGCTTTGTCCTCTTGAATCCAAAGTTGAATCCTGCAAACTCTGTAGTAGGCACTTTCGTCAACTTCTGTCGCTGCGAGCCACTGCTATTAGAGGATCCAGAGGAGCTCTTGCTGATGACGGATGCATGCCGTGTGCTTGGAACAATAGGAGCAGGAGCCGCAGCGTTCGGATCAAAATTTTGCGAAGGGGAGGCGTGGGCTTCTGGTGCACCATATATATACACGTCCATTGGATCAACCCTCTTATCCTTTTGAAACGTTTCCAAGCTGCCGATATCGCTGAAGGCGATGGCGTTCTGATCGTCAATCAGTATATTCGTGGGCCGGAGTGCCGAATGGCAGAAGCCGTTCTGATGGAGAGTGGCCATGGCGTCCGCCAGACAGTGTAGCCAATTTAGCACGAGCCACCGGCGATCGCATTTGGGTAGCTTCTGATACTGTGCTGGATTGCGGTGATCGATGAAGGTCCTCAGAGTGTGCTGTCCTACAAAATTTGTGACAATATAGCCAGCTTCTTTGTGGGTATACGATGCCCACACCGGCGCAAAATGTTCGTGTTCTACCATTCTGGCACTTTCCACATCGAGTATGAATTCTTGCTCGAAACAGCCTGGTTTCTCAGGGGTACCTAGTGGGAACCTTCGACGAACATAGATGTCTCTGGGTCGTTTGGGCAAGTGAACACGTGACCAATTTTGCAGGCTGACGGCGACAGGGAGTTGCATGACATGCTCCAAGGGCACTTCCTCATTCGGCGCATAGTCGATATGTACGCCATCTTTCAGCTCGCGCAGCAAAAATGTGAATTGCGTGTGATAGAATCGGACGTTGGCGTGATTGTCGCGTCGATTGGAGAGGGAAAGCTGCTCGATATCATCCATTTCCAATGGCAAATCATCGTCGTCCCAGGACTTGTCGACCACTGTGAATATCCTGTCTGCTTCTCCGATCTCGGCCAAGATGAGAAAGAGACGTCTTGCCTTGTCCAAGATCCACTCGATGTAGGTATCATCGCTCAAGTCACCAAAGCCAACCGGTTGTGCGAGGCGTTCCCTGTCCTGAGGCTGCAATCGTAACGTGACAAAGTCCTTTGTGACCTTTTCATTAATTCTCTCTTCTGTCCACCATATCTGCTGGAGGGCGGCGTGTGGGGTGACGAGAGAGTGCCCCGCATAGCCGTATATCAAAGCATTGAGCGCAACCGTTTGATCGTTCACCACATTGGTCAAGGTTCTTGCACTCATCGTGTTGCTCGGAGATATTGCTGTTCTTGGATACTGGGAGAGGCAAGGCTAGCGATGTGAATGTCGGGCTGTGGGTGGTCGCGTGTCGAGCGGGAGCCGGCGTAGGCTGTTGATCATTGCTGGCGGTTGAGGGTAGGAAGCAAGGTTGGGATGAGACGACAAAGCTATATTTTGGAGCTGATGGTAGGTAATACAGACACCTTTTAGGCACTCTCGGGCCAGAAATGTCGGCTTTGATTGTGGTACAATGGGTTAATCCGCCTGTCGGAGGGGCACTGTTTGTGGCAAGCGGCGTGGCAGCGAATACATGGCCTCGGGTGACCCGGTCTACCAATGATCGCTGACATGGCAAGAGAGCGAGCAAGGCCCTGTCATTTGGGCGGATGGCGGAGAAGGGCCTTTTGCCTCGAAAGGTCTCAGTGGCCCCGGAAAGCGGCCAGCGATGGGGGATGGGAGAAGCAGGGGGGGTCGTCTGCGGCGGAGGATGATAAGACATGGCGCAGACACGTTGGTGGGCGAGCAAGCGAATGGTGTGGTGGTGGATGCAGGGCGACGGCTAACCTTCGTACTGGTGAGCCCACGCCAATGATGACTGCCCACTCCGGACCACCGTTCTCGAGCGGGATGGAGGGGCCATCGCGTTTACGTGCCGTAGCTCCTGTGCGGTCGGTCAGCCATGATCGGGTTTAGCAGTGTGTACCTACCAGTACTGTACAAGACATATGTACTGTGCTAGCACCAAACAGGGAGCGGCTAAAACATGTGTGATATTTGTGACACCATCAAGTCACTATATCTACTGTGACCCATCTACCTTTAACTATCTATCCTATCTAACTATAGGGTACATGTCGCATGCATAGTAGGAGGCTGCGGGTGTGTGCAAGTCTTCTGTGACAGGCCAAGTACTACCATGTACCTACCGTAACTCCCAAGGTCTTGGTGAAGGTCACACCAAGCCGGAAGCTCGTGATGCTGGAGGATGTGCAGAGACGCGACTCCCTACCGATGTCGACGTCGCGACACACCTACCAGGCGTTGGCTATGGCATGCAGCGTGACGAAGAGCAACGAAGCAGATGGCGACAGGCTGGCGATACCGGTGGGTAGCACGTCTCACGTCCCGTCGCCAATGAAAAAGAATCGGCCGAGGCCACTACGTACAAAAGCGGAGCCAACTCACGCACGCCCACCGCTCAACCCATCTCGTTAGATGAACCTAGATTGCGGCATGGTCGTTGAGCCTACCTACTACGTACCTATGCCATGATGCAATGCAGGAGCGAGCTGCTGCGGCTTCTTCTTCGCAAGGCCCCGAGGCTGAACCGTCTGGTCTGCGAGATATAGGTAGCGGGACGGAAGAGAGCTCCAGCGTCTAGAGTCTAGAGGGACGGCATAGATCGGTTGCACTGACCGCGTTCGGCCACCATGGCGTCGTGCATATAGGAACTGGGTGTGGTGCCATGGAGTGCTGTGCCACATGTATACCATGCCGTGTGTATGTAGTACATGATTGTACACGCGCCATAGAGACAAATTTGGGGCTTTTGCTCCTGCCGCTGCTGCTGCTGCTGTTGTTGTTGTTGTTGTTGTTGTCTGATCGTAAATGATCCTAGGCTATGTAGTTCGACCGAGTGGAAATGAGCGAGTCATGGTCTGAGGCCCGACCGTGGATTGATGTGATACTCTAGCCATCCATGATGCTATTGTATGATGCTGGCCATTGTGACACCATTGAACCCTACCAGACGAACCCCAAACACGTGGCAATCATGCACGGATCCTCAACAACCAATCAGGGCAGGGCTGCATTGCCACCCACCAGCCAAGCAAAAACCCACCCACCTTTCGGCGCCTCCCCCATCCCCCTCTCCTCCCACATTTCTGGGACTTCTCGATGAATACCGGTTCAGGCAGGAGGTTGCTCTGCCATGCCACCAACCGTGACCGCTCAGCGAATACATACACCCCTTCGACTGGCCATGTCCTAGTCCCTCTTGAAGACTTCGCCGTTGAGCGGCCATACCGAGGTATCCATAGTATGTACCGATGATATGGTCCTGTACTTCACTAGTTAGATAGCACAGTGCACCAATCTGCCTCAGCTTCATCTACCGGTATTGACCGTTCCCAAGAACACAGGATCCATGCACAAAATTCTCACTTCTTTCTCCGATCTCAGCAACTTGTTGGGTACATACAACTCTAAACGACTCGGTCCAGTTGCATCGCAACAATGGATTGCCTGATCGCTATCAAAGGTACCCAGGAAGAATTAAAAAATATCAAATGCATGTGAGGATCGACGGCAGCGCGTGCATCTTGTCGTCCTCCTGCACCCCAGAGACCAAGACTTTCGGCTTGTCTAGTGTCCAATGACACTGTACGCCCGCTTTGCCCAAGACGTCTAGCATCGGCGAAAATTACACAGGAAAGCCAGATAGGGCTGGCTAAACGGTCTCAACTCGGATCAGAGCCGTTCGACAAACCCACTACTGGGTTGACTTTCTTCATGGACGCTACCGTAGTGCTGCTTTACGGATTCATACTCAGAACTTTGGTCAAACTTTGGCCCTCAGCCTCATTCAGCCGCGTAAACGGTGAACCAGACGTTCTCCTCACTGGGAGCCACTTTGACCTGGCTGCCGCCTGGATGACACCCTTTGGGCCAGACAATGGAATCGCCAGTCGTGCTCGTAACCTCGAGCCGATCACCAAGAAATGGCTCACCAAAGACAGTGCTCAGATCATACCAGACTTGATCCCCGTCGATATTGTACGCGAACACTTGCTGGGGATCCCCAGAGAATAAACCGTCCACACTATTAGTGATCTTCATCGCTACACCTCCAGATTTCTCGTCGCGACGCAGATCCTCCCTATACACACCGCCTGAACCAGTCAGTTATTTGCACAGTTTTGACACGAGCGATGAACAATTCATTTTCTTCTGTCCATACCCATCGCCGTTTTTCCATCGCCCTAGTGCATAGTCCTCGAGCTCGAACGAGTAGCAGCGATGCCAGTACCAATTAAACTCACCTGGGGAAATTGTTTGTCGAGGCCCGATGGAACCACCAACCGCCCACACATAGATCGTCCTCTTTGACAGATTCAACACGACTGCGCTTCCCATGGCCGCAACCCCTGTAACACCAGCCAGAGTGAAAACAATGGTACGCATCATGGCCGTATAGACGCACGAGAAAATGGGTATGAGCCGAGCGCAAATATTACAAAAAGAGACAATCAGATCCGTCTTAAACAGGCGACATGCTCGACAAAGGAGACATATATACCACGGCCTATGCCACCCACTTCCTACCAACCTATTCAACACCACACCTCGTAACCACAAGCCCACCTATATCCGACGTCTCACAGATCTGCCCCTCCTCTCCCATTTCTCCACACCCCAAAAACCCCAAACATCGCAAAGACCACTATAACCAAGAAACCCCAATGATCCTCTGCAGATCTCCCAGAAAAATAACTCGTGTCATTTAATCCTAAGCCCTAGGCAGCCCGATTTGGGGTGTTTTCGATATTCCAGATTGCCTTGCTAATGCGCGAGTGTATTGGATGGGTCAAATCGTTGGGCGCTGGACAACTCGGAAAGTGATGGGCGGTTTGCTAGATTGTATCTGGGGTGGGGGTTTGAGTCGGTTCGCTTGGGTTGGTGGGGTTTGATTGTTAATGCATGGGATGCGAGGTGAGTTTCCTCCCCATTTCGCCAGTCTTGTGCAGTTCAATTAGCCAAGCGGATGCATATACTCTTCCATACCATCAACGTTTTACTTGATGGAGTTTCTTGGTTCCTGGGTAACACAAGACTGGGCTTCTTTTTTCTTTTTCTTTCTTTTTGGTTCCCCGGATATATTTATGTTCTCTCAAGCTTTGAATTGCTTAGACTTTTTTCTCGTCGTGTCTGTCTCACTTGATTGTACGGTGGTTGTGTGCTTTATTGAATGTAAAATTCGAGGATTGGATGGCATGTTGTTTGTTCGCGCCGCTCTTGAAACTCTTGCCATTATTATTGACGGTTGGGAAAGAGGATGGGAATTGTTTGGTCGTAATACAATACGGGTGTTTGCTTTCAAGAATTGGGATAGGGAGCTTTCTTGATAACAAGACTCAGATTAGAGAGACTGGGATTGGACAAGAACATCGACTTGGAACCTGAGGTATATTCGCATCACAGATGAGCCACGTCACCAATCCTTGTTCGTGGTGAACCCACCAAACAAGACCGAAGACTTTGAGAACAGAGGGCCCAATAAACAACGCGCTCTGAAAACCAAATCGACACTAAAACACTCAACACACTAATTCTCACGCCCACCCCATGCTCCCGTTTAAACACCATCAACATACCTTCCCACCCCCTCCTTCCCCAACCCAGCCCTTTCACGTACCCCCCGTCCCCTAACCCTCTCCATCCCCTCCCTCAACACCTCCACCGCCCTCCCCACCCAAAACCTCCTCCCCGCCAGCGCCCCTCCGACCAGAACCAGCAGCAGCAAGAACCCGAGCACCCATCCCCCCTTCGTCCCGTCGGGCCTGTACAACACAACCGGCACACCACGCATCGCGTCGCGCGTAAAAACGTGCGGGCCGCGGCCGGGCGGCGGGTCGGTGTTGAGGAAGGGGAAGGCGATGCTGAGGCCGGCGGGGAAGATGCCGGGTATGGTGAAGGTGCAGAGTAGGGCGCGGGATTGGAGCTCGTAGGGCCAGCGCAGGGTCAGAGGGCTGGTGTGGTGGGAGCCGGTGGGTTTCTGGGGTGAGTCTAGGTGGATGGGGAGAGAGAAGAGGCGGGGGGGACTTTCGTCTGGAGGGGGGGCAGGTTGGTGGTTAGTTGGGTTGGATTCGGGGGGAGGCTGTTCTTCTTGTGTTGTTTTACAAGGGGAATTCAATGGCGTGGGGCCGGTGGATGGAAGTACCTAGACGTACCGTAAGTACACGACTCCCAGTCAAACTCCTCGTGAGTCCGGTTGTGCAGATTGGTCTGTCGACAGGGCATACAATGCCACGATCGCTCCAAGGACACATGCTCCTCTGTCCGCCACGCAATCTCAATCACATCACCCGCGTAGGGTGCTACGGTGCCGAAACCGCTGGAGGGAGGATACGCAGCCGAGATATTGAGATATTGGCGGATGGTAAGATCAGAGCGTTGGGAGTTGGGAGGGAGGACTGCGCTGATACCTTGGGCTGGGAAGGTCCAGTAGTGTGGCATTGCGATTCCGGATGCTGCTGGCTAGAGGGTGAGACTGCCGGCAAGTGTAAGTATACCAGGGGAAAGGGACCTCGAGACTCTTGCTTCGAAAGTGGGAAATGGAAGTGTCGGATAGGAAGATGGCACAAGTACATAAGCAAAGGCACGCTTATACCTACCTACACACGGTGTCTTGACCTCAAACCCATGGCATTCCCCCCCTTCAACACGGCCCCTGCTCTACACCCGTGTGTGTATGGCAAGTGTTATTCGTCCGGGTCGCAATAAGAAAAGTGTCCTGGTCATAAGCCTTACCTTACCCGAATCGGTTAACATCCTGCAGCTAGTAAATTAGTACTGCAGGGGATGCCGCTAGATGGCCCGCGACTAGTATTAATAGTATTAATATATAGTATTAGTAGTATTACTATAGTAAAGGAAAAGGATTAACTTGCTATAACTTAGTATATTTATAATACTACTAGTATAGGGCTCTATAATAACCTTATACTCTATAAAGCCTTAGAGGACACCTAAGAGTTATCTAAGTTAGTTAATAATATAGATTAAGTAAGTAATATTTCTATAAGATAAAAAGTATAATAATTAGGTGTGTTTTAATAGATTTTAGTTAATACAGGATATTAGGTTATAGCTATTACCTAGTTGCTGCAGGTAAAAACTCTATAATAACACGTAACTAGGTATAGATAACCTAATATCTACTAATACTATACACTAATACTATTAATACTAGTCGCGGGCTATCTAGTAGCATCCCCTGCAGTACTAATTTACTAGCTGCAGGATGTTAACCAATTCGGGTAAGGTAAGGCTTATGACCAGGACACTTTTCTTATTGCGACCCGGACGAATAACGTTTCCCGTGTGTGTATGCGCAACCATAGTCTGCCTTGAACCCACAAGTCCCGAATCCTTCCATCGCCGTCCCCCTCTTCATATACATTCCCCTTTCGAGCCTTGCACAACCCCAAAACAGTAAAGTAAGCGAGCGAGCTTCCTTGTCTCTTTGGCCCCGCGAACCTCGGAATCAGCCTAGGTTCGAAGGAAACGCCTCATGAGTTCGGAAAGGCCCGACAGCTTGGCAGCAGCAGTGACGGTCTCACGTCATGCTGTGCATTTCGTAGGGAAAAGGAGAATGGGGAGATGGAGGGAAGATTAAGGGAGGGGGTTGGGTGGCTGTACATACTATACGACGGACCGGACATAGGAGCGCGCCACAGGGCAGAGTTGGGACCGGGGCATGATTTGGAAATTTTGGATATAAGGCCCGCTGCTAGTATTGGAGGGTATGGACTGGCCGAGGAGGAAGTGATAGTGAAAGAAGATGGGGATGGGATTGAAGAAGGCATATGATGGGACTTAAAAGGTCGAACCCAGCTTCCATGCTTTGGTTCATAAATGTACATGTACGCTAATGCACAGTGGTAGAGGGTCATAATTCTCAAAGAGAAATCTCTCCTTTCCAAGTGCCCTCGGTCAATCCCAGAGTCTCAATGCAATGCTGCCACCTTGGCCCACCGCGCTCTTTCCTCCGCAGATACTGCAGCAACTTCTGCCTCCTGTGTACAAGCAACCTCAGATTTCGCTTGTTGTGCTTGTCTCCCTTTCCTCGTGTCTGCAGGAAGTCGGCAAGCGTCTTGATTTTCGCCGTCAAGATTGCAATCTGAACTTCCGAAGATCCTGTGTCTGGCCCAACACGCTTGCCCGCCTTGTCGACGTTGGTCTCGGGACGCACAGGATGCAACTCGGTGGCACCTGATTTTTGCAAAGTGGGTGCCTTTGGTGGGAAAATCTTGTCGGTGTTGTGCCGCCCAAATGTCTCCACACAACGTGCTTTGTTCACACGCATGCGATCCTTACTTGAGCCGTTCTCGAGGGCAGTAATCCGTGCAATCGCCTCCGCAGCCCGCGCATGATCCTTTTTGGTTTGTGCCTCAATGTCTTCTGCCGCCTGCTCCATTGCATCTGCCTTTTCGTACTGTCGTGAGTCACTCCACTGATACGATTGTGTCGCAACCGGCTTTCCAAGCTCGCTGAGCGGCACAGCTAGCTTTTGACTGGTTTCCAGCTGCTGCTCGACAGTCTTGGGATCAAAAGCATAGTTCAAGTGTAAATGGTCTTCAGGTATCTTCTTGCCCTCTTCATGTGTAATTGGCATGCCTGTTTCGAAAGACTCGACAAACGGCGTCGGTACACCACGGACAGGATTTCCGAGGCTGGCTACTCGTGCTTCCTCGAGCTCGGCGCGGCGCGACAGATTGGCCTCCTTCTTTCGATTCCGCTGTGCGACCAGATACGGGTCATTCAGCCGGCGCTGGCGTTGCCTCACTTGATCTATGGTCTTGGCTTGGAGAAGTGCTGTAGAGGCAAAAGTTCGGATGGGCAGTGAGAATGGGGTGGAGATAGAGGCTGCAAGACGGTCAGAGTGCTGATGGAGAGAGAATGAACAATTGCTTACACGTCGATGCCCGCAGGCACGACAAGACTGGTATTCGAGGCGGCATTGGTGGCTGGCTCCCACGATGCAATGGCCGCGCTCACTTCTTTTGCGATACTCAAAGGCGCTCAGGGCTGCTCGGCTGCAGGTTTTGCCGACGCCGCTGCGCGATCATCGCCCAACCCGCATTCGGCTAGCACCCACCACCGATATTCGTCAATCATCCGCTCTCCCTCCACCAAAAGTTCTGTCTGCACGCAACACCACATTTTCTCCTTCACGACCAGCTTCTGCAGCGCCAAACCGACAACATGGCTCCCAGCAACCTCCCCGCCATCTTCAACCCCACCCAGCAGGACATTGAGATGCTCCTCGCTGCTCAGTGCCACCTCGGCGCAAAGAACCTCCAGGTGCACATGGAGCCTTACCTGTGGAAGACCAGGCCTGATGGTGTCAATGTGATCAACGTTGGCAAGACCTGGGAGAAGATTGTTCTGGCCGCACGTATCATCGTCGCCATTGACAACCCAGCTGACAGTATGTGGACCCTCGCAATGCGCAATGCGCAATGCTCGATTGCGCACATGATCGTATATTGCAAACCAAGAAGGACTATGGCTGACAGCAGTGAATAGTTTGCGTAATCTCCGCCCGTCCCTACGGACAGCGTGCTGTTCTCAAGTTCGCTGCCCACACTGGTGCTGTCGCCATTGCCGGTCGTTTCACCCCCGGTAACTTCACCAACTACATCACCCGCTCGTTCAAGGAGCCCCGCTTGATCATCGTCACCGACCCGCGCACCGATGCTCAGGCCATCAAGGAGGCTTCCTACGTCAACATTCCTGTCATCGTATGTACACACACTTAGGCAGAGAAGAGGACTCTAAATCTAACACTGGATAGGCTCTCTGTGATGGTGACTCTCCCACCGAGTACGTCGACGTTGCCATCCCCACCAACAACAAGGGTCGTCACGCCATTGGTCTCATCTGGTGGATGTTGGCTCGTGAGGTCCTCCGTCTTCGTGGCACCCTCGCTTCCCGCGAGGCTGAGTGGGACGTCATGACCGATTTGTACTTCTACCGCGACCCTGAAGCCGAGGAGAACAAGGACAGCGCAGGCGTTGAAGAGGCCAAGGTTCCTGGTGCCGACGAGGTTGGCCCCGCCGCCGTTGAGGGTGGCTTTAACACCGAATGGGAGGTGTCTGGCGCCACCGCCGGTGCTTTCGCAGCTGCCACACCAGGTGTTGTCAACTGGGACGCTGATGCTACCACCACCGACTGGGCTGCATCTGGTGATGCCCAGGCTGGTACCGAGGGTTGGGGTACGGAGGCCGCTGCCCCTGCTGCCACCAACCAATGGTAAATGCACATTCACAAGTTTGCCTAGGTACAATTTCTTTTCCATACCCTGTCATTGACACACGATTATGTCGGCATGTCGGAGTGGGAGCGAGGATTCAAAAGGAATATACCAACAACCAGTTCAAAGAATGTTCATCTGTTTCGTGGATCAGGGTCTCCGTTGAAGGAACATGATCAATGCTATGCGCTTACGAGGGAAAGATATCCAAGCTTCGTTATGAGGCTTGGGGGAAAGCCCTGTGCTGGCGATCGGGTTGTACTTGATTGGCAACCCATTCCTAATGCAGTCCTGTTCTATGATTCCACTGTCGCTTGCTTGCCCATGACTGACTCCAATGCCGTGTGTGTCCATGCTGAATGTGTAGACCTCCATGTGTACATGTGTAGGTGGCTCAACGCTACATGTGTAAGCCAACTTTTGGGGTGTAGCTGGGACTGTACACAGGGGATTGAATGTGCTCACATCAACGTCTACTAAGGTATCTGCGGCAGTGTGTATCAAAGCACTCGTGCAGGCCAGAGCAGACTCTTGCCATGCACACAATCTCTGCATTGAATTCAGCGACTGTTGTAGACTCGGCAATTCAAGGACCAAAAACTCTCAAGTGAAAGAGTGGTGTTGTTGGTATGATTGGCCGTGTGCGATGGTATCATATCATGTGCACATGTAGAGTAACACTATGCTACACAAATCAGAAGCCACCATAATCTCCTTTGTTACCCGTTACACGCGCATCTCACAGTACACACCCTTGTTGGAAAATCATGGGCTCTAGACTCTGAATTGCAGTCCTGGCTTGGGTTGTACAGCACCACCACCACCACCACCACGACGCCCCATGCTCAACCGTCCTACACATAAGTTACAACACCCCGTGCACTATGTTTGAACAATCTTCCTATTGAGATTTACATGACCATACCCAAGCAGGGCGCAATAGCAAAGCAAAAAAGCCCTGCAAGAAAAGCTCTCTGAAATCTCACTTCCCATTGCCCTCCTCCCCCCCTTCCGGCCCCACCTCCCTGTTTCGGGACAGAGGGCAACAAACATATCCCCACTTTTTATTTTGCCCTTGCTTTTGATTTTAGCTTATGTGTGCTTGGGATTCGGTTCTGGAAAAGCTTAACCGCGCACGCTCTGGTTCGCTCGTTTGAACAAAGAGGGTGGGTGGGATTGCAGTCTAGAAAATTGGGAGATGGGAGACGCGTGTTGGTGGAGATGCATGTATGGGATTAACGCTGTCTTGCTTGTTTTCCTTTCTCTAGGGCGTCTTTTTTGTTTCTCCTGGGAGTCTCCTGGGAGGAGAGGCGGGTGAATTGACGGGTGGGATGGCGGGTCTGGACTATGATGTCATCATGGGGATGTAGCAGTTAGGCATCTTGGTTTTGCGCCAAATGTGAAAGTGGGACGCGGCGCGAGGGATTCGTGATACGATACGATACGACGTGCTTGTGTGAAGTGGTGCATCTGGCTGGACTGGATGATTGGGACGGAGTGGGGGGTTTGGAAGGATGCGAATCCAGGCTACCAGGCGGTGGTGGGTTGTGCCGCCTTCCGTGTCCGTGTGGTGAGTGTGCATGTCTCGTTTTTTTGATCTGTGGGATTGATTAGGGTTAGAGTAAGATGAGGGAAGTTGGGAGAAGGAAGCCGTGTGTGTTGTTGTGTTTGCGCCTGCCCTTTGTTTTCATCGCCCTCTTGCCCTCGTTCGTTCGCCACTATCGCCTTGGGTGAGTTCTAGTTCGCGTACGAGCAGAGGTTCTCTGCCCCTTCCTGGCTAATTACGGTACGGTCGTCGTTTGCTTCTTTCCGGGATCTGTGGGTTCCGCTACAGGAAGAACGTTCGCAACGGGCGATTGGCGTAGTTGTGTCGAGGTTCTTTTGTTTTCTTGTTTCCTTTTCCCACACCAACGACGGTATCAGCGAATAGTTTTGACTTGGAGCCCGCCGTCGCTGCTGCTCATCGACCACTCGCCTGACCATGGTCTGTCATTCGCTTATTGCGCTCGCACTTGGTGCTGTTGCCGCTGCTATCCCTACGATTGAGGTCAAGGGATCCAAGTTCTTCACCAGCGATGGCGATCAGTTCTACGTCAAGGGTATGTTTCCACAGACTGGTTGCAATAGATGTCGACTAGAGTTCGCAGAAGAGATGCTGATATGTTGCAGGCATCGCGTATCAACTTGTCCCCGATGACCCACTCATCGATGCCACTCAATGTAGCGCCGATGCTTCGCTCATGCAAAGCATTGGCACCAATTCAATACGAGTGTACCATGTTGAGGCAGATGGAGATCACGAGGATTGCATGAAGGCGTTCGCGGATGCTGGAAGTAAGTACACAAGCTTCAGGTATATTCACTGGATAACAGGATGCTGCTGACTGCAACTCGCTCAGTCTACGTCTGGCTCGATCTTGATACCTTTGACACGTACGTCGAGCAAGTCACGCCCAAGTGGACTAAGCCGCAGAGTGATGCCTTCGAGAAGGTCATGGATGAATTCCAGCAATACGACAACCTCGCGGGTTTCTTCGTCGGCAATGAGGCCATCACCAACGCCAACGGCTCCGTAACAGCGCCCTACATCAAAGCAGCCGCACGTGACATGAAAGCCTACCGTACTTCCAAGAAGTACCGCAACATCCCCATCGGCTACTCGGCTGCCGATATTGCAACCCTACGGCCCATGCTGCAAAACTACCTCGCATGCGGCGACGACACGAAGGAGTCGCTCGACTTCTTCAGTTTAAATGCCTATTCGTGGTGCGGTAGCAGCACATTCGAGCAGTCTGGATACAACATCCTGGAGAAGAATTCCACAGATCTGCATATTCCGATCTTCATGTCGGAGACCGGGTGTAATACGGTACGACCGCGTGACTTCATGGACCAGACTGCCTTGTTCGGCGAGATGGCGGATGTATGGTCTGGTAGCATCATTTACGAGTGGATCGAGGAGGCGAACAGCTACGGGCTTATCAAGTATGGGGACAAGGTTGATCCTGCGTCGGTTGGTGCACCTGCGGATGGGTTTCCACGCTCTGGTGAGTTGCAAGTTGTCAAGAATTCATGGGGACGCGTCCTAACTCGAATGCTTAGGCAAACCAATACCCATGGAGCCCGACTTCTCCAATCTTAGTAAGGTATGGAAGACTTTGAACCCCACCGGTGTCAAGGCAGCAGACTACACACCCACCAAAAAGCCTGTCGCTTGCCCTGAATACACCTCTGGTTTCTGGGAAGTCGACCCCAAGGCCGCGCTCCCTACGCTCGGCCAGGTGCACAACTTTCATGCCCAGCAGGCTACGACTACGACTGCAGATGGCGCTTCTGCCACTGGTTCTGCGTCGAAGGCTGACTCTGGCTCTGACTCTGGCTCTGGTTCTGACTCTAGCTCCAAGTCAGAATCTGGATCCGGAACTGAAACAGCAGGACAAGCGAGTGCAACTACAAGTGCAGGCGCTGCTCCGGATGCGCTTGCTCGTGAAGTCAAGGGCGCAGGCGTGGTCGTGGCTGTAGGTGCTCTGGCTCTGATGGCATGGCTGTAATCGTGAGACTGTATATGGAAACTAGACGGAAAGACAGCAAGATAAGACGAGCTATCTGTTGTTGTGTGCATATATAGTATACGAGGTAGACAGGCGTGTGGGTCTCGATTACGGTACGGTAATAAAGGAATGAAGAGCGGGAGGTGTTCAGAGGTGGTTTGATTGGCACATATACCCTGCTTTTATTCTTGCATAGTGATAGATGGAATTGAAGACGGATTGTTGAGGCGATGTGTTGCTGCCGAGAAGTGTGGTGGTTGTGAATACTACTGCAGTAGATCGGCGTGGCGATGAGATGGACGAGGATGATTCATGAGATGGGGATCTGGAGAAAAGTGGGGCTGGAATCAGTTAGGTACAGTAGCGGCGGGAAGGAGCGGAGCGTGCCATTACTGTTAGGGTCTGGTCGGAAGCCGGTCTCCCGAACATGGGACGTAGCCGTTGGACTCGGAGCAATGGGCTCTCTTTCTCTCTTTCTAACAGACTCTGCAATCCCGCGATCTTTCCTTACACAGCTATTTCCCGTGGTGACTCCTGTGTGTGACGGTCCAGACTGTGTCCCACCACCATCACCAGCAGTACAACCACCATGGCGTCTCCCACCATGGAGCGCATCGAGCCACACAAGAAGGCGCACTTTAGCCTGCGCCTTGGCCATGGCATAACCAGCAGCGACGACTCTTCGAGTGCCTATAGAAGCGTCAAGTGTACGTAGACCGACCAGTCTCCCTCCATTCTTGCCCCATAGACAGTCGTAGCGAAGAGGACAGGCCACGGCATACATACTGACCACGCCCAGACAACCACAAGCCTGCCCAAACCGCGACCACTCGAACAACGACGCTCACAGCACTCTCGGCCAACACATACAACCTCAAACTCGAAGACTCGGACGCCTCAGGCACCAAGGACATGTACACATTCAAGGGCCAAGGCTCGACGCTGAAGAAGTCCTATGTCCTTGTCTTTGACCCTTCCTCGCAGCAAGCCACGCTCGAGCCGCTCTCGAGCAGCTACACATTTAACCTCGCTACCAAGAACGGCAAAGAAGTCGCTTCCCAGCACCCCAAGATATACCCCAAGAAGTGCAAGGATGATGATGCAGACCATGGAGGAGACGACGACGATCTGTTTGGAGAGGAGGTGGGCGACGATGAGGCAGGGGACCCGGACGCGGAGAACCCATACGATTTCCGCCATTTCCTGAGCAAGGGGGAGAAGCGCGGTGATGAGTCCGAATACAACCGCGCCTCGTCTCCCGAAGACCGCGCAGGCACAGGCAGCGCAGCGAACACACCACAATTTGGCGCACGGAACCCTGCTGCGGCATCAAGACCTAAGCCTACAAAACCAGCCCCAGCGAAGCGCAAGGGTCCAACTACAAATCCCTTGGTTTCCAAGCTCAAAAAGTCACAGGCTACCCCGAAAGTACAACTGCAACGTGCGGCAACGTCAGATACCCCCAAGACCAAGGCCAAGGCCGCAGGACCTCCGGCCTCGAGGATCAAATCCAAAGAAGTCATTGACTCATCTGATGAATCCGACATGGACGCAGACCCCCAAGTCGCCTTCTCACCCGCGCGCCGCTCCCCATCACCCGCCCCTCACCAATCCCGTCGCTCGCCCTCCTCCTCAGACGCAGAAGCCGAATCCGCCTCCGATGACGATGGTGGCCTCCTCGAAATTGAAGTGCCGGACGCTGAACCTCCACGTCGCGGTCATGGTGCCCTGAAATCACTAGGGCTCGGTCCAAACCTTGGTGGGGGTTTAACGCGTTCACCCTCGACTGGCCCGCGCTCTCTTCTCAGCGCAACGAACAGTGCGCAAGGCTCACCGAATCCGCAGTCGCTCACCTCGAGAGCCAATCTCAATATGCAGGATGAGATAGACTTTGGGGATTTGGAAGATGCCGAGGGTGAGGACGAGGGAGAAGACGAGGACGACGAGGAAGAGGAAGAGGGATACGACAAGGATGCAGGTCCTATGGATATTGGACCACTGGCGAAGCAGGGTACAGCAGTATACGATAGAAAGGCTAGTACAGTAGGTGGAGCAGTAGAGGATGATGAAGACGCTCTGGAGAAGTTGATGATGGAAGGATTGTTGGCTGGGGTCGACAGCAGTGAGGAGAGTGAAGAAGAGTAATCAGGGTATGATTTATGCCATACTCAGTCCTGGGAATCCACGTAAATGGAATCCACGTAAATTCCCAGTCCCAGGCTTTACCAAAGCACATTTTGCAAAGAAGCCATACCTGTTTCTTGGCGAACGTGTTTCCCTATACAAGCCATGCACAATCAAGAAGGTAAGGCAAGCATCGACCGTTTGGGCTACGAAGAGAGAAAATTAGTCATTGCAACACACAACACACGCATTCCTTCCAAGAGAGCCAACGTGGACAAGACAACGCATGAAAAACACACAAGGGCTGAGCTGCAATCTAAAGGGCGGAATCCGGGAGTACACTCCGGGCTGTTTTGGAACAACGTGCACAGCCAAAGCCGATGACTTGGCCACTGTGTTTGCCCAAGACCTGCAGTTCTCGATGGCGTGGCCCCAAACTTCCCCGCACTTTTGGACTGCATCATCAGAAGCAACAATTCCTGTTTTCTACACGCCTTGCGGTGAAGCAAGATTCCGCCAAAAGGGCAGGTCCAGCCGGGTTCCAGACACTTATCTTCAGCTCCGGTAGGGAACAACATCATCAGTGACTACACGACTTGACGACTACGCCTTTCGCGACAGCCGCGACATGTCTGTCGTCGTCGAACAATACGATCCCAAATGGCCTGAAGAGTTTGAGAGAATCAAGTCCGATCTAAAAAAATACCTGCGAGGCGTCGACTACCTATCCATCGAGCACGTGGGCAGTACCTCTGTGCCAGGTCTCGCAGCAAAGCCTGTCATCGACGTTGACATTATTGTTACCAGAGAGAATGTCCAACATGCCATTGACGCACTTATTGACAAGGCCAACTACGATTACCTAGGTGAGCTGGGCATTATTGACCGCCATGTATTTAAGGACCCTAGCCAGTCCACTCGCTACAACATCTATGTCTGCGTCGACAAGGTCGCACAGACTCGTAACCATCTCGGTCTGCGCGACACGCTGCGTTCCAATACTGAGCTCCGCGATGAATATGCCCGCGTAAAGCTCGACCTTGCCGCCCGCTCAACAAACATCGTCGACTATCTTGTGGCCAAAGGCGCCATCATCCAAAAGATCCTCAAAGCATCTGGCCTTCTCACCGACGATGAACTCCTGGCCATCCGCAAAGCCAACGTCAAAGGCGAACGCTATGGCGCAATCAAGACTCCACGCTTATTGCTAAGGGAGTTTGTAATGAAAGATGTGACTGGCTACTACGAACTTGAATCCAGCGAGGAAAACGCACGATATCAAGACTGGCCGCCTAGAACAAAGCAGCAAGCACGACAACTCGTCGTAGACAACATCCGCAACCACAACGACGTCCCGCGCACCATCTACGAACTTGCTGTCGAACACGACGGCCGTTTCATCGGCCGTGTAGGCGCAAAGACCTCCCAAGCAAACTCCGACAGCCTCCCCGGAGAAGAGACAATCAAACACGTCACCCACGCCAATCTCTGGTTCTCCTTCCTCCCCAGTATGCGCGGCCAAGGCTTTGCCACGGAAGCCATGACGGCTTTCATCGACGCGCTGAAGGACCGGCTACAGGACCAGGGCAAAGTCGAGCTGGAAATCGAATGCGATCCCCGCAACGAAGGGAGTTGGAAACTTGCGGAACGATTGGGGTTTGAGAGGTACAGTCTGACCAAGGAGGCGCACGAGAGTAAAGGAGTTTGGGTGGATTCGCTGGTGTTGAGGAAGGTTGTTGGGGATATGTGAGTTCTTTTTTTGTTCTTCTTCTTGTTCTTGGATCTCCCGCTTTGCAAATACGTGGGAGGGACAGCTTGTGTGGTTGTAAAAGTGCATCTATCTAACCCACCTCCCCACAGCGCAACAGGCAGTCGCCACGTCCGACGAGAAAGCATGGTAAGCAACGACGGCAGAGACGTTTTCGCAGCCAGTCTGTACGCGCCAAAGGGGACAGGGCAGTCTTAGCCTTTGTAGTCGTTTAGTCTTAAGGAGAGTTCGTAGTCTTCCTATCGTTACATAGTCTGAAACAATCAACCTTGTCAAAATATATCCTCATACCCCCACACCCTTCTTCTAATATTCCAGATTGACACCGTACCGTGAGGTGCACGACTCCCTTCTTTGGACATGTAGGAAATCTCACCAAAGTCAAGGCAAGACAAGGCAGACATCACCGCGTTGAACACTCCACGAGTAACATACACCCCCACCAGCTCCAGCAACCAAAATTCGCCAGACCTATAGACTTGGATCCCGACAATAATGTAAACAAAGCTAAGTACAAACCCCAAAAATGTCAGCTCAAGACACATGAAATAAAACAGCACAGTAAACCAGTCACCATGTCTCGGAAATCCACCCTCATGTCTCGTTATCCTTGTGCCGGTTGTCTTGGTGCTTGTTGTAATAGTACTTGTTATCCTGCTGCCTTGTTGTTCATAAATGCATGCGATGCTCCCGAGGAGACGAAGGAGGTAGATGAGTAGATGCAACGCGCGGGATTGCCTTAGCTCTTGTGTATGTGGAGTAAAGCGCTAGCCTTGCTGTCGCAAGTTTACTGCCTCGTGGGGGAGAATAAAAACATGGCGGCACCTTACAATCAATGAAAAACACATCACCACCACAAGGAGCAAGCTACCACAAAGTTATATATACCACACATTGGAATTCATGAGATGTTGCCGAAAATTTTGATATATATTTCAAGGTAAATAATATGCTAATATCAAACAAAGAGACGTTCTGGAGCTTTCAGCTGGGTCATGTGTGTAGCCAGTGGAGTTCAGAGATGCGTTTGCGGCATTGTTTGCCCTAAGATAGCAGGCAAAGGTGGGCTTCACTTCATCACTTAATAGGATTACATATCCCTAGCACACTTTAAGATAGTTTTATATAGCGATATAACCTTATTTCCTGTAAGGAAAAACTTGTAAGATGTTCTATATACGACTGGCGCGAGCTAACACTGCTGTTCCTGCGCGTTTGAAGTATTGCAAACACTGACAACGTATCGCCACTTCGAAGCTCTCTAGGTCCACCATTCAGTTACATATGATTTGAAATTGCGTTACAAGCCAGTGGCATGTCCTTTATAAACGCGTTCACATCGAGATAATGGGCCAATCACGTGAGAGCTGGCAAGAAGTCAAGGTGACTGCGGGTATGAGATCACAGGCACATCGTCATGCAGCAAAGCTCCTATCACCTTGGTAAAGCTGTGTGATCTCGTAGACACGTCTTTCTAATCATTCCCATTTCACCCAAAACCAGTCCTCCACTATCAGACGCCTGATCGCTCAACTCAAAGAGCGAAGTCTTCCCGAACATGTCACCAAAAAAATGGTGGAGAGGTTCGAGAAAGTCTTGTCGATTCGCCGCGTGGGCCGCATCTCAGAGGAAGATTGGGAGAAGTATGGTGCCAACATTGTAATCCTATGGACTCTGGCACTCAAGTCGACCGGTGACCGCGAAGTAGCGGCAATGAATGCTCGGAGGACGCAATCCGAAACCATCAACATCCTCCAGGCGAAGATGGGTGCAGAGCAGGCGGCAAAGCGGGCTAAGGCCCAAGGCAAATCGGGCAATGTTCTTGCCCAAGTGCCTTGGGCCGACGGCCTGCTCGTCGCCTTGCTTAAGCCCATCGATGCCTTGGCCAGGGACCTCAAGAGGCTGACCAATGAGGGGGCAAAGACGCAGCAGAGGAAGCCTTGGATGGAGGCTAGTGACTTCATCGAGCTGTTGAAGAGTGCTTTGTTCCAGCAGGACATGGACTCTATGGTCGATGAGACCAAAAACATGAGCATCGGTTGGGAAAGGGAGGGTGCCGGGGCAGATGTGGTGATGGAGGAGTGAAGGGTGGAGGGGGTAGGGGGGGAGGGGGTGTATACCCTGGGGTGTGAAGAGAGTAGATAGATGGGGACTGAGGTGGAGGACATAGTATCCTCGTTGTAGTATCGAAATACGGCCACCACCAAAGACAATAGCTGTATCTATCAAACCCCCTCAAGAATTGTTGTTCGTGACCATATAAAGCATGCTATAACTGCAAAAGTAGAGATGAATCTTGAATTTATATACATTCACTCGGTCGTTTGTCAGTAGGTCAGTGCAGAGCAATCATGCAGCTTGCCGTGAACTTTGATCAAATGACCATGTCCACACCTAACTTCTCAACTCAACCTACATTTTCACACCTAATTTCTGAACTCAACCTACACAGAACTCGTACACCTATATACTTTCACCACATCCACAATGTCACCACCTCCCTCCCCATCGAACGAGCAACCGCTGCCCTCCTCACGCGCCCAGCTCTCCGCTCTGCTCAAGCACAAACTCCGCGCCATACCACCCTACCACCTCCCCACACTGACCCTAGACGATATAATCCTGCCAAACCCAATAGCTACACACATTCCCAACATACCGCCCGACATTCAGCTGCCCTTCTTCCTGCGCCACCGCGCCCTCATGGCACGGGACGACGACCGGGCTATCAAGAGTGAAGAATTGCAGAGTATGGACGTTACGAGGGCGATATGGTACTATCGGCTTGATTCTGCGCGGCAGTTTCAACGCTACCATGATGGAGTGAGATGGAATCTTGCCATGTTTACTGCGCTGCTTGCGCGCGAGTTTGTAGAGGCTGGGTCTCCGGTCGATGACATTGGAATGAATACGGCGACTACGAGCAGTGAGAGAAGATTCGATCACTGGGTACCTGCAGACCATTACTATCCAGCGTCCGCACGATCCCAGCGTAGCTTCGACAACCACGTCCCGACATACCAGTCCTGCCCATCATCCTCACGATCCTCCCGTGGCCTCGACAACCACTTCCCGGTAGATCATTACTATCCATCATCCTCAAGAATCTCACAAACCTCCTGTAACTTCGATAACCACAACCCCCCACCCCCATCCTACCGCCCCCTCCCCCCCTCCGCCAAAACCTTCACAGCCCTTTACCTCTCCGCCGTCCTCGAACACCACAGCACCCCTACAACCTTCCACGCACATGAAGCCTTCCTAAAAGCCTGGAAGACGTCGCCCTGGGACCTCTTCCGCGTCCACGGCGCGGCGCAAAAGAAACTGCTCAAGAGCGAGATGAAGCGGCTACGGGGTGAGTGGGAGCGCTTGTTGGATCGGGAGAGGGAGAGGTTGGGGCGCGCGGAGTATGAGAGGGTGGTGGGGAGATGGGTGGGCGGGGTGGTGCCGGGGAGGAGGGATCAGGGGGTTAGGGGGATGGGGGATCAGGGGGTTGGTATTTCGTTTGCCGGTCTGAACCCCTTGGATACAGATTCACATTCCAGCACCACATACGACAACGCTTCGTCTTCGGACACGCTCCTTCAAGCTCTACTCATACCCTTTCCCGCCCAAGACCCAGCACCGCCTACGCAAATTGAAGACACGAGCACGGTGACCGACCTACGGGATGCAATTGCAGCGGTGCGGAGTGTAAGGGCGAGGGAAATACTGGCTATGCTGGTGGCGAGGTTTCCAGTTGAGGGTGAGAAGGAGGGCGAGAACTGAGTGGTTTGAGAGGGTAGGACTGGGTGGTCTGGAAAGACTGAGTCGTTTGAAGGATCGAGTCGTTTAAGAGGACTGAGTGATTTGACAGGACTGACTGGTTTGAGAGTTCAGGATTGAGTAATTTGAAATGTTATGACCGAGTAATATAAGATTGAGGCGTAACAGTAAGAAGTCTGGCCCAAAGAGAAGAGAAGAACTGAACGAATAATTTGTGACTATCAAGTATCTCCGACACCCAGATAGACAATGTATGAGACGGAGCATTCCACACACAAGCAAAATGTGCTTCATAACACATGTACAACAGCATGCACATACCTTTCTTTACTTGTACATTGTACACGGCGACAAAGCATTTTGCACACGTAATAGAACAGCAGCAGAGCCTAATGCGTGAGACCGTGAGATATGAGATTGGAGGTATCTAGTCTAAAATAGGGCTCTACAAATTTCTTGAATTCTAATACCCACCGCAGGACAAAAGAAAAGATACGCATCATAACATGCAGTCTCCCACTCTGTGCTCCAACTCCTGCGAATGGCGCAGAGTGTACATTAAGCGCAAGAGTAGGGTTGCGTATCGATCCCAACATTACGGCAAAAAAGGCAGAGATTTGAGGGAAAGGGACAAAGTGTGACGTGAGATGGGGCATACGGAGAGAGAGGATGAGGTTGGATGGAGGATGGAGAATGGGAGATATATAGGAAATATATGGGGGTATCTATAGAGTAAAATGTCAGTGCTTATGACTACACGGCACTGCGCAGCAAAGCATCAGAGTCAGAATCAGAGTCAGAAAAAAAAAAGGAAAAGGACAAAGAAATAGGTAGCATCGTGGGCAAGACCGAGCCTTGATGATATCCAAAGACAAGAACCAAGACAAGGACAGTGCATGCCTACCAACCACCCCTCAAACCTTCACCGCACCCGCCGCCAAAGCCTCCACCAACTTCTCCCGCCACACACTCAGTCCCACCCTACTCGTCGAATCCTTAACCAATACCATGGCAAACCACTTCTCGGCCCCAAACCCCAAAAGCTGCGAAAGACTGGCCAGACGCTTCATATTCACACTGGCCACATCGCCGTAGCCCAGACACTGCAGCGGGGCCCCGGACTTGATCATCTCGCGCTGCTGGTACTTGTTCGCTCTGAAGCCGTCGTAGGGCGAGGAGCCGATGACGAGGTACAAGAGGGAAATGGCCAGACTCCATAGGTCTGTGGTGGCGGAGGGGGTTGCCGGGTGTGAGGGGTTGAGGGTTTTGGGGTCGAGGTAGTCCCAGGTGCCTGCGCCGAAGGGGGAGGCGGTGGAAGAGTCGATGGGGCCATCGGGTTGGGTGAGGATGGCGGAGGAGAAGTCTGTGTAGACGGGGTTAGGGGTGCCGGAGGGGGAGAAGGAGATGAGGATGTTGGAGGGTTTGATGTCGGCTTGGATGCAGGCTTTGTCTTGCATCCATGCTAGGCTGTCGATGAGGGAGAGGGCGAGGGTGGGGAAGATGGCGGCGAGTTTCTGGGCGCGGAGGGGCTCGGATAGTGCGTTGAGTTCGGCTGCGATCCAGGACTCGAGAGTGCCGTCCATGGCTTTTAACACGAGAGCTTCTGTGCGAGTGTCGAGGCCGAAGAAGGGGACGATGTGCGCGTGGGCATTTGGGAAGCGAGAAAGGTAGGATAGGATCTTTGCCTCGGCGCAGAGGACCTTCTTTGCGCTAGTCGTGGCAGGGACCTTGATGGCGTAGAGAGATGGAATCGTGGGTGTGCTACGTGAGTCCAGTGGTGTCAGGGGAGGCGATATGCTACTCGTAGGAGTATCAAGGGACGGCTGTTCAACAGTGCTGGGCACAGAGGGTGTCGCGAGATAAACGTTGCTCCAAGCACCGTTGCCAATGATCTTTTTCTGTCCTTTTGCGTTGGTGCAGAAATCATAGTCTATTGCGTGGTATGGATACGTAATGACTTCAGTGCTGCCGGGCTTCTCCCCGGAACCTTGACATGTGGGCGAAGATATAACCGAGTCTCCACGACGAAGATTGGATAATGAATCCAGGAAGTTGGACGACGATGATCCAGTCTTGACATGTGACGTTCCAGTAGGAGTAGGAGGCGGCGTCAGAGAACGGTCGCCTTTTTTCTTGCCAAGATGCTGCATACCCATGGCTGATATTCTGAGTTTGCTAGGAGAAGCTGGTGGAGTAGATAGTTGGTTAATGGGTTGAGCGCACGAGTAGTTGTGATTGTGAGTGAGGACAAGTCTGCAGTCTTCGCTTGGTTTTATATTGGTGCTGGTGTGAAATGGTGGGGCGTCAGTCTGCGTAGAGGCCTCGATGAGTAGTGAATGACTGGATTCACTCTGCTCTCTGGAGAGAGGAAATGTGAATCGTGGGAAAGCAGCCATTTTGATTGATTTTTCTGACAGTGTTGGAGGTGTAACGTGTAGTAACAATGCTGGTGATTGTGTGTAAATGGGGAGTATATATCCAAGCACTATGCGCCAATTTTGTGATGCGCAGAACGAGGTACATCCAGGAACAGGAACGTAGAAGACACGGTACTCTTCTCCAGCTAGCTGGCCAACAGGTTTGACGAGGACGTCTCTTTTTGAGGTTCGCTCAAGACAGTGGTGCCGTGCCGTTCGGTTCCAGAGCCGTTGGCCGGCAACAAAGACAAAGCAGTAGGAAAAGTTAGTAGCACCGGTTATCGTACAAGAGATAAGACTCCAAGGCCGACTGAAGTGTTTCAAGACAAGAAGGACGACATGTTGAGACAGCAATGCACTGTATACGGCGTGCGGGGGGTCCGCAAGCCGTGAGGGCGGAAGTGTAAGGGAAGATCGGGAACAGGCTTGGAGAGCAGCGGACGGTCAGACATTGATAAAGGGAGCCAGATGTAGGTAGGAGGGTAACGGATTGGGGTGCCTGCGCCTCGGGTAGCCCGGCGGGTGGCACCCACCAACCGATGACATGAAGATGACTCGCATCTTATGGCCCGGGGGCCACGGGGCTGTGATGATTCGCATGGGAAAACAGCCTTGGAGGAAAAAGGATAGCTGGCAACTCTGCGCTTCCAGAACGGCCGTCCATTCACGCGTCTTTCCTAGCCGGGCTACGCTGCCGCGCTTGTGGTCGTCCAAGGGCCGGGCGCACGAGGAGAGCCGCTAAGCCTAGAGTAAACCCGGGGATCGCTTTGTCTTCTTCTCTCCAACCATTTCCCCGTCTTGCCTGAACGTGCGCGATTTGATTGGCGTGCGCAACCTCCGCCGAACCTCGACGAGACGACCCGGGGGGCCATGTCGAAGGCTATGTGTATTGTACTGTAAGGCATGTACGACCTATGCCTTGTGCGTGTGCGTCGTGCTAACCTATGCCTGTGCTGCTTGCTACAATCTGGCTTTTCTCTGGCCTCCTTTCCAGACGACATAGGTATGCGCCAGACTTGCCTCGAGGATACATGCACCCTTCCCCACGCCAGACTTGCCTGGCATTCGAGTCGTCCAGGATGATGTGGCGTCTGCTTGCTTACATCTGTAGTCCATAGCTACCTACCGGTACCCATCAGACCCAGCCGACGAAAGCCATTCCGTCCCATCCCATGCTTTCCTCCGCCCGATCATCAGTAGACCGAGATTAGACCTACCCTTCGCGTCCAAGTAGGTCTGACGGCTCCTTGACTAGACCTACCGTAGATGGTTTCGTGCAGCGCAAGTCCGATTGCAGATAGGCAAGACTCGGGACCTGCTGCAACGACGTTTACGTCCTGGCGTTAGAGGAGGAGCTACTTCGGACAGATAGGTAAGATTTTAAATTTTTTTTGGCCCATGGAAAAACTGGGCACCTGACCGGGTAGAATCTGAACTTGCGTCTTTTTACATGGTGTGGCTGCTGTACTTGAGAACTTGGAGGGTCGAATGCTGTGTGTCAAGAGCCAGGGTACAGACACAGTCGACCTGAGGTGGAAACTGACTCTTCTTGATACGCACCTGCGACAGAAAGCGGTGATACGCGATGAAATATTACCAGGTTGGGGCTAGATCCGTTGTCGTCTCGTCTCCACCCCAAACATGTTCAAGCGCCCTCCCCACCAACACTACCTTTCACTCATCAAACTCATCGGGCGGCTAGGTACTCTGGCACTCTGCCAATTGTTTCCATCTTAGCGTGAAATCACTTTTCTTTGTAGTCGATAGACTATAGTAGTGACATGGAACGTTTATATAGGTACCGCGACATTTCCAGCGCGGTGGTTTAGAGATCGACTACAGCGGCTCGTTAGCTGAGCTCAAGTAGGAAAAGCTGCCAAACTACCAACGTCGATACGAGGTTCAACATCTCCGAGGCTGAATCTAGTTCTGCGGGACTGATAGACAATCTACATGAATCCAAGGGCATGATTTGACTGCCCACGTACACGCTCGCCCTTTGAATCTTCAGAAAGAAGTGGTGCTACCGTGAACCTCAGGTCCGCCATCCTGCGTCTCAAGAAAACGTATGACCCTCTCATCCACAAATCCCCAGAAAAAGGACAGGGCAACACCACACAACACTATACAAACCCTCTGAATGATCAAACCAGCACCAAACCCCCATGTCAACGCCAACACTAGACATAACATAGCCATAGCATATACATCAATATTCCCGTAGCATATGCATAACAATTACCACAACCACTACTACTACCACCCCCAACATCCCCCCTTCATCACCTTCACCCCCTAAAATCTCTAATCCCTAACATTCTTTCTCCTTCAATCACCGATCCCCCCCCTTCCCCCTCTGCCCTCCCCTTCGAAGAAGACGAAAACGCTCTTAACAAAGCGCAATCCCAATCAAAGAGAAGCACAACCAAACACTACAAGAACCCAGTCCAAACCCAGCCCAATTCCAATCCAACCCAACGTGCCAGAGGACAGAAACATAGATGAAGAGCAATATATAAAAGTGAAGAAAACTGTGCCTTGCTGTTATAGTATAATATAGCACATTACACTGTACTTGCACGCTCCATGTTTGGTCTTCGACTAGGGGAGTTTACATTGGTAGTTTCACTGCACAACACAGCACAGAACATTCTCAATCCAACTCCACATCTCCATCCCCATGCACATGCACATCTACCTTTCCACATCCCCTACCCCCACATCACCATCGAGACAAAAACCAACACAAACACCAATTCTTCAACTCGTAGTATTAACACTATACTATGTAACCCAAGGGACAACAGCCCAGGCGAGGGATCTTTCTAGATGTCTACACACACCTACATGCGTACCCACACACCACACACAGCAAGAGAGAGACAAAAAAAAGGCCTTTGCCTCAGCAGTCAGACAAGACAAGACGAGACAAGACAAGATGAGACGAAACCAGACCAGACCAACCCGATTGAAAAAAAAAGGCCTTACAAAAGAAAAAAAAAGGTATCCCCCATCCAAGTCAAGATGTAAAGATCCATGTTCGATTTCCTGTGATTGCTGCTACTCCTACTACTGCTACTGCTTTTTGCTACTGCTTTTGCTGCTGTGCCTGTGCCTGTAATAGAGATTGTTGCTGGAGCATCGAGGAGCGTTGATAGGAATCGATAATCTGGCCAACCTGCTCCTCATGCTCGGCCTGGCGTCAATGCTCATACCCCGCACCCCTCTGCCACGGACTCGAGCTGTTCCCCTGGCGGTACTGCACATCGTTTCGCTCGCCGCTGGTGCCGGGCCTGGTGTTGTACGAGGGAGCGGGACTACGGTCTTCGTAAAAAGAGGGGGGCGCGGGCGAGATGTTGTCATCTCGTCGTGGGGCAATCGGTTGGTAGTGTTCACCGAATCCAGCCTTTTCCGCAGGGGAGTGGCGAGGGCCCTCGGCAGAGGAAAAGTCGTCGTCATCGTCCAGGCGGCTGCGGGAGCCCTGGGTGCCTTTGCCTTCGCCTCGGGCGGTGGCGCCAAGAGCGTCGAGTTCAGTGGTGAGTTGGGTCTGAGACTTGATAAAAGAGCCACGGTCGTCGCGCATAGGTTGGTAGCGTGTATCGGGGTTCTTGGTAAAGAGAGCGAAGCCGGAAGAAACGAGAAGCATGAGAAGCAAGATGAGCGAAAAGGCGGCGTTGATGATGAAGAAAATGACACCCATGGCACCAGAGACAACGGCCTGCAGAGGTTAGTCGCAACTCAGATATCAGGAGCGAGGGTACTCACGGGTTGTCCAAAAATTTCAGTGAACATGACAAGGAAGAAAGAGCTAAGGAAGTTGACAGCCGCAATGGCAATGTTGAAACCGTTGGTCTTCTTGTCCATCCATGGGCGGAGGACAGAGACACCAACCAGCAATGCCAACTCAATGATGAGCAGTGCTACAGCCTGTACCTTGGGGCTCTCCTGGGAAAGACCAACAAACATGGCCTTGATGAGAAGGTATCCAAGCCAAGGGATGATGAACCAGTAGGCAGCCGCCTTGAATTGGACATAGAGGAAACCCCACTTGTTGAGTGCGGTAGGATCCGAGTAAAGAATGTAGGCGGGGTTCTTGTGCATAGTAATGGAGCGCTGCGCAATGCGTACTACTTTGGAAGAAGCCCAAGCAAGGACACCGATCATGGTGACCATGGTAAGGATAGCCAGAACAATCAGACCGGCGGAATCGCGTTGAGTAAGCTCCCAGAAAGACAGGACCATCATCTGAGGAAAACCAATGAGTACAACTCGGAAAAGGATGCCCTTGAGAACGGTCTGCCACCCATTGCGGAAATCGATAAACTTGTCGCCCTTCATCCTACCAGCCTTGGTCAGACCCTCGCATGCATACTTGAAGAGTAGCACGCCAATGACAACGAACAGAACAAAGACAATGAAAAAAGTGTAGCCCGTGAAGAAGATGTTGGTCGTCTCAATCTTGGCCTTGAAACCAACACGCTCGATACCGTGGAGTACGACACGGTCGCTGTTTTGAAGTTCGGTGGAAGCTGCGTTACTGCGACTTGCGAGACGCTGGAAAGCACGGGTAGCGAATTCAACACCACGTTTCATCTTCATCTTCTTCTGAACCTCAATGGAGACAAAGGAAAGGTTCGACAAATGGTTGGTTGGCGTTCCGCCAGTTGCACGCTGGTACCATGTCGCCATCTTCTGAAGGAAACCGACGCGAATAATACCCATGGTCCACTGGAAGTTTTGGGTCCAGGCGGAGACGATGGGAGGCAAAGGAGTGGAGCACATGCCAATGAAAGCCTGCGCCTGGAAGAAACCGAAGAGCGACATGGCGTTGGCGGCAACGTGAGCTGCGGTGTTGGAGTGCCCCAAGCCCGATGCTATAGCCGACGTCACCAACCCCGTGGCAGCTATCAAGGCTGTCGTCCATGCAACGGCCTTTTGGTCGACAGTGTGCCCGTTGGAAAGCTCAGCCTCCACACATGCCAGCTGCTGGTGGGTTGTTGCATCCTTGATCTTAATTCGGACGACCGCGTCCAAGTCGGGGATTGTGTAGGCGATGCCTGCAGACGTTAGACGGCACAGGGGCAAGACAAACATGGGTACCTACCAGGAATGGAGCTCATGATATCTTGACTGATGTCGAGGTTGGACTTGATGACCAAGGGCCCAGCGTTCATGGGGCACATGGACGACAGATCCTCTGAGCTGCAGGGGTCGAGCTTCTGGTTCATGGCAGAGTAGCCATAGACGAGCAGCTCGAGGTCGGCCTCGATCCTGCCCTCGATATTGGAGATACCCTCAATCTTGAAGGCCAGACTGCGGTTGCTGGGTGTGAAGGCGACATTGAAGAGGGTAGCGGACAGGCTGGAGTTGCTCATGCAGGGGTTGAGCGACTTGGATTCGATGATGCGCTCGGCGGAGGCCAGGGGCAGGGCGGCCGCTGTGAGCCAGAGCAGCGACCTGGACAGCGAGAAACGCATGTTGGGTGGTTGTGTGGTGTTGCGGAGGTGGTGAGGAGACGCGCAGTGGGAGGGCGTCAGGCGCAGAGGTGCTGGTGTGGCACTCCTGACGAGTACGGTGGGGAAAAAGGGTCGGCCAATCCAGCGGCGAAATAGTCGTCCCTGAGCGAGTGTCGATTACGGGCCTGCGACTTGGTATTGTGTTTTGGGGAAGGGGGGGGGGGGGGGGGGGAGAATTAAATCTGTTGTTTTTTGTCGGGCGCGGTGAACGAGTGGCTGTCGTGGTGGTGACGAATTACATGTGGAGAAGCGGTGGCAGGTGCAAGGTGGGTAGGTTTGTTGCGCAGGACAACTGGGAGAGACAGGGCGAGAGGCAGGCGAGAGGGCAGGCGAGAGGGCAGGCCGGAGGGAGTGGGCGGGTCTTGTCGGCTGGCTTGGGCTTTTTTGGGGTGGAGAGGCTAAAAGGGCTAAGAAAGAGAAGGGGGAGGGGGGGGAGGGTACAAAGGGTTGGACGGTCGAAAGCGATGGGACAACAGGGAGCGAACTGTTAGCGGATCTTCTCAACAACACCGACCCAACACGACCCAGAAGCCAGAAGGCGAACAATGGCGGCAACAACCCGTCACAAGAGACAACGGAGGTGTTTTGGGAGTGCCGGAGGGGAGTCGCAGATTCACCAGGTACCGTGGGAGTGATGTGGTACGTGTACTATGTAAGTACTGTACCTACACTATCCCAGCTGGTCGTGAAATGACGCCTATATGCACAACGGATGGCTTGTCAGGGGAGCTGAGACTGTGACGGTCGCCACGAGTGGGTCCGTCTATGAATACCTACACTACTCCAACAGTACTACAGACTACATACACTGTACATACCCTCTGTACATGGCCGCACATGCTACCACTGTTTGTTACGCGCGGCTCCTGCTCAGCGCCCAGAGCTAAAAGAGCCGTCCTGCCCACTCAGCTGGAGAGATTCACCGCAATACCGCAAGGCCACACCGAGCAGCACGCTGCAACCGGTTCGGTAGCCATGTACTCTACGGCGACACTGCGGCCCATCGATTGGTGCTTCTGGCTGTGGTGTAGTGTGAATAAAAGACGGTCTTTGTGCGTGTTGGGCCCCTGCTAAAAACAGCACTTCGAGAGCACATTTCAAGTGTTCCCGTCCGTCTCTGAACCCATCTTGCGATGCCGCTTTTGCTCCTGTGGCCAACCCTGGCGGCCCGGATGGGGGCAAGGGCAAGGGGGCGACACTACAGCTGCTTCGCCACACTCGCACACTCGCACACTCGGCTAACTCACCCACTGCCCAGGCACAATCTCGCCATGCGCATACTCTGGTCCTCTGTAAAAAGAATTGGCAACCCAGGAGCCCAATCACGGGTGCTGTTCACGAGGGCAGAGACTGCATCGCTCATGCTGACTGATGCTGTCTTGTCGAAGTTGCCAGGGATGCCCAGCGCTCTTCGTATCCATCAATGTAACGATGGTTGCTGGAATACGGCGAGATTCAGGATGTGGCTGCAGCATTCCATCCATGCCGTGGCCACACCGACTGGAAGACGGAGCGAAAGCAAGTGATGACAACAGTAGAGTACACACATGGGTACTACATGGTATGTATACATACCTACTACTCCGTAGACAGATCCAACCATCTCTCAAAGCCCTGTCAAACGCCCCCCTTAAGGCGTGCTGCAGTTCGACAAAAGACACCCCCATCCGTGCGCTCGCTATGGCGGATAGCTGCATGCAAAAAGAAAGCCCAGCCAGCCAAGCGTCTAGATCGAGCGCCGACTTGCAATCACAGCCTTGGATTCACAACACCACCAAGGCTAACGATAGCAACCGCCCATCCATGACGAGTCCTAGAATGGATCCTCTACCTAGCCTACAGTAGGCATAGATACACATGCCAACTTCGAAAAATCATGAGAGAAACAAACCAATTTAGAGTTCCTGGGCACATCTCACTCCCTCACTTGCACCCCTTATCCCCACAATCACTATCACCATGGTGAGCCCTGTCCACACAGGTACGCCTCGCACGTGACCAAGTCGTCCATGCATGTGCACACACACCACCATATCCTATACAAACCCCCCACCCACAGATCGCTCAAAACTGTAATCCCCCCCTCCAACAAGATCTGAAACACGACACGCACTCTTCTCATCTCACCCAGACTCTGCACAGCCTCGCCAACCATCAACGTCCCAATCTTTTTCCCCACCAAACATCTTTCTGGCCTTGATGGTTCGTTGGAGTGTGTGGGCCTGACGATCGTTATTTTGGGCTGGGGCGGGCACGAGGGGATGGGGATGATGGTGTCTCCACCTTTTGTAGGCATGTGTGTAGATGGTATCGTATGTTGTGGATGTGATGTCAACCTTGGTGGATGTTTGGATGAGGGGGAGGGGTAGGTAGGTTTGAAAATCTCTGATGTGTGTGGATGCGCGTGGTGTTTGGGTTTGTGGAGTTGTCAAGGTGCGAGAGAGACTTAGGTAGGCTCACGTCTTCTCCTTGCCAATATCATGTTTCTTCTCTTCTTCCCTCTCAAATGTACAATCTTTTGGCACGATTTCAGATTACACCCACCTTTGTGCGCATATACTTATGCATCACTACCTCGTCAAAAGAGGTTGCGCTCACTGTCTCTTACCTCTATAGCATATTGCTTAGCATGAACAACAATGACAACTGCAACCTACCAGTCCTCTTCTATGACATCCCAAGTTAATTCGTCAAAGCACACTCATACCTAGCCATGTTGCAAGATTGCTGCCAGATTTCACCAAGTCTCGACATCATCCAAAACAAGTCAGTCAAAGATTATACACATGTTCCGCTCCAAGCACCAGCGCCAGTCCACGGGAAGAGGAGCAGACACCCAAGCATTAGGTCAATAGTACAAGTGTGGGCTTGAAACGGAGAATAATATTCCTCTAATGACAAACGAGCCCATCATGGAGAGGATGGACGACGTATACTGAAGAGGGTCATGGGTCATGGGCAGAGTTTGAGATGATGAGTTGATGGAGCAAGTCTGCTGTGTAAACTCGATTGGCCTACTTGTACATACAAGCAGTATTGCTAGATGCCTAGATGCTGGCCGTGCAGAACTCATTTACCCAAAGCTGCAGGCGCGGCTCGCTGCAACTCGGTGTTGAAATATGGGCGTCTTCATCATCTCACATCTCGTTGAAAAATCCAATGTACAACATGTACATGTCGCTGTCGCTGTCGCTGTCGGTGGGTGTTGTGCGATACGGTGAGGTCAAGGGCGGAAGCAAAAGGGCGAGAGGATAGAATCTTCCAGAGACCCTGTCCTAAGCGAGACTAGCGCCGGTGACCTCACCACCAGTGGCACTCGACTCATCGTGGCTCTGCATCGCTGACCAGCCCTTTACATAGGCCTTTGCAAGACAGATATAACACTATAGGCATTGTGCGTCTCACACTGAGCTTTCCACCTTTTGCCTCCTCCCACTGACTCATCGTGAAGCAAACACGCCCAACGTGTAAAGTTGCCGAACCCCACCGTCAGCACACGACAACCGCTTTCTCCAGCCTTAGACCACATCTCTCAATCTTTACCCACAACACCACACAACTTTTTACAAGATGTCTGACGACTGGAACTCCGTTACCAAGATTGGTAGCCGTACCCGTGGTGGCGCTGCTGGGCCGCGCGAGACTGTCGTCAAGGGCAAGTCTGCGCTGAATGCTGCCCAACGAGCCGGCGGCATCATTGCCACAGAGAAGAAGTACGCTTCTGCCAATACCGTAAGCATCTCTCGAATCTTTTATTATCATAAGCCCTGCTAACACATACCCAGGGCACTGCCTCTGCTAGTCAAGAAGGCCAGCGTCTCACCAAAGTCGACCGCTCCGACGACATCGTCAAGCCCAAGACGGTCGGCATCGTCGTTGGTCAAGCCATCTCCAAAGCGCGCTCCGAAGCCAAGAACGACAAGGGAACCACAATGACACAAAAGGATCTCGCCACAAAGTGCAACTCAACGCCCACAATCATTGCCGACTTCGAGCGTGGCACTGCGGCACCCGACCAGAAACTGCTCGCGAACATGGAGCGCGTGCTCAATGTTATCCTCCGCGGCGACAAGATTGGACAACCGAAGTTTCCTAACAAGAAGAAGTGAGCGTTAGTGTTTTCGGCACTGCGACAAGAGACCGCTGGAACGCGGTTCTGTTGCGGTTGATTAGGAAGATCACTTCAAAGAAGGAACTGGCAGAGCAAAATCTCATCGTTTTGGCTTAGCGGGCGTGGATTTATGGGCGTTTTGATATATATCATGGAAGACTGCCCATCAAAGGGATCAATGGCATGACGCGGGCTCGAAATGGGCTCTGAATTGTGTTTCCTGGGCCTGCAACAATCATGATGACTCGAGTTGAGCTTGAGAAAGGCTTACTCGCTAGACAATAGACAAAATCTACGACTCATGATCAAATTACGTGGTGCTATTCAGGTTGTGATTTGCTCCTGTATCCATCGAGATGACGTTATCTGAAAATGAACCAAACCAAAGGCTCAGACCGCCTGGACAAGATCTAGAACGAATAATATGTACTGGGTAAGTCTGGATCTGTTAATCGGGGCAGATCTTTTGTTCTTCATGTTCAAATAGACTTATGCTGGACAAGCGCACGAGTCGTTGCGGTGACGTGATTGGCCTCTTTTCTTAGCGGACGCCCAGCATCACGGCTTCACGCCCATGACCCGCAACGTTCCTGCAACCACAATTTAATCTTCCAGAGAACTGCAATGAAGACGTTCTAGACCTCTTCACACTATGCTTCTCGCATCACTTCGCCAACAGAATACCCCCAACTCCAATACACCAATGTACCTATCCTCCATCCTTTCCCCTCTACCACCTGAGCACAGCGGGAGCCGATTAATGCTAAATACACTACAGACGAATCTTGTCCACCTTTATCATCGCCCTCATACTGTTATATCTCTACAAGAGCATGAGTTCCGCCCCCAAACCACCCATCCCGGCTCCTCCGACCCAGAATTTCCATTACGAGTACACCGTGCACAAGGGCTTGTTCTTGCAGAGTGAAGATGACACCGACGATGCTAGCTTTGATTTTGTCCGTCTTCCCAACAATTCCCCTTTCCCCTCCTTCCCGTGAATTATTTCTATCCTTTGTGAAGATCTAACGTTGTCCGCCCCGAGAACAGCGGAAGCACAACTTTGGGTTGGTAGATCGGTTGTATCCGACGGATGGCTCTACGGATGAGGAGGGACGGGAGCAGTGGCGCCGCTTTGAACGCTATATTCGCAGTTTGAACGAGAGTGTTGGTAAGGAGGAGGGGCGGAGTGTCAAGGTTTTGTTGCTGGGAAGACATGGGCAGGGGTGGCATAATGTTGCGGAGACAAAGTATGGGACTCGAGCGTGGGATGTATGTCTACATTTTCCTTTTGTGTTCATCTCTCGTCTTGCCTTTCCAACCCACCGTCTTACCACACAAACTCCATACCCAATACACTCCTCCCTAGCCCACCAGCCCCAACTCTCACCCACCTAACCCCCCCAACCAGTGCCACTACGCCGCCCTCAACGGCTCCGACGGCCTCACCTGGTCAGACGCCCACCTCACCCCCCTGGGCCACCAACAAGCCCTCGACGTCCACACCCTCTGGTCCACCCAACTCCCCCACGGCCTCCCACCCCCAGACACCCACTACCTCTCACCCCTCACCCGCGCCATCCAAACCGCAGACCTCACCTTCTCCCACCTACCCCTCCCCCCACACAAACCCTACACCCCCCTTGTCAAAGAACTTCTCCGCGAGGCCCTCGGCATTCACACTTGTGACCGCCGCTCCACGCGCTCCCACCTCGCAACTACTCACCCGCATCTCACCTTTGAGCCCGCATTCACAGAGCAGGATGAGCTGTGGGACCCGCAGTATAGGGAGCCGCGCGGGGCACGGCGGTATAGGGTTGCGATGCTGTTGGATGACGTGTGGGAGCATGATGGTGGGGTGTGGATTAGTATGACGGCGCATAGTGGGGCGATTGCTAGTTTGTTGGAGAGCTTGGGGCATAGGGCGTTTGCGTTGGAGACGGGCGGGGTGATTCCGGTTGTTGTGGAGGGGAGGAGGGTGGAGGGGGCGCGGAGGGTGCCGGAGAGGGAACCTAGTGATGAGCCGGATTGTGAGGGGTGGGAGGGGTGAGTTGTGCGTGTTTAGAGGAGGGGAGAGAGAAAACATGGCTGTGTCTAGTCTATACGGATGAGCATGTGAGGAATGTACAGCGCGTGAGTTTGATGAGAAGGCTTTGCTGTTGATTTTGTTGATTCTTCTTGCTCTGCCAAGGGGAAGGCCTACTTATTTCAGAGACAGCCTCATCACTTTATTTGCCCTGCTCTTTCATAAATTTTTTTGAGGAAGAGCCACCCAGACCAACCTGCCGGAACGCCATTGCATGCAAGAAGCACCCCAGTCCCCTGCTGTTCAAAGTCCGACATGCCTCCATAACCCCACCTTCTACATTACAAGTTCGACTGATTTTGCTTCTGCTCCCTCTCCACCTCGTACAAGAAGTCAAAGTAGGGCTTGTCAAAGTGGTGCACACGAACGTAACCGTCCTCTCCTCCTGAGCAGTAGCTCGTGCCTTGTGGGTGGACGGCGACGTAGTTGAGAGGACCAAAGTGACCGCGCACACGTCCAATCTCCTCCATGAAAATCTTGTGGTAGAAGCGGGCTTCGAATTTACCCTGGCGGGCCGAGGTGGTGGTGACGTCCATGGCGGCTTGGCCTCCGCCGAGGATAACGTAGTCTTTTACAGGGGTGATGGCGGCGCTGTTGAGGGGGGTGTCGGCGACGTAGGATTTGAGGACGGTGAGGTCTTCGACATCGACAAGCTGGATGTTATTAGCGTCAAGTCGAGTAGTTGGGGGAGCGATTTGGTTGTACCTTTGCGGTCTTGTCTTTCGATGCGGTGATGAAATATGATCGGTCAGGTGCCCACTGGAGGTCAGTGACTATGTCATGTCAGCATTTTCCCAGACTGAAAATTGACTTCCATTCGTACCCTGCATATCTGGCTCGTGCACGTCGTAGTTGCTTGAGAGTAGCTCTCCAGTCTTGCCATCCCACTGTGTGATCGAGCCGTCTTCGTGTCCTGAAATGATGTATTTTGCAAGGTAACTGAAACCAGCAACCGTCGCTTTACTCTCATCACAGACTATCCTGAGCAGCTGCTCATCTGACTGTTGCGCCTCAGGGTCGGGGTTGATCTCGTATACGCAAATGGTGGAGAGGTGTCCGGACCGCTTCTCCGTCACACCCAGCAGTTGCCTGCCGTCTGCGGAAAATTCGACGCGCTTGATCGATGTAGCGAATTCCCATGTGTGAAGAAGCTTGCCCGTCTTGACTTCCCATAACCGCATCGTGTTGTCTGCGCCGCCGGTGGCCAACAGTTCTGAAGTGGGGTTGACGTCGACGGTCCAGAGGGCACCCTGATGGCCGTGGTAGGTTCCTAACCGCTCGCCATTGTGAGAGTCTGCATCCTGTCAGCCTTCTGCCCGGGTTCTATGCGCAACGAGCTGCACTAACACCATGCGCACACAACGTGATCCTTTGAGACGGAAAAGATGATGTCGCCGTCAGCGTTATATTTGACTTGCGTGAGCGCGCGCTCGTGTCCGGACAAGAGAATCGGCCTCATCGTGCTGGGCTGCTGGCGAGAGTCGGGCGGGCAGGGTTATATGTGGCGGGGCGGGGGGAGCGGCGACGTTAAATTTCGTGACTGTACTGATATCGACATCTTGGTGTTGAAGTGGGCTGCTGCTAACCGCATGGGGACGCTAGCTTTGGTCCCGCACTAGGTCGCCGCACGTCGCTCGACTTCCACTTATCATTTCTCACTTTGTCAGGGCGACTTCACAATAACTGAAGTCCGATGATATAATCCAGAACTATATCGTCATTTGTATTTTCTGATGGAGAATGCCAGGAAGACCTCATCAATGTGTCATACAAGCAAGTTGCATATCGAACGTTGGACCGATTAGACGCCTTCATTTGCTATCGACACTGTAGGCCTAAAAAAAGAGCAGAAGGGGTACCTTGACTGATCCGACTTGTGACTTTAATAAGATGCCTGGTCACGGGAAGATATCTCAGTTAAGTTCGATATGCAGGACTGCGATTTTTGGCAGCACAATGTTCTGCTCGTCTCCAATATACGACCCTCATTCTTCAATAACCTAATCAGCCTTTTCAAAAGTTCGAGCCCGCTGACCAATCATTCAAGTTATTCCTCTTTGTTGTCAGACTAGGTGTCTCGAGTAGACTTCATTTCTCTATGTTCCACTCACAGCTGTTAACAGTGTGGCACGCTGTAAGAAGCTGAACGGCCCAGTTGAATCCTCGACTTACCCAATCCCGATATTGTATCCTCTCCTTCCTCATATAATGACGCTGAGAGATAGCTGAGACCTTCTCGCGGCTATCTGGCAAGAATATGCGTGGTTCTGAACAGAGTATTTGTTGACACAACCCATGTCGGGTCTCAATGACATACCCAAGACGCTGTTCTCAAGACTTCGGCTCGAAGTACTCTGGATATATCCATACTGGCTTGCAATTCAAGGATGGATTTTGTACACGCAATGTGTATCAATCGCTCCTGCCTGTCATCGCCACCCCGGTCTTGGCGTAATCGCACCTGCCTTCCATACCCACATGTTCACGCCAACACCACAACAAGACTCTAACAACCATCTTTCAAACAGCCAAGCCTGTCATCAAAGCCAATTGCCAAATGACAGCACAAGAGGAGTTGAGAATGGCATCAACACAACCATCAATCGAAATCAATCGGCTGGAGGAGGTTGAGAAGCTAGGTGCAAACGAGTATATTATAGCAGCCGGACCAGGAGGGAAGCAGTTCTATGCAACATCAGGAGGCTACTCAACGTAAGCTCTTATCACACAGTTATTCACTTTATATTCTGAGGACGAGATTAGCGTCGCTATGCCAGTGGACATGCTGGCGGAGGTAGCCGCTGGACTGGTCAAGAAGTTTGTCTGGGTTTCGTTCGGGAGCAGAGAGGATTCATGGTTCTTTGCATTCGAGACCAGAGATGGAGAGTACAACATACGCATCGGTTCTGCGACACCATCTGCAGTGCAGCAATACATCGCACAGCTGAGCATGTCAAAGCTACTTCGCGATTCTCTCCGCGTCCAACTTGGAGACAACGATTCATTCTTGGCTTGGTCGCGAAGTAGCTGGGCTGCATCTGGAGTTCCCCGGGCTCTGATTGATAAGCTGCGTACGATGAGCGTTTCTACTCGAGACTGGGGCGGTGTCCTAAAAGGAAATTTGAAGAGAGAATGTTGGCCGCTACATAACATTCAGTGGTCGCGAACCGGTTCCTTCTACTTCCAGTACCAAGACAGACACTTGGGAAGGTGGAAAGCAAAAGCCATGCGTGATGCTTGGGCTAGCCTTTGGAAAGACGAATGTACAAAGGACATGAGAACGAAGATTCAGAAGGAGCTTGCTGTATGTCACAGAGTGCTTCGATTTAGGATGATATCTAACGACCCTAGTATGTTTCCATCGATCCGCACGCCCAGGATGGCGAGGCATTCGTCTTTTTCAAAGAGCGACAGTCTGATGAACTTGCATTATTCGTCGCGGGCTTCAGTGGCGGAGAGACTTATAGCAATCTTGGGCCCAAAGATGAGGAACAGATACCAGAAAACAGTGTGCAGCGCATAGCCAAGGACGCAGAAGAGCCTACCAACTTGCAGTTGGCCGTATGCAGGAAAACAGGCCGGCCTCATCGAGGGGAGTCCTGGGAGCTGGCGGTCAAGAGAGGCGAGGTGGTCAAGGTGCTTCGAGACATGGGCCGCAATTGGTTCGTTGTTCAAAACATGAAGGATATCAAGGGATGGGTACATGGTACATGGTTGGACTTTGGCCAGAACGAGGTGCAGATGGATTCCAAGAGCGCGTACGCACAGTTTCAAGAAGACCTGAAAAAGCTGGTCCTTCCCGGTCAGCTGCGCTCCTTCCCTGACATGCGCGCCTACATGGACGCCTGTGCCATGGTCGACTGTCAATTCCTGAAAGAAGATCCAGAGGCCTTGGGGATCTGTGTGCACGAATTGATGGCCTTGCTGCGTGGATCAGGACTTTATTCGAAAGAGTGGCTAAAAGAGGGCCGCAACCTCTTCCACCCTGACAGGTTCGCTCGGTTCTGCCATGTAGAGCATGTCGAGGCCCTCAAGCCCCAGGCCGAGCAGCTCTTTGTGCTCTACAGTATCCTCATGGAGATGGCTTAGAGTGGCATTCTGTAGTCTGTGTAAATTATCGGGCAGTGTAGTCTGACAGCCCTCACGGGGAAGAGGGGGGCAGCAAGAAGAGTACATTGACCACACTGCAAATTCAGGTGATGGATACAAGCTGCTGAAATAGTTGCGAAGAGGGGAGAAGCTACAGTGGCCCTCGCAGTCACACGTCGGGATGGATTACACAGGTACTGCAGCAAGCAGATGACTGTCACGAAGGTAGGGTATAGAGTCGATTGCTTTGGACGATATCGCTACCGTACCCTTGCTTGGCTAGCACTGTCCCTCCCTACGTACCGTACGTACCGTAATGGCCCACGCGAATCGGGCGGAAAAGTCAATTGTTTTGGCGTCGGCGGAGTGCAGAAGACGTTGGCCGGGCGCTCCTCATCAAAGAAACGAGTTGTGCGCAGGCACAGGGCCGATTTGCATTGACTCATCAACGTGACAGATATGACTACAGTACTAATCTTTCCCTCGAAACCTACACCAGACTTGGAAAAGATTCGCCGCGCACGCCTCTCGGAAGGACGCAAGGAGGATCAGAGGCTTGAATTGGGCGAGGATGACACTGCAGCCAGCCTGCAGACGCACAATCGCGAGCACCAGAGGAACTGTGCTCCGTTGTTTTCCGCAGTTGCGAGCTACCCCGCCGTCGCTCTCGGTGAGAAAATATTGGAGTGCGACGACCTCAAGTGCTGGCCTGCTGCCCCGCCGTCTGTATACTGTCCGACTGCGATTGCCAGTCGCGTCGAGTGCTGAGTCTCCGAGCAGCTATCGTGTCAGCACAGGCAGGTGGTCTGCTTGCACAGCACCGTCACTCGTAAGACAAGCATCTGCCACAGCCACGAGTGCGACATCGACAACTCCCCTCTCCCGGCCCTTCTCGACATCCACGGCGGCCATGGCGGCTCAGAAGATCGATGGCACGGCCATTGCAAAGGGCATTCGCGAGAAGCTGAGTGCCAAGATCAAGGAAAGACAGGCGCAGAATCCAAGGTATAGGCCGAGTCTGAAGATTGTCCAAGGTTCGTCTGACCACTGTTTTCTTAAGAGTCTTGTCGAAGCATGTCTTGGGACCCGCAGATGTGCACAGTACTGTGGGCTGGTAGCTGTGAAGAAGCCATGTACTGACCGGGATATACTTTAGTTGGCGACCGCTCCGACTCCAGCACCTATGTGCGCATGAAGCTCAAGGCTGCCAGTGAGGCAAACATCGACTGCGAACTTGTGCACCTGCCCGAAGACCTGAGCGAGTCTGACCTGCTGCACAAGATCCATGACTTCAACAACGACCCCTCTGTCCATGGTATCCTCGTGCAGCTGCCGCTGCCCAAACACATCTCCGAGCACACCATCACCTCTGCCGTCGCCGACGAGAAGGACGTCGATGGCTTTGGCATCCAGAGCATCGGTGAGCTGGCAAAGAGAGGTGGGAAGCCGCTCTTCACACCCTGCACACCCAAGGGCGTCATGGTGCTGTTGCAGGAAGCGGGTGTGAACATCTCGGGCAAAAACGCAGTCGTGCTGGGACGCAGTGACATTGTGGGAAGTCCCGTGAGCTACTTGCTGAAGAATGCGGATGCTACTGTTACCGTGTGTCACTCGCGCACGGCAAATCTGCCAGAAGTTGTCAGACAGGCCGATATCGTGGTTGCAGCGATCGGCAAGGCACAGTTTGTCAAGGGCGATTGGTTGAAGCCTGGAGCCGTGGTCATCGATGTGGGAACCAACTTCATCCCTGATGATACGAAGAAGAGTGGGCAGAGGCTGGTTGGCGATGTCGACTACGAGTCTGCTGCTGAGGTGGCGTCGCATATCACACCTGTACCTGGCGGTGTAGGGCCCATGACGATTGCCATGTTGTTGCAGAATTTGGTAGACTCGGCAGATGCAGCCTTTGATCGTCAGAAGAAGCGAAAGATCTCGCCTCTGCAGATTAAGCTTGAGGATCCTATTCCAGCCGATCATGAGATTTCAAGGAAGCAGCATCCCAAGCAGATCACGGCGGTTGCGAGCGAGATTGGCATTCTGCCTCATGAGTTGGAGCCATATGGCGCGACAAAGGCAAAGGTCGACCTATCCCTGCTGAAGCGTCTCGAGCACCGCCGCAATGGACGATATGTTCTTATTGCTGGCATCACACCCACACCACTCGGCGAGGGCAAGTCGACAACAACAATCGGTGTTGCACAGGCTCTGGGCGCTCATCTCGGACGGATATGCTTCGCCAACGTTCGTCAACCCAGCATGGGACCGACCTTTGGCATCAAGGGTGGTGCTGCTGGCGGAGGCTACAGTCAAGTGATTCCCATGGACCAGTTCAACCTCCATCTAACAGGCGACATCCACGCCATCACCGCCGCGAACAACTTGCTTGCCGCTGCCATTGAAACCCGCATGTTCCACGAAAACACCCAAAAAGACGCTGCACTCTACAAGCGACTGGTCCCCACCAAAAAGGGAAAACGCGAGTTTGTCCCAGTCATGTTCCGTCGCCTCAAGAAGCTTGGAATCGACAAGACCAACCCTGACGACCTGACTCCCGAAGAGATCACCAAGTTCGCCCGCCTCGACATTGACCCTGAAACTATTACCTGGCGTCGTGTACTTGACGTCAACGACAGACATCTCCGCAGTATCACGATCGGTCAGGCACCTACAGAGAAGGGCCACACCCGCGAGACTGGCTTCGACATTTCCGTCGCCAGTGAATGCATGGCTATTCTTGCTCTTTCCAACGACCTTGCTGACCTGCGCGAACGTCTCGGTCGCATGGTTGTCGCCAGCTCGCGTGCAGGCGACCCCGTAACCTGCGACGACATTGGTGCTGGTGGTGCACTCACTGCCCTGCTCGTCGACGCCATCAAGCCCAACATGATGCAAACGCTCGAAGGCACACCCGTCTTTGTGCATGCTGGCCCCTTTGCCAACATCTCTATTGGCGCATCTTCCGTTCTCGCTGACCGCTTGGCACTCAAACTCGCTGGCACAGAACCAGATGAGAACCACGACGAGAAGACTGGCTTTGTAGTCACAGAAGCAGGCTTCGACTTCACAATGGGTGGCGAACGCTTCTTTAACATCAAGTGCCGTGCCTCTGGCCTGGTCCCAGACACCGTTGTCATCGTCGCGACAGTCCGTGCGCTCAAGAACCATGGTGGCGGTCCTGACATCAGCCCCGGTGCACAGTTGCCTGAAGTCTATCGAACTGAAAATGTTGACATCCTCCGAGCCGGCTGCGTGAACCTGAAGAAACACATTCAGAATGCCAAGGCATACGGTGTCCCCGTTGTGGTAGCCATCAACCGCTTCGCAACTGACACCCAAGCTGAGATCGACGTCATTCGTGAAGAAGCCATTGCCGCGGGCGCCGAGGACGCCATTCCGGCAAACCACTTCGCAGAAGGCGGAAAGGGAGCCATTGATCTCGCCCAAGCCATCGTCACGGCATCCGCCAAACCCAAGGACTTCAAACTCCTCTACGACCCCAGCACAGACACGGTCCAGGAGCGCATGGAAACCATTGCCAAGAAAATGTACGGCGCCTCTGCCGTGGAATTCAGCGAACTCGCACAGAAGAAGGTGGACACGTACGTCAAGCAGGGCTTGGGCAACCTGCCCATTTGCGTCGCAAAGACACAGTATTCGCTCTCGCACGACCCCAGCCTCAAGGGCGCGCCCACCGGCTTCACCGTCCCCATTCGCGACGTCCGAATGGCGGCTGGCGCCGGCTATCTCTATGCCCTGGCTGCGGATATTCAAACCATTCCCGGTCTGCCCACTGCGCCTGGCTACTTGAATATCGAGGTTAATACCGAGACGGGCGAGATTGACGGCATGTTTTAGAGTAGGGAAATATAGTTGTCCTTGTGAACATGATTTCATGCTCTCCTTCAACAATTGGACATTTTTTCTCATTCTCCACTTGCGGGGGGGGGTTGGCTTCTTCTTCAACGATACGGTGTTCATGGCGGATGCATTTTTTTCCTTTTTCTTTTGCTTGCGTGGTCTTGGAACAGAAGGAACAGGGGGGAAAGGGCGGGGGATGATTCTTCAACACGAGGGTATGGACATGTGGACATGGGATTGTTAGATCGCGAACGGTCTGGCTTGGGATGGGCATTCAACTTGGCATGACATGGACTGATGTTGCTGGATGGATAGATCTGGCCACAAAGTTACAAAACCACAACACAAGGATAGAGGATAGAAGCGAGCTTTCAATAGGGAGGAGTGGGTGGATGGTTGGTGAATGTATGTAGCTGGTTGGAGTGGATGTGTTGTGGTGTTGTGTTGTGATGATGTGATGATGTGCCTGTGACTTTGCGGTTTGAATGGATGTGTCTATGTGTGTGTGTGTGTGTGTGTGTGTGTGTGTCTATCCACATGCACTCTCACAAAAGCACACGCGACACCCTTCCTTCCTCCCCCACCATCATCTGCATCCGCATCTACAGACTAGACCGGACAGATATGAGGATGAAAACGAAGATGAAGATGATAGAAAAAGACAAAAGATCAGAATAAAAAACAATTAGAAAAAGAAATAACGCAGCATTCATCATACAGCTGTCTACTTGCCCATCTCCGAGCCCAACTAGCCATTCCCTCGATCCAACCATTTCTAGAAAAAGAGAAACCAAGACAGGGAAAAGCGAGATAATAAACACAAACACAACAATACTTCATCTATTCTAGCAACGCACACTCTAACTAAAACTAACCCCGAAAAAACCACTTTATAGGTAACATCTGCCATGGCCATCCATCTAAACTCTACAGCACCTCCCAGCTCCTATTTCACCCCCATACACATACGCCTCCCAATCTTATCAACCACAGACATGCTCAACGCTAGCGACCACAAAAAACCACAAGGAATCCTGCTCAAACAAACTCCCAGCTCAAGACGGATCGGGTTGAACAAGCATCAGTCTCCTCCAAAACCCACAAATTCTAACAAAATTCCCACTGACAAGTCATGTCCATGCATCCTAGTCGTACCACGTATCTGTCATATCTGTCGGTTGAAAACAAAAAAGGAAACGTTGCCGAATTGAAAAGGAAAAAGTAGAACTTTCTGGAATGCCTTGATTTCTCCATGGGCCGAATGCTGGAAAGGTGTGTTGGTTCGGGGTGAAATAATGTCGACTGTGCAAGGTAGCCATTAGAACGTGGAATCGCAGAGTATCATTTGACAATACCTACCGTCGAGAGATCGATCATGCCAGGCCCAGGTCTGCAATGGCCTTAGCATAGGTATCCCAGTCAGTCAGAGCTCCAAGGGCACGACGCTCGTGTGCGTTGAGAAGGGTGAGGCCGTAGATGTAGCTTGCGTTGACCCAGCCAAAGCTGTCGATACAGTTAGTAAACTTGATCAATGTATTTCAAACTGACAACGTCAATGTCAACGTACCCTTCCCGAGGAACACCCTTGAAATCACTTCCTTGGTTTCCATACTCTGCTTCCACCTTGTGCGGATCAATCTTCCTCGTCACATCGTACTTTTCAACGACAACACCATTGAAGTCGACAAACGCTTTTGTGACCATGAACAGCCACCGATAAGCCAATCGCTGGGCCTCCACATCGTACCCATAGCGCTGCATACCGACCCACGCAAGGATCTGTTGCGGAGCCCAACCGAATGGATAATCCCACTGGCGGTTAGGCCGATCCAAGCCAACCTTGCCACGTGACTTTTCTGTACCCGACACAAGGCCACCAAACACTTCCAGTTTGGGCAAAGCCTTCTCCATAAGAATGCTAGCCTGTCGTGGTGTTGCGAGACCAGACCACATGGGCCAAAAGGTCGTGGCGCTCTCGTAGCCGGTGCGCTGCTGCTTGACGGTGTTATAGTCGAAGTACATGCCGGCCTCCTCATCCCAAAGGTACTTGTCAACTTGAGCACGGCGTCTTCTAGCGCGGCGCTCCCAGGCGGCAGACTTCTCCACTTGGCCCGGCTTCATGTCGCCTGTGCAGAACTCGGCAGGAATTTCAAGAGCATCATTGAAAAAGTTCCGAATACATCGTCCAATGTCGACTTCATACTTGTAAAGCAGTGCGTTGACGTCCACCACAGCAAGATCTGCAGCGACCTTTTCCAGACGATACGAGGTGTCGTGACCAGACTCGCGTACAGCCCGATCGTGGAGGAAGTAATTGTCGAGCTCAGGCTCGTGCACTCGTTGATAGTTGTATGCGTCGACAAACTCTTCGAATGTCATGCCATGCTTCTTAGCATAGGGATCGAGAACATGCTTGAAGTGAGTTGCTTCGGTCTCGGGTGGTACGCCCATACCACCAGGTCGGTACCTGGACAAGCCGGTGACAGGATCCAAGCGGGGAGCCGACATCCACACCGAGTGGTATTCCTTAATGGCTGCCAAGATGGCTTCGCGAAGGAAGTCCAGAGCGCCCGGTTCGTGCTTGATGCGGTCATAGCAACGAAGCGCCATGTCGGTCAAGAAAGGCGGTTGCGAGCGGCAGAGATAGTAGGTTCGGTTTGCGTTGAGGATCTTGTTGTAGTGTTTGATGCAGAAACAAAAGTGAATGACCATGGACTTGACCAAGTCGACCCGGTTGTTGACGAGCAGACCGAGCGATTCCATGTAGCTGTCCCAGCCATAAAGTTCGTTGAACCGACCGCCAGGAACGACAAAGGGTAGCCCCCTCAAATCCTTCTTCTTGGTCTCGGGATCAATCCACTCTTCCATGGCGATGGCGAGAAGACCAGGGGCCTTGTTCAAGTCGCGTACGTACTCTTCATTGTCGCAATCCTTTTGCAGCCAAACCACATCTAGTCGCATCTCAGGATGCTCTCTGGCGATGCGACTGTAATATTCATGCTGCTCTGGCGCGCCCTGGGGGATGTATATGCGCGGGCGTGGGTCATCCGTCCAGTCCTTGGGGTCGACGCCGACTTTGGCGATATTGGAGCCATCGATGCGTCGTGTAAGGCCATCCCAGAAAGAATGTTCAATGAGGCGGGCAAGGCGGTTTACAGGATTTTCATTTAGGCGTGCTTCGTCCAGCACAATCGTCTTGCGGCCGTAGTCCTGGGCGAGGGTGAGCTCCTGGAGCAGGTTGGACAGCATATAAGTGCCGCGAACGTCGAATTTGTTGTGGGCATTCGAGGCCAGGGTGCCCAGAGATATGACCTATTTTGGGTCAGCCAAGCTTCTTTCCTCTTCTATTTTGTGGATGGGCCGCATCGTACCTTTGGACCCTTGTCGTCGATGGTGATTTGGCAATTCGAGTCCGAATCCTCGCGGGCGAGAAGCGTCTTCAGGGTAGGCTCGACTTGGACGAGAAAGCGACGTGGCTGCGCAGGAACCTCATCTGTCGTCTGTTAGCCTAACGTAGGCCATGTAAAAAAAACCAGCAAGGTGGCTGTCAAATCACGTACCGTGACTGATGCGACGACCCTGGGGAAATCCATCTGTGATTGGGGCATTGCGGCCAGAATGTTCCAAGTTCTGTGAGATGTCAATGCCAATTTGTCAAGTAAAAGGCCATGATAGTTACCGCTGAGTAGGTCCTCGCCCTAATGTGCTTGCGCGAGTGGCTTTCGCCGTAGTAGACGTGGGGGGCAGCGTAAGGGTCGAGGGCAGTCGAGGTTCGGCGAGGCTTCGAGTATTGCGAGCTCATGCTATGGGGGGGGACGACCGGGCCGAGACAGCAAGCTGTGCAGTGCTGTGCGGTGCTTTACGGTGCTGTACGGTGCTCTGTGAGGGGCTGGGCGGGTGGTGAAGATATTTGGAATTGGCTGCTATCAGACAAGTAGCGTAGGTACTAGGCACGGGTACTCTCTCTCTGTACTGTGACCGGAGTTAGCACAGGGCCCGCTATGGCGAAGGCGGGTCGGCGGTGGCGTGCGCGGGGGAACACACACACAAAAGGGAAGAGGTAGGTAAATAGGTAGTGCTGTGTTTAGCGGGAGGAGGTGCAAGATCAAGCGTGACGAGAATAAAAAGACTGTCAAAGGTGTGCTGTAGAGTGGTAGAGTGGCTAGACGTAAGAGGGCTAAGGGAATGGTGGGTGTAGTGGTGTAGTAGTAGTAGTAGTAGTAGTCGTAGTGTAGGTAGGTACAAACAGTTCGAGGTTGGAGGAACAAGGGGACGAAATGCTTCAAGTCCGGCCAGGCAGCGTCACAAGTGGATCTCTTTCCCCCTTGCCCTTCCTTGCTAGGTCGGCCGATGGTGATGATGGAGGGAGGGAGGGATTGGATGGGTCCTGCTGCGCGGGAACTCAGCATGGCAAAAGCAGGCGGTGGCCAGGTTTCCCAGCTGTCCGTTGTGTTTTGCTTGCTTTCCATGGGCGAAAGAGGCGGTGAGGATGTCGCAGCTGCTTGCATGAGGGGGACATTCCTTACCCAAGAAGTCGCAGTGCGGAGGGCGGAAAGGCGCAAAGCTCTCTCTCTCTCTCTCTCTCTCTCTCTCTCTGTCTCTCTCTCTGTCTCTCTCTCTCTTTCTTTCTTTCTCTCTCCTCTCTCTCTCTCTCTCGTCTCGTGCGACTTCTCTCTTTCTCTTTCTACTTCGAGCGTGCCTGCCTTGATGACCACATCGCGACTTCTCTTTTCCCCCGCCCCTCCTTCCCCCCCCCCCCCCCCCGCCAGCTCTTGCCGTACCGACCCACCCGACGACGTCACTAGCTCCAGTTTCCTCACAACAACATCACCACCACCACTCGACCTACAAACCATCTAATTGCCATTTCACTCTTCAACCCTTCTTTGTCTTCTATGTTCCCTGTTCAAGTTTTCTTTTTTTTTTTCTTTTTTCTTTTTCAAAAATTTCACATGATCTCGGTTCTGGCCCCGCTCGAGTATCCATGGCCATCCTGCGTGCTGTGACTGGCGCGGTTGGGTCAGGTCAGGCGCACCTTCCGTCAGCTTGCATGCGGGTTGTCTACGTAGGGTAGGGTAGGGTAGGGTACAATTTCCCTCCCCCCTTTCCCCTCCCCCCACTTACGACTCCACCATCGCGACCTGGATAGACTTTTTCACGTGGAGCTCGCACTGCTTCCAAGACGCTTGCTTGCTAGACTCTGAACAATTCATCTCGTCGCGCTTTCCTAGTTTCTCCAACAAAACGCCAGACCACACGGGCATGCTCGGGCGAGTCTGTGCAGTGCCGTCAACTGAGCTCAGCATGCGTCACAGCTTCCATGTACACCGGCTCTCCAACATGACAGGCCGAGATAGACAGAAGAAGATTTCGATTGAATCCGAAGAATATGGAGGCTATCCGAAGAATATCAGTCCACCGAAGTGGCTGGCTGAAAACAGTAACACTAACCCTACAGGCCGTGGTCATGACAAAACAAAAGGGCCTGCCGAGAGCAGACATGCAAAATCCCACACCTATGTTTGCCAGCCTAGAGGAGCCGCCCGAAACGCCTTCGCCAATAAATGCGCCAGCAATACATGAAAAAAAAAAGGACGACAATGAATCCATCAATCTCTCTTCAAACTCCTCGACGACTGCATCAGTCTCAGTCCTCTTTTTCCAAAGTCTCGCAAGCTTCGTCTCCTTCCTGATTGAATTTCTTGCACCTCAAAGATACTCTGCGCCTCAGATACTGATCTTCGATGGTCAAAGTCATTGCTGGATGCGTTTGAGTTGGTCCGGCTGCTTCTTGATTCGCTCGTAGGTGTTGTGGCCCATGGTAGTGGTTGTTGCATTGCGAGGAAGCCTGAGGCGAAGCATCCACCATAGATCTCCAATGCCTGCAAGGACGCTTTTCTCCTCCTTTCAACCTTTTGCTCGTCCTCTTCGTCATCGTCATCCTCCTCCTGCGCCTGTTCGAGCTGGTTGGTTTGCTTTGTCGGGCTTTGCTGCCCATGATGTATGCTTTGCTGCTGATCGCTGTTAGTCTCTAGGCTTTCAATCAACAGCATGGCATCACATACCTCTGTAGGACGGCGGCTGTTCGAGCGCAAGTTCTCCTCAGTCAGGGCGCTGAGTGTAGACCTCATGTTCTGTGTGCGGACATCAAGAGCGCGACTCATCTTGCTGGCCGTCTTTGATTTTTGGTGCTTGTGCTTGTCTTGGTAATTATCGACCCAGAAGGAGAGTAGAGCTATCCAAAGCTTGATAGTGGATGATCAGTGATGGCAGTAGAAGGAATTGACTTGGATGGGATATCGAGCAGCATATGGATGAGGTATCGCAGCCCTTTATGTACAATTCACATGGTCACCACTTCAGCGTCCCCCGCGACCAGCTCCTCACGGCCATCATACCCCCCCAACCTTGACGCCACGACTCCACAATTCACAGAACCATTCGCGATCGCATCCAGCAACTTGGTAGATGCTTGCTCGTCTACCATTACCTCCATCGGTACTTGCAGAAATTGGGCCGGATCAGCGCTCACACCTGTTTAGCTCCCGCAGAGCAGGGGCCCCGGCGGATTTAGCGTGCGCCACGGCGATGAGGCTGGCGATTCGACTCGCGCAAGCCGACACGTCCTGAAGGACTCGTAGATAGGGGGACCGGCCAATCACAGTTGCCAGCCACCGTTGCACCCAGTCACCCGACCGAGCTGTGAACCCTCGTTCAGGCCTCTCTTTTCGAAACAGGTTCATGGTCGGCGAAGTAGGAGTATGGGCCATGGCTTCCCTGGCCCTCCTCCAGGTACAGGGGCGCCTCAGCCGCAGAGAGGTCGTTGTTCATGGCCATACTGCAATGCCCTTGCCTCTCTGCAAATGAAGCGGATGGCTCACATGTCCAGGTTTCAGAATGTCCAGCTATGCGGCTTCATTGTCTGACATCGGACCATTAGAGCAGGACCACGGTACGGAGGGATGGCCCGCATACACCTGCACCCACTATACGTATGCACTAGATAAGTTCAATCCAAACTTCAAAAATGACTCAAAAGTTTGGAGACTGGCTCTTTGATCTACTAGTAGGCCAGCTTACCGCAAAACATGCATCAGGATGGATTCTCCTTCCCTGATCCTCAATGGGACCTTGATCTTCTGCAACATACGTTACTATACACTCTTACCCTAGCTGATTCACTTCCAAACTAAGCCTACCCTATGCTTTGTTCAAGATGGTTATGATCAGTGGGGCAGGTAGGCAGCGGTACCTGTAAGTTGTAAGTAGGCCGAATCCAGCCAGCAAGTCCCCCCAGAGGACATGTAGCGTCTTGCGATGATGTGTTTGACCTGCTTTCAGAGATGTACCCCCAGCTGTTGCAGAGATCAGCAATCCGGCAATGAGGACCAGACGCCCAAGTACCGAGAAGACCAGAGTGACAGCAGTCGCAAAAAGCACAGTGCATAGCGCAGACGCCGAACGGTGAAGCGTGTCATGCATGGGTTGTTGTCCTGTAGGAGATTTGCAATGTACATCCGTGCCCCGACCGTGGGAGACATGCATGTAGGTAGCTGGGTAGGTAGTTTTAGCTTGGATCTGAGTGAGAATCAGGCATACAATTCTTCCGTGCCGTGTGGGACTGCTCCACACTGTGTTGTACATGCCTGGCGATCACAGCGATGATGGGTGATGGACACAGATCACTCACGGCCAGAGTTATTTCTTTGCTCCCCATATCTTTAGCTATCAGCCGCCCCGCCTTTTGCAGCATTGAGTTTGCTTGGAGCAACGATTTCCAGCGAAGCTATCCGCGCGTCAATAAACACGTTGACGTTGCGTACCAGAGCATGACAAGCGCCACTGCGGTTGGGAGCACGGCGATCGAGCTAGGAGGCCAGCGGGAACCCTCTGTTCACGCACTAAGAAACTCTAATTCGGGCGCGCCGAGTCTCATTATTGTAGGAAAGCTTAGCATGATGGCCAGGTTGTATGTACCGGTACGTACCTACATAGGTACAACCGATAGTGGCTGCACACGAGGGGGAGGGGCTGAGCCATTGGGCAGGATCCCTAAGGCGGCCCGTGGTGGCCGGTAATCTTTCACACATGTTCCGTATTCATTACGGATCTAGAGGAATCCGGTCGAGCTGGTGACGAACTGTTGAATGGGAACGAGACGACGTTCGCAGGTACCTAGGTACATAGCCCCATAGCCATATGGCGTAACATGGTGGTGATGGCTCTCAAAGAGTCTGTGCATGGATACCTCGATGGTACGGAGTAGGCAGCGGCCGAGTCGCTAGTGCCAAAAGGCGGATATACTCGGTCATACACAGCCCAGCACAGCTAAACGAGTCTGACCTGATCAAAACTCCCACACTTTGACTTTGCCCACAAACTTCATCGGCGAAACCAGAATCTGTAGAACCACGCGCAGAAAACCCAACTTCGACCTCGAAAGTCACGTATCCATCCCAATTTGCCAAGTCGAGCCTCCAAGACTTGCTCCCCCCTCCCCACAAGGCAACTACGGCGACCTTTTTTTTTTCTTTCCCTTCCTCCCAAAAGCCACCACCACCCAACATTCCCAGGTAACTCGCAGTCCCGCGCCCGTGTCCAATATCTCGGGCTTGTTACACAGCGGCGCGATCATGGATCTTCGCCCCTTCTTTCCTTCTTTCTGAAGAAAGCAGGATCGTAGGTTCATGTACGATCGTGCACGCCCATGCGACCTCATCGTTCCAGATACACGACCCTTGCGAGGATCCTGGGCTCAGGCTCGCCATCCCCCAGTTGGCTGTCATGCTTCCATATGACGTCGCTAACCCTTGGCCAACAAACGAGTGAAGAGATTGAAAGGATTCGGGGGCCCTGCCCATTGGCAAGCCTTGTTCTTTGTTGTCCAGGGGAGAGAAGGGGCCACACCCATGGCCTTTTTTCAAAATTTCCGTCCTGTTGTTTGCCATCTTTCTTTTTCGCTTTCTCATTCGGATTCGAGGGTCCAGCTTTCACGTGTCGGTACCCCTGAGACCCCTAACCCACACTTTTTCCATGGACTCGGGGAACCGGTACACACGATTGACAATTGTCCTCGCTCGTCTTTGGAAGCGGTACAATTGCTCTACTCGGCGCATCAACGTTGCGCAGAAATTGTGTCTGGATAGAAGAAGAAAACTCTTATTATTGCCATCTCAAGCTCTAAGGCGCAACTATACGAACTATCCTTGTAGTCTATCTCACCATCTTCTTCTTTTTTCCACTTCTCACCTTCCACATCTCCTCTTTTCTTGCGCGATAGTCTTTCATTTTCTCTACTACCAACAATCAAGAAAATATAATAAAACCTAGTCCTTATCTCTTCAAGAGTTTTCCCCCCAAAAACGTCTGTTGCAACACACCTACACACTCATACTCTAACGTTTCCACCTGCATCTGCTTGCAAAGAAAACAAAAAAGTAGGGCAATTTACGCGAGTTCTGCATTTTCTCGCAACGGTTGATTAACATTTCCTCTTACCTAAACCCCCCCATGGCCTTCTGCATGTCAGATCGCTCCACGAGTCAAGCACCACCCTCCACCCATGCAGTCGATCCCCCCTTCCCTTCTCCCACTCTCCCTCAGCACGCAAATCCGCCCTCGAGCCTCGAGCAGGAACCAACTCGTATCTTATTACCCACGCCCGTACATGCAGATAATATATCAGCGGTCCAGACCGCCCGAACCCTTACCTCGCCGTCCTGCCCCCAGGAAAAACCCCTGCGCTGATGCCATGTAGCACTAAGCTCTGACCGGCTTTTCAATATATCAGCGCTGTACCCCCCTTCTTCGCGCCCTCTGAATTTCGTGACGACGTCATACTCATACCTATTCATCGAACCCAACACACTCCCACCCTACCCTACAGTACACTCTACTACTACACATCGCGAGGATCACCGCTGCGCCCTCACCCCCACACCCCTCTCTCTCTCTTTCTTCCACCTCTTTTTCTTGCAGATGTCACTCCAAACAACGTTTTGCATGTCCCCACTTTGATATTTTATTTTACGCTCCGTACTGCGCTGCCTTGATTTGGAGAAGGTGTGGGGTTTGGTGGGGGGGCTTCGGGTTAGTTTCCTTGGGGGGGTGGGTGAGTGGACTGGGGGGTGGTAGGTTGTGTGGGGGGTGACGATGCGGTTTTTTGGTGATGTTGGTGACATTGTGGGATGTGAGCGGGGGAGGGAGGGGAGGGGTTTAGATGCGCATGTGTTTGGGGAATGGATGGGTGGGGTTCCCTTGGATATATGGGGGGTGGTGATGTTTGTTGGTGGTTGTAAATAGTACGATTATCACGATTGTTTTCTTTTTCAGTATGAATTCCTCTTCTTTACAAACAGTGGTATGCAGTGTACATATTGAGAATGGTTGGAAGGGGTTTGTGGTTTGCTGTAGGGGAAATGGTAGGTAGGTTTAGAAGGGTAGAAGGGGGGGTGGTGATGTGGCTTAAGCATTTGGTGGGTTGATTGCGATGTGTAAACTGGAAGTTTGGGGACGTTCTTGTGTGCTGATGTTGGTTGGTATCGTCGGGAAGAGGTGGCTGGTGTGGACTTTTTGGGTTTATAGGGTGGTGCTGGATTTATCTTTTGGTATTTTCAAAGGAAAATAAGACATTCGATATGATGTGCCGGTACATCATTTGGTCACTCTTTGTTAACAGCTGGCTTCCTAGCATCTCGAATCAAGTGGCCGACTTTTCAGGGACTATCGAACTAGGTATACACATTCTTGTAATCCCGCTCTCAATCTTAGTCAACACTGCCAATCTTTCGGTGTCTGATGGGGTGACAGCAGATGACCCATCGCTACCTTTAAAGACACTGTTCAGGCGTAACTAAAGCAACAGCACCCGCGTCCCTCGTGCACTTCTTTGACCCGGGATGTGCCGATATTTTCTTCGAATTTTCGCAAGTTCATGCGGTCGTTCCCGGATATAGGACGACATCAACATCTGTTCGCACGGTATTGAGTCCGTTGGTGTTGGATTCCGTGGTGTGACTTTGACGCCATTCGGATAAATGCAAATGTCACACCACGCATCACCACACTCACTCAACTTCAGGGTACGAGTAACACCACGTTGACTCCACCTAAGAGCACATGGAAAATCTTCGCAGGCACACTATGATGAATGAAAAGTCGGACTGTGTATATAAGCGCAATCCAAATATACTTCACACTCTTACCCTCATCAACAACGAACATTACAGTGAAGAATAAGCACCAACCAATCCCATTCACGATCACAACTGAACCTGCACAACAACGCATACACATACCAGTTCCTCCAACGAAACAAAAAACCGCGCACATAACCCAGCACGCGAACCACCAAAAAAAGATCACCCACGAAAAATGGAGCCCACACCCACCGAACCAAACACAATATCCACCTCCTACCGCTTCCACATGCCACATCCCCATCTCCCCAAGCACACGCACATGCAAATCCACCTCCCCCATCTACCACATCTACATCCCAAGCCTTCGTCCACGGCACGCGGCAAAATGCCTGAGACGCAAAACCCCGCGCAACTAGGTGGGGGACAAGGCGAGGAGGTGGGGAAACCGCAGTCTCAGTTCCGGAGGAATTTGCATTGCTGGATGAGGGATGTTGCGGAGGTTTATGGGAGGGTTTGAGGGGGGTGGATGGTGGATGGGAAGGATGAGAGGATGAGAGGAGTGAGAGAAAGGGAGATTGGTTGGTTGAATGAGTGGATGTGAGGAATGAAGGAGTAATAGAGTGGTATGTGGAAGACACTCGGTTTCTGAGATGGATCGGGGAGAAGGGTATGGGTTGTTTGGTTTGAGTCATCAATGGTGATATGGTAAAGGCTGGATCGAAGCGGGGCATCGTGATTCGCGCAAAGTAAGGGCAAGAGCGACTGGGAATACGCCAACCCAAATTTATGAATGAATGTATTAATCTATCGAACATTGCACTAAATGCCAAATAATGACGGCATCTTAACATTCCACAAGTCACATGACCATGTCCAATGCAACCGCATCAATTGCAATCTTCCACAACACCATATCCAGCCCCTCATTCCCTCCTCACTGACGAGAGTACTGCATCCGCCAACTTGTCAAGCCGCTGACCCAGCACACCCTGCTTCCTCCAGCACACCAAATTCTCATCCAACAACTCGAGATTTCTCGCCTTCAGCGCCGTCCATTCCGTCACAAGGCTTCCGTACTTCTCTTCCAACTCTATGAACATGGCCTCCCATCGCTTACAACTCTTCCTACATGTTTTATCATCATCATCCTCATCTTCAGCGTCAGAAGATTCCTGGACATCGCCACTCTCATTGTGGGGGTTGATGGCGTCAACATGCTTGTTCCCCTTCTCAGCCTGGCTGGGGGATTCGACATCAGCGGAATCGTGTTGCTCTTGGACGTATGAGCAGTCTGCAAGAAGACTGATGTATCTCGCGTGCCAGTGATCGCGATCGTATGCGAAACTTTCCTTGTCGGCAAGGGCTTGTTCGAGCCTGTACTCTAGATCGTAGGGATTCCTTTGCGTCTTCAACTCGTCGTAGTCTGCAACAAGGTCATTGTATTTCTCCTCCCACTCTTGGCATTTCTGTACGCATGTTTCGCTGATGGGTGTGCAATCTTGGGTCTGCTCTCTGAGAGAGTCTTTGGATATGATCTGCTGTCTAAGCAGGGAATTTTCCTCTTCCAGGGCCTTGTATTTCTCTATGCATAGGCCGAGTTCTTCTTCTGGGTCTTCCCCGGTCTTGACCTCGGATCTCGCATCGATTTCTGCTTTGATTGGTTTTGCATACTCCATTTTAAGATTGTTGTACATCTCTCGCCAATCTGCGTCAAGACCTGCATATCTTGCTTCCCAGTCCGAACACGCGTTTTCCCATTCGCAGTTTTGATTCATGGTGCTATCGAGATCATCCTCAAGGTTGCTAATCATACTCTTCAATTCCTCGATTGTTTGTTCCTGGTCCATCATGGCGTTTCGCAATTTTTGGCACTCTGGGCTATTTTCCTTGGGCTTGCCCTCCCATTGCTTGGACTGACTGGAATCATCATCCGATTCTAGTCGGGCGTCGGCGCCATCTGTTGTATCCAGTTGAGACTGATCTGACTTAATGGTATCACCAAGAGTCTTTGGGTTGTATGTTTCGCTATTGTGGGACGAGGCGTGATTTGGCGACCCCGGAGAGTCGTAGAGGTCATGATTGTCACCTGGAGGCGTACTACGTCGGCTCATTTCGTCCATCTGCTTTAGTTGATTCTCGAGGTCCGCATTACGCTTCATTACGATAGCCAACTGCTCTATCTCTGGTGCATCACGTGCTTCGTGATAACCCTCCAACTCGACCCTCATCCTGTCATTCTCAGCGAGAACTTCTTCTAATATGTTTTGTTGAGTTTGAATATCATCCTCGAGGTGTTTGTTACGATTCTCCAGATCGTTGTTATCTTCCTGGAGGTGATCTCTCTCTTCCTCCAGCTCTTGGTTCCTGCTTTGTGAGTTTTGGGGCACACTTTTGAGCTGTTGAGTCTCGTCCTCTAGCTTTCTGACTTTGTGCGCAAGATCCTCATTCATTTCCTCAGGTCGTCTTTTGACATGATCCATCTCACCATGGTCGCGATCCGTTCGGATCTGGACGTCTAAGTCTTCGACTACGGAGTCCGGGAGGGGGCTAGACTCCTTGCTTGAAGGGTTCACCAAGGCTTGGTATGCTTCGAAGAGATCATTGTATCTGCTTTCAAGGATCGCCCGCGTCCATTCGTCGCTTTGCTTTTCGTGTTTTGATGCCATCACCGTAAATCTTGAGGTATGCTATGATGGGTATTGGAGTGGAGCGATCGCAACAATTATATTCGGGCATTGGGCTGACCAGGTCAAAAGTTTGCCTGTCTTGTGCAATCACAGCTGTCTTTTCTTGTCCGGGATTATGATTGCCTGATTGTGGAATGCCATTGTACTCTCAAGAGCCATCTAGGATTCATTATTTGGCTTGCCAGACTCGTGAGTACACTGACTAAGCACGGGGCGCGAAGTTGTGCACTACTATGATTGATGTTGAAAAAGACAGTAGATTTTGGCTGGGAGTCATACATGCGATGATCGTGATTTTTCACGCGTGATGCTGAAACCAATGGAGGGCCTACTACAAGGATCAGGCAAACCAATACGTTTTACATGAATTTGATACCAGCTCGCCTTACGATGAGATCAGTAAGCACGGGAAACAAAGAGCATCTGGCTTGCGTAAGTATGTAGAAGAAATCGAGCACTTTGGCTTGAGCTTTATCACAAACAACTGTGACCCAATGCACAAACTCTAATGCCACCAAGTTTCATTGCATAGTGCTAGTCGTGGGCACTCATCGCGGACAATCGAACGTAGAAAAGACAAGGCATGGTTACGAAGACCACTATGCTCACTGGATACATGACCGGCTAGAGTTCCAAATGTAGTGCGAGTATCATAACGCAGGGTATCAGCATCATACGCCGTTCTCCAAAGCGGCGTGTGCATGTGCGTGTGTCGCACAATCAATTGACGTGACGACGTGAATCCATACCCGCACCTAGAGAGAATATGTCACCAAGACCTAAGTGCCGGAAACGGTGGCTGTTCTCGGCTGCCGTGAAGGTATGCCCGGGAAACGTCTCTCCATGTCGAAGTAGACTGTCGACGCTACGATGCAGAAGAAAGGGGTGAGTTGAAGTCGTCAGTGTGCCATTAGGAGTGCATACGCCAATAGGAGTGCATACGCCAAGGCAGAATATCCAGGGGTGAAATGCGATATATGCAAGGTGTAATATATGATGGCTCTTTGGCTACTGTTGCTGTGCTCTGCAGGGGTAATGAAGATGCGTCGGCGGTTACAGCCTTTCGTTTTGCTTCATCCGGCCTGTGGGGAGGTGATTGCTACTATTCAAGACCGGTAGCTCAATTTGTCTCTGTTGGCAAAGCTGATTAGTTTCTGCAATCTCAACGCACCTTGATGCATCGTGAGGATCAGCTAGAGCTCTCACGTCATCGGATGCTTATTGAGCGTGAAGGAGTGCCGTAGTTGTTGTAGTCGAATCATTAGAGACGTCCCGTGTAGCCGTATCTGCACCTCTGTCATACTAGTTGCCTTCTTTATCCGGACGAAACTCAAAAGATACAGTGTATTCGAACAGGACACCTCCTCTTGAGTGTAGGCAGATGTCAACATCACAGAGCAGGGGTGCGGCCATGCTGGTAGATGATTGGATATCTAAGCGAAGTCATACCATTGGACATGTTCGCTCTTGCAACCTTCGACTCCGCCACCATGCTCGGAGGATCCGGCACCAATGGTTCCTCCCTCGTGCATCTGTCATTGAGGCGGAGCATAATCCAATATTATGGCCTCAGTCACCTTGCTTACCCCAACCTCCTTTCCTGATGTGTCTTACACAACACTTTACCCTCCGTAGTGACTAGAACATCTTTCATAACTACACCACAGTGTAACATCATGATCTTCGGTGGCCTCGAACTAGTCGCGGGTGGCTATCTCATCCACCGTCACTACAAGAGGAAGAACGAGAAAGAGAAACTCGAACAAGATGTACAACAATGGAGGAATAATACATTTCCTGGTGCAAACAACGCAAAGCGGGATGAAAGGCATTCACATCCACATCCACAACGCCAACAGCAGTCTTTAGTACCACAACAAACCTCTACACGTCAAGGCTTGACAACACAGCCGCAACAGAAGCCGCAATGGCAGTGTCAACAGCCTGCTCCAACCCGACATCAACACGAGCCTCGTCCCCAGTCTTCTCCTCAAACACAATCGTTCAGGATCCCTCGGCGGCCCGTGCCGGAGCGCAAACCCCAGATCATAATACAGCCTTGTCTCCAACGGACCGACTCTTTCGCAACAATATCGCGAATGCCTATTGCAAATGGCTCGCGACCCCGGGATCTTCCCGAAGAACATCCACCACCTTTCCCTCCTCGACGAACAGTCTCGGGTCTACAACTTGCACCCCAGCACAGTTTGTATGGCAATCCAAGCTTCTCCATGTCGTCGCCGGCGTTTGGTGCTACACCCACGTCTCCGCCTTTGACGTATGAGCTGGCGACAAGCCCGGTGGACGGATACACAAATGGCGACCGTTGGGAGGCTTCCGGGGATGACAGCAGGACGTCGGACTATGCGCCGACCGTTTCGACGCAGTTGGGTGAGCAGGATCCGCCACCTCCTTATGCGCCTTGATTATCTTCTGGTGACGGTTTAATGGTTGATGGATAACGCCTTTTTGAGGAGCTGTGTTTCCCGGACTTCGTTTCGTTTTAGTTTCATTGCTCGTTGAGTCCATGTATTACACATAGTATTTATAATAAAATGACCTTTCTTTTTCTCAAACCGAATTTAAATGAGAACCTACACCCTCTGATAAGATGTTTACTGCTGCGTCACGATCTATATAAATGAAAACTGGGGTAGAAGAGCTGCTATGCAGATGAGCGAAGCCACGATACATGTGTTCATCGAATTTTGTGCTACAAACACTGGCCTGGCGCCTGAAACGAGCCTACAACGGGCTCCATCTCATTATCTGGTTGTACAACACTATAGCTTCCTACGGCCAAGCCCGATAGCATAAGCCTACTCTGAAGTTTCCAAAGCATCGACGAACACCTCCTCATCACTAATCTCCTCAGAATCATCATGCTTTTCAACAGGCACGAAATCCTCGTCATCCTGATCACCCTCATCAGACCCATCCACTGCCTCTTCTCCGGGAGCTGAAGTGTGACGTGCAACTTGATGTCGGATATCGGAGTCGGCACTGTCGGCGAATGAGCGGAAGAATGGGTGATTTTCTGTGAGTGGTTTGCCCGTGGTGACGAAGCCCATAGGAGTGTGTTCAAAGTCTTGACCCTTGCGTCGGAGAGCGAGCCACTCATGTACTGCAACACAGGTTAGTGAGCTAATATCTGTCATGGTTCAACCAAGTACTTACGGAATGTGAGAGGTTTTTTTGCGAAGGTTCCTCTGTCCTCACTGGCAGACAGATTCTTCTCTAAACCTAGATAACTGAGCAGCTCATGATACTCGCGCCACTCTAGATACAAGCGGCCAGAGAAGATACCCAGCTCAACTGTGAGCCAGAGTGGAGCCTCAAAGTCGGTGGGCAAAGGAGGTGTTGCGTGATAGTCAAGGCGATTGAAGTGTAGCATCCTTCGAGTGACCGGAGCAGCATAAGAGATAAGGTGCACATTCACGTCTGCGCCGCGTGCCTTCCTTCCCCTCAGGAGCGGGATGAGTTGGTTGGCTTCCTCAGGACTCACAATGAGAGCATTTTGGCTGACAGAGCTCCATAGGACCCACTGAGGCACCCGTAGATAATTGTCGGTGGGCGTGTAACTTTCGACCGTCCGAGTGAACTGCGCGGAAATCCAGAGCTTCGATTTCATCGCGACATTGACGGCGTGCTTAAGTCCCAACGCTGTCTGAGCGAGGACCGCAAACAATGGTTTGTAAGCATCACTGCCTGCTACCAGTCTGCCAAATACCGCAAAATGCTTAACATCTTCGTGCAGATCCTTGACCTTCAATGCCGTCAAGTGGATGGCCTGTTGGACCTCACGAACGTTTTCCACTTCAATCTCCACTTCACGCTCAGCTTCACGCTCCTGCTCAATTTCTACTTCTTCCAATGCTGAGGCGTGGACAGCTGTACCGCGATCTTGGAAGTGCTTCTTACGACGCTTTAACTCTACTGCAATACCTTGTAGCGAACCTGTCCATTGTTTTTCTGTGCGGCCGAGTCCACGGTTGCGCTTAGGTTCGTAGAGCTGTTTGAGCGAGAGTGATTCTTTAAGTCGAACAGCTTCCAGAAATGCCTGTCGCTCTTGAGAGTCTTCAAGATAGTGCGGATAGTCAACCCTTGCTTGTTCCTGAAACATGTACTGCGATGTCTGGGCAAAGAAAGATGGCTCCAACTGCTCAATCGCGTCGCAGGTTTGACTGAACACCCAGCGCAATACATCGGCCGATTGCGGTTGGTAAGCCTGGCTCTCTTGTAGACAATCCAAGATACCTTGGTGTACCTCGAGCGGGGAAAAGAACATAATCGATTGGGTCTGTCCTAGCAGTCGAAGGCGCATGCTAGCCTGTACCATCGCATCCTTAGTGAGGTTCTGACCTAGAGTCAACGCAGCCCTCGCGTTGACAGGTAGCTTCAAATCGGTCCCTCGGCAGTGTGCCTCGTCTAGGTACACTACACAAAGCTCTAGGTTATCGGCGAAGGGAGATGCTAATAGCGGAACGCGCTTGTTTCCGAGACGAGATAATGCCCAAGCACGATGCTCATCGTCGAAGTAGACAGCAGCCGCGGCTTCAGTATCTATCGCAAGCCAAGCTTTGGCAAAGTCTTCGTTCGAATGTTCCAGAATCTGCGCACCCGCGTCAATCAGGACTCTAATCCTGCCTGGCTGACTAGAGAAACCATGCCCGTATCTAAATGAGTGGGCAAGTCGATATAAAAGATCAAGCTCTGTCCAGCGCTTCTCACTTGGAGAGTGAACCATGCGTACGTACGAAGAATTTCGGGGCGCCAGAAGGTAGAAGGGTACTTCTGCATTAGTATGAGCTAGCTGCGGAAGGTCGGCTTGTTTGATTAACGCTGGTAGTTGATGTCTAGAATCATTCGTGCCTGAAAACCCTGTGACCCGACAACGCCGATCTTGGATTGACAAAGAAGGAAACAGATTCCAGCCAGACGCTTGTAACTTTAGTTTGAATGTCTTCGCATACTTCGGAAATACAAAGTTGTTCAGGTAGAAGTCAACGAGGAACGCGTTCGAACGAACTGAAATATATAGATCTTCGAGTTGTCGCGTGTCTTCCGCGTTAATGGCAGTGAAATCTTCAAGCTCGTTAGGTATGTCCAAACCCTTGGGGAACCACTTCTCATATTCAACACTTGGCTCATCAATCTTCGTCAGATGTTCAAACGCTTGCTTGAATTGCGCCCGAGTGACACCTTGATAATAGAACGACAAGCATGTCAGCAGTATGGCGACATCAGGGTGGCCCCATTCGGCCGTGGGTGATGCCACACTCTTCGCAAGAAAAGGTACTGCGACTGGAGCTCGTGTGGGATGTAGACCATACTGAACGTTCCATCTCTTCTTCAGGGTAGCTAACAGTATGCGATGAACAAATATTCCTCTGAGAAGATTGACTGTTCTCATCTGATTGGGTTTGTCTTGTAGGAAAGAAGCAACCATAGAGATTGTTTCATTAGACACCATTGGACTTTTAATGTATGTCTTAACCCCTGCTGTAATCACAAGAGGGTACTCGGCACAGGGGAGGATAGATGGCGTTTGACCTCTGCAAATGATCGTTACCAACAGCTCCAAAAGATAGTCCTCGGCATCTTTGCGAAGGAAGTAAATCAAAGGGAACCCGTCGACACCGCGCTTCACGATCTCGATACTGCGGGGATAGCGGTTCTGGACAGCGAGAACGTGATCTTTGACGAGATGGAGCAAGATTTGTGCTACCTGCCATCGCATTGGATGGCCATCAACAGTACTCTGAGTTCCCGATGGGTAGATGAGCTGAGTCTTGATTGCCAGAGAGACATCGCATTCATCGAGAACATCCCTCGCGTGTTGATCGAGCCAATCCTGAATTTTGATCATAGCCGATGCTTGCTCTAATCGATTGTCACAGAGCTGCTGGAGTCCGCTGAGCTTGAAAGAGAGGATGTGCTCCGGCAAGGCAAGCATAACTCCGCAACGGTTCATCATCTGAGCTTGCATCTTCTCATAAAGTTGCATCAACTTCCGGTCTGTAGGTGTCTTGCGGGAGAAGGGTATATGCAGAATATCACGGTTCGCTAGGCCACCAAGCTTGGCTTGCAGAACTTGTGCAGACTGTAGTAAGAGGGCCCGAGGAACTACGATCCGCACGAGATCGGTTTGAGTGGCGAGCATGGCAGCAACCATAGCTGTAGAAGTCGGTTAGCCAGTACAACTTAGCTCTAAGATCTCTCCATATACTTACGTAAGATGCACGATGTCTTTCCCTTGCCCATCAGAAGCTGGAGCACAGAGTTTTGACCCGAATCTGGATTCATTGTCGCTAAAGCCACCTGAACTTGCTCCTTGCGAAGTAGGTGATTACCATCGATCTCAATTAGGAGCCAATCGGGAAATTCAAGAGCTTCCCAATTAGTATGACCATCATTGGTCCACTCCGCCTGTTCTTGCTGGACTATTCCTCGTTTTTGAGCGTCTTGTAATCGCAGGAAACGTTGCAACTGGGTAATTGCAACTCCCAGCTCCACAAGTACTTCCTTAGTCCCGTTACCGAAATTTGTTCCTGATGTGCTTCGCAATTGAGAAAGGAGTTCTACAATCGTTGTCTTTGGCCATAGGTCCACAAGCTGAAGCCAGTGTGCTTGTGGGTATGTAGCTTGCAGGCTGTCACGTACACTGTTTGCAATTGTCCATACGCGGTCTTTTGCTACCCTTATTTCATATGGACCGACACGAGGGTGTACAATATAGTTCTGGTCATTACTGCTCACCAGGTGTTGCTCGAGAGCCGTGATACTAGTATCAAGTTCCTTTGCATATCGACCTTGGATGAACGATGTCGAATTCTTGAGTTCAGCTGCGATTGATCTAAGCTTTTTGATCTCTGGTGAACATGTCTTCGTTGTCTTCGAGGACTTGAAGTTGCGTGTGGTGTGACAAGTTGGTTGGCTCTGCTGGACATTCAGGGGCCCAGTGAAATGCACTGGGATATTGATTGCCCTTGTGGCCAAAGCACTACTGTGGGACCCTGCTGGTAGTACCGGTGTTGATAGCATCGCGGACGATCGCTGATGACACATTGTGTTCCGCAAAAGATCCGATAACAACATGTCGTCATCTCGCTTGTCTCTCAGTGGGAAACGAATTCCAGGCTCTGGCTCGACGTCTATAGTCAATTTTAGCTCTGACAGTCCATTATCGTTTGGTGATTTAGCCGCGTGACGCCATATGATTTCTTGAACTTTTTCAAAATAAAGGCCAAGTTCGTGGTTTCGTGTGAGGCGCTCCCACTCCGGTTCAATATCCTCAATAGCTTTGACGATGACTATCTGGTTGGAGTCACCGAAATCAAGTTCTGCGCGATTAATACTTGTATTGGGCCACTGCCGAAGAATGGATTTGGCCAAAGGAGCACAAATCCTCTCGATCTCTGATTCGTGAGTGGCCTGAGCGGTGAGTAGTTGCGAGTGATTTCTGAACCCTGTTTCCATGAAGGGCATCCTCATTTTCAAAAGAGAAACAAGATAAGAGACTGGCGGTGCGCCATCAAGACGAAAGTGGTGGTATCCAGGATGTTTGGGGAGATCGAGACCCCGTAGATCTGGTATTATGGCGAAGCAGATAAGCATACGGATCAAAGCCAAGTTGGCATCCTCCGAGAAAGCCATGGCACTAAAGAGAAAGATGAGCCCAAATCGATCCTCACTACCGCAATCAAGTGCTTTTCGGGTAAGAGCACCCCACTCTGCCTTGATGTCGACTCCGATCTGATCAGTCAACAAGGGTTTCCGAAAGTATTTGTCGTAGCCACCAACGAAGTGGGCGTTGTGGAGTAGTGATGACAACGTGGTTTCTTCGGATGGCAACACTTGCCATGACAGAAGCTGCATGATCAAAGTGATGATATTTGAACGTCTGAGCCCTGAAGTCCGAGAGTCGCGTGAAAAGTACCGCTCATCATTGCCTATGTTCGATTTGGTTATGTTGGACAGGGATAGTGATCTCCCAGCTAGATGGAGATTGCTAGGAGGTAGATCGATTTGATGTGAACGTCGTTGATCCCCATAGAATTCTGAGAGATGTGAGGACCGTCGCAAAATCCTCAAAACAAGAGCTCGATATCGGTCATCTTGCATGTAGACTGTGAGTTCTGGCTTCCAAACAACGGTCTCCATACACTTCAGATCTCTTGGGTAATATCCTCGCTGAGGGGAAAGCTTTGCCAGACGTAGCAAAGTTGCGATTTCCTGATCTTTCAATGGCTGCCAGGGTCGATAACATCCGGTCTGGAGAAGGTATAGTGCCTCTTCCGTCCCAGTACGTCCGGTGAGTCTGTCCGGAACAAAATGCGATGTGTATGCATGAAAGAGGGCTTTAGTGTACAAAAGTTTCGGTTCAGGCGGACATTCCACACGACCCAGAGTCTCATTCAAACCAAATTTGAGGTATGTACCCGATGTCATCTCAATTTCGACTGCCACATGGTACTGGTCCTTCATGACCTTGATAGGGCCCATCGGTATCAAAATACTCTTTTGACGGCGATTGACTTTGGATTGAATGACGATTTTGCTCTTAAGCCCATACCAAGTTCCAGCGTCCTGATTCTTCATGACGATTTCGCCTAGACGTTGAGATTCCAGCAGGCCATCTCGATTGATGTTGAAAATGAGTTCCAATCGCTTGAGTTCTGCTACAACTTCCCCGGCTCGTTGCGTCGACGCATGTACCACAATGTGAGATGCTTGCTCAAAATAATGGAAGATTCGGGCTATACTCTGAGCCATGTCACTTAGAGGCTCTAGTAAAGTGACCTCTCCTGCTTTTCCCAGACGCCGGATCGCCCGATAGTGACCCGATGGATGCCAAATCAACCACCAATCTCCTGGTCGCGAGACCCACGGGTCTGAACAGCGACCTTGCACATTTCCATTGTGAACGTCGATCCAGTGAAAACAACCTTCAATCAGAGGCTTCGGTAGGTCAAGCGATTCATCATCTTCGCCAAATGCCTCATAAGGAACGTACTCCAGTAGTCGATTGCGATAAAACACGCGTATCACCAATTCGCCTTTGCGAAAACCAAAGTGTACACGGTGTCCGTTCTTGTGTGTATCTGACAATGTGAACGACATTCCCTGTAGATGAGATGGAAACACTGTAGGGTTCCGATGACCAAACAAGCGGTGGTAATGTTTGTGGGCGCGGATTTCTAGAGGCAGTGTTCCCATCTCCTTGCCATTTATAAGCAGGTTTCCATGAAGGTAGTTGTAGTGAAGGTAGTGTTTGTTATGATAATTCTCCGATGCCACTTCCACGAGAATCCACCACGTACCCGCTACATGTCTCGTAGAAACTTGGTGGTCTTTTGGTATCTGCCACAGTGCATCAATTGCATCGACAAGTGTTTGAGTATTGGTGAGTATAGCCTGCTTCAATTCGTGGCGCATTTCGTAAGAGAAAATGATATCTTGCACAAGCAAACTGCGCACTTGTTGGGGCATTGATCGGAAGGCACCGGTCAGGTTATACTGCAGAGCTATAGAAGCATCGATGAACTGGCGAAGGCTTCCTGGAGAAAGCGATGGACTCTGAGTATGCATTGTCTGCTTGCACAACAGCGATGCCCATATTGCGGACTGGTATAGCTTCGGATCTTCTGTCACGATCGAGTGCAGTTCCGCTCTCCAATTGTTGGTGATCTGTCGTGCGTATGCCAAAAGATTCTCACCAACTTTGCGTATCACTTCGGACTGAGTGAGAGCCACAACCCGAAGCAGTATTGTGATGAGAAGGTTCATTTGTACAGGCTCTCGCCAGTTCCGCTGTATGGCCTCTAGCCTATATCGAATTTGATCAAATAGCTTCGTACAGAGAGTTTCGTCCAGTAACGCGTCATGGACATCGGTGTAGCCGTCACCACAGGTGCTTGCTGGACCCTGCTGAGATACTAAACGAAGTACCAAGACACATGTAGATGTGGAAGAAAAGTTGAGATTAGTAGATCCTAGTTCGCGTAGGAGGTCTGGCCATCGAGAATGGACGCCGACGAATAGGCCTTGCCATGCCGCGAACTCATGGACGCTAAGACCTTCCGGACAATTGACCTGATTCGCCTGGATTGTATTGGATGAAGGCCAGTCGCGATATGACAAGTTAAGGCGTTGGTAAGGCGATTCTGCTGGTAAATTCAGTGGAAAGTGGTGCCAGAGTGAGGCTTTGCCATGACTGCCTGTCCAGACATTGCCAAGAGTGTCGTAGTACCTTGGTCTCAATCCACAAGTACGCAAAACATCGTCCAGTCGAATAGGAAACCCAGAAGTCGCATAATGCGATTCCAAATGAGCTTTCTTGTAAGATCCGAGTGTAATTTTACACTCCGTGTTATTGGTATAAGACCGCAGTTGCGAATACTCACGGACGAGGGAGACGCGATCGGGGCTATCAATCGATTCAAAACACAGCATAGATAGGATCTTCCAAGTAGCGTCTCGGTAGGCTGCAAAGTCTTCTGGGCATAAAATTTCGAACAAGACTGCCTTCACCGCTGGCTCGTAATTTGGGAGTGGATCCTCAAAGATTTGGATACTCATATTTTTCGCCTCGGCGTTCAGGTCATGCCAGGCACAGGGCTTTCGATGTCGGTATTCTTGCCCTCCATCCCATGTGTTGAAAGCATCATAGATGCATCGTGCCTCATTGCGCTGCTCGATCAGCTTTTCATGGCACTGGCTCTTAAAGTTCCACTCTTCCAGCTTGGCTGCGTGGAGAGTGGCTGTAATTTCTTCGATTTCTTCTCGCATTGCCGAAAGTTCGGATCCCATGTCAAATCTATCATAGTACTGCACTGCGAAGCAGTCGTCTGCAGGGTCATCAAATATGGTCTTACTGACTGTGCCGGATCGTGAGCGATATCGCTTTGTAAGATACGCCCGCACATCTTGCGCACGTTGCATATCTGTGGCAGTGAACAGTTGAATCGGGTCGAGAATGTCTGGATCGAAACCTGGATGGTATTCCTCAAGCAGTGGGTAGGCAGTGACCATGACTTTGTCTAATATGATCCACAATTCCATCATATGAAGCAGCATTTGACTTCTCTGGTTTGGGTAATCAGCATCTGTCGCACTGATCTTGGTGAGGATGTCATGAATGACTTCGCCTAACTCAACACGACGCAAAAGACCAAAAGGTGCTGCTGACCGCTTAGCAGGTACGACTACGCGTTCCAAATGCTCATAAGTCTTCATGTGAAGTAAAAGAGCTTGCATATACGGCTTCGCGGTGACCAAAGTCTCCTCATACGCAAGCAAGAGTGTCAAAGGCGAGATGGTCTGATCCCTGGATACGTTGACGCTAGAAACCCTCATTGATCTGAGCTTGCTGCCACTGTTTCGCAGGCATAGATGGAATTCGGTATCATATGCTCGTAGCCGCAGAGTTGGTAACATAGGCTCGCGCGACTGTAAGTAACTCTGCCATCTGTTTTTCAGAAGCGCACCAGTCGATCTCAACGTGGCCTCGAAGTTGCCTTTCAGAGCACGCATAAGGTTTGAGTATGTGATCTTCGTCGTCGAGTCAGACGAGCTGGCGTCCGACTCCAACTTGGCAAGACGGCGACCCAGCTTTTGTCGTAAGTGATGGGCTATTTCCGGAGACACTCGATGGAGCGCGTCCTCCAAAAGCTCTTCAAGCAGTATACAGATGAAGACTTTGTAATATACCCTTCCGATGATTGGCCCTAGCTGCCTGTACAAGTATCTCTGCACAGCAACCCTGATTGCAAGATAGAAGGCAGACCTTCTCCAAGGCTTCCGAGCATCATCGAATAAAACGCTGTCACGAACACGCTTGCGTAGCACTGGGACTGATTCTGCTGTGCCATGGCCTTCCAATATTGTCATCAGCAACCCTGATATCAAAGCTGGATCGCTTGTGTTTCGGATCTCCGGTATCATGGCCGATGCTTTGCGGGTCACAGCAGCGAATTTAGAAACGCGCTCCGTACTTGCTTGCTCTAGGAAGATTGCCAAAGCTTCCTGAAACGATCCGATCGAGAAGATCGTCCATGGTACAGAAACAGCGCACCCAGGAAAATCCCAAAGTAAAGCCGCCGGTGATGCTAGTACATGTTCAGATGTTGCCGATGTCTCGAACGCTTCGAAAATGACTCTGCGTTCTCCAGAGTCACTATCTTTGTCAGCCGGATCCTTATGATGGTCCTGGATTACTTACGAATCGACGACATAAACAAGCACAGCGCAGTTCTGATTTGCAATGTATAGAACGAGCATCTTTCGCCCTCCCAATTCATGAAATTCTCTCAACAGAGCCACTCGTGTGACAGTGCCATCGATATTGAGGGTCGTGCAGGCTGAAAGTGATTTTCTGAGTCCATTGATGTGAGGTAGATGATCTGGTAGCACATGGTGTAAAAGTCTTACGCCAGCGTTCAAAAAGCGCGTCGAGATCGCTCCTTCTATGCGAAACAAATTTCGATCTTCGCTCCCGGGCAATTTGCGAGGCAACGCAACATGAGCTACTAGCTGTTCCAGGAACGATCTCTGCTCTGTAGAAGACATGGCGTCTCACCTTCGCCCAAAGCCGGGCACCGGTGATAGCAGGTCGTAAGTCGTTGGAACGATGGCAATATCGTATAAAACAGCTGCTGCGGTGCTTAGATGTCGGGACAATGTGAGGAAGCAATTGGACTTTTGTTTGCCGGCGAGGCGCTGGACAGAGGCGCGTTTGATGCCAAGCATCGGCGGCGGTGCAGCCCACCTATCTCTTTCACCGTGAAAGTGTTTGTGTCTTCGTAAAACCCCATGTGAAAGTTATGTGAAACGTGCTGAGTGATGAGGTCCAAGATTCACGGTGACTAAGGCATACACTGTTCGAGAGATTAGGCAATAAGAGAGTCACGGCTTCGGTCAGCTTTTAGAACTACAACATGAATAAACATGAACTGACATTTGTTTGCTGTTCGTGGATTGTGATCATCGGTCGAGTAAGGAATGTGCTGTGGTCATGGATATCTCGGTCATATGTGACTCTTGGCGGTGCTCGCCCGGAGATAGCTCCCATCATCCTAGAGTAGGACAAGATGATCACATTACACACTACATTTGGGCCGTTCTCATTGTCGGATACTGCAGATGATCGGGCTTCTGAAAACCTTTGGAAGGGCCTGCGCGTGGATACAACATCGATGATCAGCCGTGGAAAGAATCGACCGGACACTGCTAGAGTAGTTGGGACATCGTGAGTCGAATCCAATTCCATACAGCATTGAGTTTAGGAGTAGCAAGCAGCGAGGCAACACAGTAAGATTTGAAAATGAAATGTACAGCAGGAAAGCCGTTCTTGATGAGAATGAAATATTAAAGAACGAAAACGGAAAAAGCTCAAATAGACCCAGCCAAAACAATGATATTGGGACCATTGTGAGTATGCGCCAGATCCCAAGGGAAAGCTGTGAACCTCATCCTGCGACTTCGTGACGAAAGCTCTCGAGGGCGCTACCAGTAGTCTGATGGTCTTCCTCTAGAGAAAGATTATAACAGATGAAGCTGTAACTGAAATTCTCATAACGCTACATTGATTCTTAGACTCCCTTCAGCTGCAAGTGTCATTGCCGATCAGGCCTTGAAAGACTAGCTCGAAGGCATGGAAATTTGCCAATTTTGGCTCAAGTGGAAGGAAACAGATGGCTCCTGGATTTTTTTTGGCGATTGTCATTGTCTGTGATGAGTCATGGTTGTGAGAAAGGGAGAGAGGTCTGCGGGGTTTGCAAAGACATGACGTTTATGACGCGCTAGAGCACGTGACGTCATTCCCAGAAGCGACACCACCTACCAAGATAAGATCTCAAGTAGCCTCTCATATAACATGCATGAATTATTCAGATATAATCTACGATAAAACTTCTCGTACCTTCCGAAATCTAACATTTCATCATCTATATTGTCTGGCGAGCAACCCTATTTGATTCCCCTACTTTGACCGTACGGTCCATCGATTTAAACGAACAGAATCAAACCACCATCATTTTTCAGCTAGCACCCCTTTGTAAAATCGAAAGGGTTTCCATTTCAACACCGTTCTGCACATGCCAACCACTGCACTCTCTAAAAGACTTCCTATATGAATTACAATACATACTAAGGATACAGAAATACTAAACAAAATAAATGCTACTGGTACCGGTAAGACCAAATGATTAATAAGACCCAAAGTACCAACGATAAGTCCGCCAGCCAAGCCAACTATCTTGACACCACTCGTTCAAGCATGAAACCAGTCTCGTACGATCATAATTCTCTCATCCACAATCCATCGTCAGGGATGCCGAATACAGACCTCCCACCATTCCCGATGAACGAACGCCAGGCTATTATATAAATCACAGCAAGAAAAAAAAGTGAACATCCGTCCCAACAAAATCTCACCCCGCCCTCCTCACATTCGTAACCTGCCCTTTCCCTCTTACACCCCATCCAGCGAATCCATACTCCACACACTCTCCCTCCACCTCACATCCCGCGCCCTCCCCTCCTCCCCAACACCAGTGCCACCACCACCATTATCCCCAGCCAAGCCGTTGCAACTCTCCGCTGTATCTGGACGAGAACCTTGCTGGATCTGTGAGCGCGAATGCCATTGTATCTGGTGCGATTGGTTTCGCGAGGAGACTCGGGAGCGCAAGGAGAGGGGTTTGGGCGCGAGATCATCGGTCCACCATTCGGGGTTTACGCTGTGAATACTGTCTTCGCTTTCTCTGCTGTGTCTGTTGGGTGGTAGGGTAGGTACTGTGGGTGCTGCTGAGCCCAGGCCGAAGAGATTGGCCTCGCTGTTTGTTTTGCGTGGGTTGGTGTGCATGCTTGTTTGGGAGTGGATTGCTGTTGAGGCGGTTGTTGTCGGGGAGAGTGGTGGTGAGCTGATACGACGGGGATCTATAGGGGGTTCTTGGTATGTTGGGGTGATGAAGGTTTCTGGGTCTGGCTCTTGGTCTAGTGAAATTTGGGGCGCACGATGTGTATGTGTGCTGGTGTAGCTGTGCCTTTCGTTGCCGCTGCTGCTAGCACTGCTGTTTGTGAAGCGCTTGTGCCAACTGCTCGCTGCATAGTTGAAGTTTTTGCGATTCTCGCCACGCTTACCAAACCAGAGCGGCTCGTTTTGACTGATGTGGACGACGTTCGTCCAAGGGTTTCCGGGCTCTTCGTTGGCAAGCTGGAAAATGACGTCGACTTCTTCTAGGGAGCGACATGCGGTTTCCGGGTAGAAGAAGTAGATGAGGGGAATGATGGCGGCATTGGTGACGGCGAAGATGATCCATGTGCGCCAAGATATGCGTTGGAAGGCGATTGGTGTAATGAAGACAATGCTGGAGGTTGTTAGTTGTTCCTTCTGAGAGAAGGGACTGCTGAATGACATACACAAAGTTGAGAATCCAGTTAGCACTGGTACTGATTCCATTGGCTGGGCCACGGATTCTCAGTGGCACGATCTCAACCTGGTACAACCAAGCCATACCTTGCCATCCGATAGCAAAAAAGACCGAAAAGCCGAAGAGAGCCACAGTTCCAGTGATCCTAGCAGCATTGACATCGTGCTCCCACCATAGATACTGCAAGATTGTCAAAAGCACCATGCACCCAGACATACCTGCCGACCCAAACATCATCAGCGAGCGTCGGCCCCAAAGCCGATCAATACCCACAACGGCAATGAACGAGGCAAGGAAGTACAATGTTGCAGAACAGCTGGCGAGTAGTCGAGCGAGCCAGCCCGAGTAGCTCATCCGCGTTAAGAAGATCCAAGACAGGTATTGAAGAACAAGGTTGACACCCGTTCCTTGCTGGAAGATTTGCACAAAGTAGGCCAGCACCACACGATGGAAACCTCTGCGCTCTTCATTCGAAAATAAACTCGCTGTTGAGCCCTGCGTCATGATCAATATGGCGTCTTTGATCTGCAAAAACTCGTCCCTTGTCGCGAAGTCGTCTGCTTCGCCGTCGTTCAGTGCTGCGAGCACAGTGAGTGCTTCTTGTTCGCGTCCGGTCAGAATTAGCCATCGGGGTGATTCTGGTAGGACGACTAGCATCGAAATGGCTGGTAGAGCGAAGAGGATTTGGAAAGCGATCGGTACGCGCCATGCTGCTGATGAGGTGCTGAGGTATGCGAAGGCGAATGTCAACCAGTATGAAAGAGCGTAGCCGGCAGAGACGAATGCTCCCGCACTGATCATAAGGATAGTGCCTTTTCGGTGTGACTTGACGCATTCTGCCTGGTATGCAGGGGCAGTGGAGGTAGTGAAGCCATTACCTAGTAGTGCATTAGCTACAGCTTTGTCGGCAGTCTTCAAACGGTAGGTATGCATTCATACCGAAACCTGCGACGGCACGTCCAACGACGAACTGTGGAAAGCTGTCTGATGCTGTTTGAATAATCTCTCCCACGATCCAAAGCGATAGACCAAGTATTAGTGTGCGTCGACGTCCAAGAAGATCACCAATGAAGATTGCAAGTATGGCGGAGATGATGCATCCAAGATTCCAAGCCCCGACAGTGAGACCTATTCGAGTCAGTTCTTCTGAGAGTGTTCATAAAATACATCTCTCGTAATGCAACATACCAGTGACCCAAGCATTTTTAAACGAAGAATCAGTAAGAAGATCAACCTGTGGGAACTTCTCCAAGAACACTGGCACCGTCAAAAGGCCACCCATTACACCCTGCGCATACCCAAAACATCTGGTCGATCATATTAGTTGAGTGCCACTTAAGAGAGACCTTCCTGTTGGATGGGTCTAGTTGCACATACAAGAAGCACAATCCGCACGTCGCACTGATAGCTGTCGCCAACGAAGTGCCTCGAAGACCAAGGAACCGAGCCATTACCGTAAGAATCCAATATCAACACCACAAAAACCGCGTCGCAAACAGAGACTTCAACACATGAACAGAATGCGAGAAAGAACTCGGCCCATCAGAGTAGCAGAGCCTGGAAGGAAACTAGCATCATGCAGCCCATCCCTACTTCCTACCACCCACCCACCACGGCCCGCGCTGCTCTCTAGTCTCAACCGTGCCATCTGATCCCGACGTGCATCTCGTCGCCCAAATGTCATGTCTCGCAAGCGCCGTCAGCCCTGCCGTTCTTGCAAACCTTCTTTACGCAAACAGTCCCCCTGTCGGCCAACGGTCCCCGGCAATCTCACGTAGCCATAGGCATCGCTCACTAAGCTGCAACAAGGTAGCGCGTTATAATCCTGCCGTTGTGCTGTTCATGTACGCGAACGTTGTGATGATCTGAATGGTTGATGAGGAAGATGTCACTGATGTCATCGATCCCAGCGAACATCAAAATCGATGTTAGCGCGATCGATCGCTGATGTCGGGACTCGTTGGCAAGGGTGTTTGAATGTGCAGGTGTGCATGCGAGAGGGTCGCAGGCTGTGATGTTGAACAGGAGGGTGCGTGCGAACTGGAGGGGATGATGGGGCGGCGTATCGGTGGGTGAAAGGGGGAGAAGGTGCGGTCGGGCAGATGTGGGTGCCGGCCGGTGCATGAGCAAATGGCGAATACAACCGGGCATTTCATTTACGGTGTCTTCAGGGTACATGCTGTCGAACGAAGTGATCAGATTCCGCCATGTATATTTGCTGCAAAGTAATCTACGGCTAACAAAGGGTCCATTGTTTCAGCTCCGAACTTTCCTGAAGTCGACAGGGATGGGCTTTCAGCAGGAGAGGAATTTGGGTATCATTTCTGCCTATTTGGCTAGGAATTTCTGGAACGCTTCTTGCTCAATCACCACATTGCCCACGCTTCTCAACTTCTTCCTACCAGCCTTTTGCTTCTCTAGTAGCTTTCTGCGTCGACTAAGATCGCTGGCATGCAGTTTGGCCAGGACGTCCTTGCGGTATGGCTTGATGGTTGCCCGAGCAATAATGCGTTTACCTGTAGTACCTGTAGCTGCTTGAATAATGACCTCGAACATTTGTCGCTCGACATGCTCTTTGAATTTCTCCACCCACACACGTCCAACCTTGTCGACCTGTGAAGTATGCATAACGCGAGATACTGCGTCTACGGGAGCACCATTGACCAGCAAGTTTAGTTTAACGATCGAAGACTTGCGAAATCCGGCATCTTCGTAGTCAAGGGAAGCGTAACCTTTGGTGGCGCCTTTGAGTTTGCCGAAAAAATCGTCAACGAGATGAGATAGTGGGATGTCGTACTTTAAGATGACTTGGGTGGCAGTGAAAAAGGTAAGCTCTTTCTGTTCACCGCGATTAGACTCGCAGAGTTTGATGACCTCTCCAAGATATTCACCGGGCAGTGTGATGGTGGCTGCGACGTACGGCTCGTGCACTTCTTGGACCTTGAAATGCGCCTCGTCTTGGTCTGGGAACTCGTTGGGATTTGTGATGATCGAGTCAGTGCCATCCTTCCAAATGACTTTGAATGGTACCGAAGGAGGTGTGATGATGATGTTCGCACCATGTTCCTGGCGCAGGCGGTCCTCAAAGACGGAGCAATGCAGTGTACCCAAGAAGCCCAATCGCCAACCAGCACCTAACGCATCAGACGACTCCTTCTGCAACGTGACGCTACGATCATTGAGGATAATCTGCTCGATGCTGTCCTCGAGGTGCTCATGGTTATCTTGATCTACAGGAAAAGCGGCAACGAAGACCATGCTCTTCGGCTCCTCGAAGCCAGGGTACGGTTCAACGAGTTTCTCTGAGCCAATGGTTGTGTAGGTGTCGCCCACTTTGGCCTCTTGTGATCTTTTCATGCCTGGATTGAAGTGGATGTAGCCCACTTGTCCAGCCTTCAGAACTGTTTGCGGCGTCTGGTCGGGATACATGATCCCAACCTCCCCGACGATGTACTTGAGTCCTGTTGCGAAAGACCGGACCGTGTCTCCAGGTCGCACCTGGCCGTCGAAGATGCGCACCAACAGTATGACTCCCTTGTATACGTCATACCATGAATCGACCAGGAGCATGCGAAGAGGCCCCTTGAGATTACCGATGGGGTGTGGGATCTTGTCGACAATGGTCGGTAACAACGAGGCGACGTTCAATCCTGTCTTTGCGGAGACAAGTACAGCCGCTTCCGGGTCGAGCTCGAACGTCTCCTGCATTTGATCGAGGACGCGGGGAGGATCGGCGTGGGGCAAATCGACTTTATTCAAAACAGGGACAAGCGTCAGTCCTTGGGAGAAGGCAAGGTAGAAGTTGGCAACCGTCTGGGCCTGCACGCCCTGGCTAGCATCTACCAGAAGCAGTGCTCCACCACAACTGGCATAACTTCTGGACACTTCGGCACGGAAGTCGACATGGCCAGGTGTGTCTACGAGATGCAGGAGATAGTCTTCCCCCTCATGGTTGTATATCATGGAGCATGTCTGTGCCTTGACAGTGATTCCCCGCTCTCGCTCCACATCCAACTTGTCGAGAATCTGCTTGTTGCCGCCTGGCTGGATGGTGCCTGTGATCTCGAGCAGGCGATCCGACAGCGTGGATTTGCCATGGTCCACGTGAGCCACGATGCAGAAATTGCGATATCGTTCGATGGGGATGTCGGCGATGCGTTTTTCCAGTTCGCCTTGGGGGCGGAAAGCTTGCGCATAGCTCCTCTGGACGTTACTTAGGCATGGCAGACGGTCAAGGATGGGGGAGGGGAGAGGAAAGAAGCCATTGGGTCGTATGGAGGGCGTCCGCCAGGCCTGCAGAAGGCTGCGCGCAGTTCGGACGCATGATCGCATGAGTGAGCATGAGATCGATGAGTGAATGGTTGATGCCCGATACAAATCTGCCGGAGGTGGGAAGCGTGAAACCCGTGAACTGTGATGTCGACTTTTCTCGACGTTCGCCTCTTCCGCCTTATCTAATCAATCAATCTTTACTGCTGGTCGGCGGTTCCTGCATCTGCACACCGACCGATCGACCCACCGCCAACTCTGCACCAGAACCATTGCACCCACAAACGCTCTAGACTCTTTCTGGCTTGATTGTTGTTTCTAGATCTAGCTGCTCTAGCATTGTTCTGTTCCTTCTTTACTCCTCCAAGCTGCAGCCATCTTCTTGACGACTTTGGACGTCTTCCATATCCAGGTCCAAAGTAGTACCGGTACCTACCGTAGTTGCGTTGTCAACAAGCAAAGTAAACACACCTCCTGCTTGTCCTCCACCTCCACCGCCACCCACTATCACCGCCTGACACAGACACAGAACACAGGTGCAACCATGTCTGCCCCCAAAACTTCGTCCAAGTCCAAATCATCAAAATCATCAAAGAGCGATGCATCCAAGGTCTACAAGCTAGCCTTGAAGGGCTCATCGAAAGTTGTGAATGAATTTGTGAGCACTCACTCTTGTTTTGGACATCAACACGCGCTAATCGCTACAGTTTGAATACTCGATTAACACGATTCTGTAAGAATTCTCGAACATAGCATCATGTTATCACTGTCCGCACCTAATCGTCTACAGTTTTCAGCGAGGCGTATATCCAGCAGAAGACTTTACAGCGTCAGACTCCCATCATGCACTACAACTGTATCCTGCTAACATGTTGCGCAGTGTCAAAAAATACGGCTTGACAATGATGGTCACTGCCGATGATCAAGTCAAGGCATACATTAAGAAGATCATGTCACAACTCAAGGAGTGGATGTATGGTGGCAAGATTTCCAAACTCGTCATTGTCATCACGAGCAAAGAGACAGGCGAGCATGTGGAGCGATGGCAGTTTGACGTAAGCAAGACCATGAGACCATAATACCATGCTGCCTTCTCTTACAAGTCACAGGTCCAAATTTTCGGCAAAAATGCCGCCTCAAAAGCGTCAAAGAAAGCAGGCGATCAAGAAAACTCAGCTCCAGAGTATGTTCAACGATACACCAGCGGCAGATTGCGTCGCAGCTGACAGTCTTGCTCTAGGTCAAGTGAGGTTCAAGAAGAGAAGACGGAAGCCGAGATCCAGTCTGAGATCCAAGCCGTGTTTCGGCAGATTACAGCATCTGTGACTTTCCTACCAATGCTGGATGGCAATTGCACATTCAATGTTCTTGTCTATGCCGACGCGGATTCCGATGTTCCCATGGAGTGGGGCGACAGTGACGCAAAAGAAATTACAAATGGCGAAAAGGTGCAGCTGAGGAATTTCAGTACAAGCAACCACCGTGTGGACACGCTCGTAAGCTACAGGTAAGTCAATGCTCTTGATCATTTCTCCATCTGCTAACAACAAAAGGCTTGGTGACTAAGCAAATTATTTACTGAATGCAAAGTCGCTTCTGACATGGGGATTGTACTAATCAAATCCTCGAGACGGGCGTCTCGTATACTACCTATACGGCACTTTTCATTACAATCCTGCTACTGTTCTCCCCAATCTCATTCCGCATGATATATATTACTAGAACCTTGATGCCCAGCACGATGATGACATCATTGTGGAACCGGGCGCATTGCAACACCCCGAATCACGACCATACAATTCTCTTTAATATCAAGTTCGAGCGCCGCCAGATAGAGGCTTCAGGTACACAATATAGTATTATGCTTAGCCCTAACTACCGAACAGCGATAAGACCGTGACCGATTCTGCGGGGATCAAAGCTCAAGTGTGAGCTCAGTCTTGTAATCGCGACAACACACTGGGCTCTAATTGCGCATACACACACAACCCATGAGAATGATTAAAATTGTCACCGAACGATATGTCTATTGGCCATATCATCTTTCAAGTTCCCTATTCGTCAAGTAGCTAGCACTACGTTGCCATATGCGTGAGCCCATGCCAGGCTGACCAGCTAGAGAGCAAAAGCGTACGAGACTTGTTATTGCACAACAGCAACAAGCGATGGATCCACTATTAAGGTGGCATTCGTGCTAGCGTGCCTGCTGGAACATTGGCCGATTCTCAATTTCTTTTAAATCCCAGATTGCACCGCATGTTTTCCTGCTGTACAGCGTCTATTGGCTTCATGATAACGTTACCTCGGTGTACGGAATAGCCGCAAATGTGCACAGGGATGTCAAAATGGCACGTAACACAGGAAAATAATACGATAGTCAACACCGTCTGACATTCTGCAGGGGACATTGCAAAGGTGGCAAGCATACGGGAGCCTCATGATAATCTAGCAGCGGCTAGAATTTTATGCGATCGAACTTCGAATCCCCATCTATCACCTACAATTGCGAAATATATGCATGGGCACACTCTGCTTTTTCCATGGATAATTCGGCCTAACCTTTGGGATGCTCATTACACCTGTAATACTTTCGTCTCAACTACGTGTCGGGTACGATGGCATGGTGTATCTTGTACTCGCAGCACGTAGATAAGAGGAATGTCGTATGTTCAGCATCAAACATTCTTATACGCGTAAGTATGTATCAATTATCTGATCTACTCTAGTACAAGAAAAAATGCGGTTCTTCCACATTGAACAGAGAAACAACGATGGGCCAGATCATGATTCGTGTGAGGAGGTACCAGAGAAAATAGTGGTCAGCCACCAAATTCCCAATTCAGATCCTCTAGCATCTCAAGAAGCTCCTTCGAACACATCCTTGTCGGAGAACAACGTGCTCCCACCGGCCCACGGATGTCGCGCCTCCAGCAGTAACAACTCCACGAATGGACACCCTCTCAATGCTGAAGCTGAAGGTGTATCCCGTAGCGCTAGTTCGGATACGATACGGGATATCTAGTGTGATATCCTGGCAAACTGGCTACATTAAAAGCAAGAAGAAAAGCTATGGACTACCAACGCTTTCGGCGAGGGTGTGTTCATCAAAAGATCCAAAGGCCATTATACATTTGCGCCACAAGACGTTGCAGAGGATACAAGCTTGTATCAGTCGATTGTGCAGATGAACGTGAGGGTAGGTACAATATCCAGCACACGAACAGACAGCGATGGCTAATCTGCACAGTGCGCTATGACGATTAATACGAGTGTTATCAGATATGTTCTCCAGCGGACCGATGTGCCATATGTTCAGATTCGATCAGGTCTGCGGTTGCAGGTTGTTCCCGATTTTGAAGCGTTATCACATGGTCGAAGAGGCCAGTCTGCTTCTTTTGTCGCATCACATCAACTATTGGTTGTATGGCAAGACGATCCTAAGCTGTTCGTAGAGCGTGCAGAAGTCATTATCAACTCCCTTGTGCGAATGATGTGCAGTGACGAGTATGGCTCTCCAGACGATGGCGAACTTGAGGAGATCACCGGCAAGACTGCCTGGAGTGGCATGGCCGAGTACAACGACACCCTGGGTCCCGGCGAGACATTGGAAGAAGAGCCCCGGAAGCTTAAACTGTGGCAGTCGATATACACGGGCATATCCATCATGCTAATGACGACCTGCATTGGCTCTGGCTTCCGGGAAGTTGCCATTCAGCATATTTCAGATCCAAATTGATTTCGCATCCTCTTCGTGCTTGTCATACCAGCACAGGCTTGGCTTTCTCTGGTATGCGTGTCTCCATCAACGTGCTTCTATCCGCTAGTAATTGCAGTTCTTTTTTCAAGCTATTGTAGGGAACATTGCGCAGATTGCTGGGCCAACAGACCAGATGAAGGAGAACAGCAGATATTATTCAGGGAAAGCTCTGCGTCGGCTGCATCGCGACACATATGGCGGCACGCTCCCACATGTAACAATACAGATGCCGTTATATCGAGAAGGCCTTCGAGCTGTGAATTAAACCCACTGTACGCTCCATCAAGGATGCAATTTCGACATACGAGCTACAGGGTGGAACAGCGAACCTCTTTGTGAGTGATGACGGCAGTGAGTCTTATGGACATAGACGATGATGGCTTTGGTCATTAACACTTTTCCAGTGCAATTGATACGAGACGAGGAAACACCTAAACCCTTCCACCGCGGAGGAAAGTTCAAAAAAGCATCGAATATGAACTATGCCCTTCGACTTAGCGTGATGGTAGAGGATCTTTTAGCAAAAGTAGAGCGCCACAATACATGGAATTAGATGGATGAGGACGCTGCCTACAACACAACTCTCGAGACCGCTATAACGGAGCGCGAGAGCGAGACATGGGCTGAGGGTAGCATTCGCATTGGCGACTATATCCTTCTAATCGACTCCGACACACGCGCACCAAGTGACTGCCTGCTCGAGGCCGTCAGCGAAATGACCGTGAGCCCGCAAGTCGCTCTTCTACGATACTCGTCCGGGGTCATGAACGTGACGTATAAGTTCTTTGAAAAAGGCATCAAATTCTTCACAAACATGATCTCTATCATGATACAATCTGCCGTGGCCGGCGGCGACGTGGCTCCGTTTGTCGGGCACAATGCTATTCTCCGCTGGTCGGCGATGCAGGAGATTGCGTATGATTGCCGGCACGACGGCTATGAGAAGTATTAATCTGAGGAGACGGTGTCGGAGGACTTTGATATCTCGCTGCGGCTTCAAGCAGAAGGCTATATTGTGCGACTGGGTGCGTACAAGAATGACGGGTTTAAAGAAGGCGTGTCACTCACTGTTTACGACGAGCTAGCTCGTTGGGAAAAGTGCGTACCCAGATTCTCAGGATCCCCCCAGAACATCAAAGTCCTCAGAATTGGTGTGATTAACAATGAAAATCAATATAGATATGCCTACAGCTGCAACGAACTCATCTTCCACCCACTCAAACACTGGCCCACCGCCGGCCCGCTCACCCTCCTCTTCCGCACCTTCCTCACCTCCACCATGCCCCTCGCCTCCAAAATTACAATCCTCGCCTACATCGGCACATACTACGCCATCGGCTCCACCTGGCTCCTCACTCTGCTCAACTACTTCCTCATCGGCTTCTTCAACGGCGCACTCGACCACTTCTACACACAATCCTTTCGCGTCTACTTCGCCCTCATCTTCGTCTTCACCCTCATCGGCAACCTCGCCCTCGCGATCCTACGCTACCGTATCCAAGAATCCCCACTCTGGCTGGGTCTTGTGCAAAATGCAAAATTCATCCCTTTGCTCACCGTCTTTCTTGGCGGCGTGTCGTTGCATGTTAGTCAGGCGTTGGTTTGCCATTTTTGCAGCGTCGATGTGGAGTGGGGTGCTACGACCAAGGAACACACCCGCGTCACTTTTTTCCAGGCTATCAGGGATGTTGCGCGCAAGTTCAAGTGGAGTTTGGGGCTTTGTGTTGGTGTGGCTGTGGGTATGGTGGTGTTGGGGTTTGGGGTCCCGCTTGAGTGGCGCGTACGGGATGTGGTGGCGTGGTGGCCGTTGTTGACGGTGGTGGTGAATCATGCGTTGTTGCCTGTGGTGGTGAATCCGCAGTGGATGACTTGTAGGTGGTGAGTAGGGGGGCAAGGGGGGTGGGAGGGTTGTGTTGTTGTGAGGGTTGGGTGTATTTTTTTGAAGTTGTTTTTTGTGTCTCTTGTGTCCTTTTGCTTGGAGTTGTGGTTAATCATAAACAATCATCTGCTCGATAAACCTACCGTACTAAATGAGATCTTAATAAAGCACATTCCGCCTCCTGTTCCTGTGGGTCTAATCATTCATCGAACACGAGTCCTTTTGACCGCCGAAGATAGGGGGATGAGCATTTCGTAGCAGAGATAAGATGACCTAAGTGCAAGTAGGGAGTTCAAGATGACACAAGATTTTGCCAGTCACGGGATGAGTATCATTAACATTACTCAAATCTACACACCAACTCTCCTGCTCAAACTTCCCCCTTCTCCTTCCCTCCCACACTCCCCGATCTTGCCAAACTCTTCTCCACCGCCCTCCTCTTCCTTCCCTCCAACTTCTCCCTATCCTCCCTCATACTGCGAATCAGCCCGCTCTTCTCGCGAATCTTGCTGCCAAACAGATAAAATACGACGGGGATGGGAATCATGGCAAACTCAATCAGACTCAGCATGGTGGCGCTCCAGTGCGGACCGAGAGTGCTGTACATGCTAGGGCCAGCGAGCGGCAACGCACCGCCCATTACAGAGCGCAGCACGGCGTTGCCTGCGAGCGCGCTGGCGGCGTAGATGCCGTAGCTGTGGACGAGGTAGTTTGAAGCGTAGATGAAAACGCCTGCATTTCCTGCGCCAAAGGGCACGCCTGCGAGAAGCGGGGCAATCCAGTGTACGTTGGGCGTGCACGTCCATGCGAAGATCATTTCGCCAACGGGGACAAGGACGGCGGCGATGCACACGACGCTCACCATGGCCTCTGGGAACGGTTTACCCGTCTCAGGATCCTTGGCGTGCGCGTTGATCATCCGGCGGAGCAGCGGTTCACAGGCTATCGTGATGACGCCGCCGACGCCAATGCCTAGGTATCCGAGTCCCACCAAGCCGGGGCCCCAGCCGCGCAGCTCGCCAAAGACAATGGGATAGCTTACGAAGCACAAGTAGAGCACTCCGTAAACCAATGCTATGTATACGTTCCAGAAGATGCAAATGGGTTCTCTGACGGCCATGGACAAGGGGCGGTAGAGGTTTTCGCGGAGGAGCGGCCAGAAGAGTTTCTTGTCGTCGTAGCGCGAGTACCACCGCTCGTCTCCTGTTTCCTTGCGCTTTCGGAGGGATTTGCGACGGAGGATGGCGGGTGCGTAGGTTTCGCTGACTAGGAATACCATGAACCATGATGTACCTGAGCCAATCATCACGACCCAGTTTGTCCAGCGCCAGCCGAGTGCTTCGAAGACGAAGCCACCAAGGATCGGCCCCAGTACTGGACCGTTCATTGGCCCTAGAGACCAGATGGAAAAGGCGAGGGCGCGGTAATCGTCGGAAACGATGTCGGAGACTGTGCCTGGAGCGTTCGATATCATGGCGGCGCCTGCGATTGCGCCAAAGAAGCGCAAGACGAGGATTTGGGGCAGGTTGTTGGACAGGGCACATGGGATAATGAGGATTGTGAATGCGGCGACGGCGACGAGGTAGACGGGTCGACGACCGTACATTTCTGACAGCGGAGCCATGAGCAGAGATCCGATTGCGAGACCGATAAGATAGGTGGTCAGACCCAAGATGAGGAGAGTTTTGGATTGTATGTTGAAGGTTTCCATCATGCCAGGTATTCCACTGGTGTAGCTGGTTGAGAACATGACGACAACGAGGGTCGAGTAGCTCATGAAGAAGGTGACAAGGGCTTTCTTGGCCATGGGCCAGTCCTGCGGGTTTTCGCCATTGTTGTCGAAATTGACTTCAAATCGCGGGTCTTGGGTGGCATTTGTGACTACCGTCGTGACTCCGCAGTCCTTGTCGCCGGGCCAAGAGTAGCCAGTGTTGCGACTCCATGTCTGGTGGATAGCGGGGCGGTCGTGGGTAGGATTCGAGTGTATGGAATCTGAGTCTGTTGACGTGCTTGATATGGAGTGATTGTCGATTGCTGTGTCGACTGGCTCGACTAAAGTCGGTTTTTCTGATACATCAGATTGGTTTATTGCGGTTGCTGGTGCTGACGAAGGCCCGATGTCGACGTCATTTTGGTTGTTGGAGTCGCTGACAGCCATCGCGTGCGACATAATGCGCCGAACCCTCAGACCCCGCTGCTTGCGACCTCGGCCCTGTCAGCCCCCTTGCGGTGGTACAGACAAACAAATGTAATGTCCGTACGGTCAACTATACGAGGTAGCGTAGGTAACCACGAGCCCAGCTCTCCAGGATGTTCGACGACACAATCGCACCAACAACAAGAAGCGAAAGTGCAAGAAAGGCAGAAGACGGTGTGGCAAGGCGAATGCCAGCTCTAGGGCGGGAGCTTTCGCTCGTTCGCCCCCAAGCACGCCTTTCCTCCTTCATCGTGGCTACATGATTTTACCGGGAATAAAACAGAGGGGGCCGAGGTAAGTACCTAGGATTAGGCACAAGAAAGTGGAGCTACCTTATAGCGGTGGGAGGGGTCGAATCAACGGCGTACCGGTAGACTGTGAAGGGAGGATCGGCGGGTGACTGAGTTGTGGGGTTCCGAATCCTCGGCGGGACATGTGCCGACGACTTTGCTTGCCAGTCAGTAGGTATAATGCGAGGTAGTGAGGTATAGGTAGATGTGGTATCCATATAGTATATATATATGTGTACGTACCTTTCACAATATGAAGTCCTCCGACTCGAGTCTCTCCCCTCTCTGCCCTCACTCCCCATGTGTCCATGTAGTTTTCGATTCAATGGAAATGTATGGGCTGATGTGTCAAGTGTCTGCCCAAGCACTTCACGGCGGAGGTCGACTGGTTGGACTCTCCATCTACCATTTGTGTGTGACATTGTTCCCAGCCGTCGAAGGAAGGCTCGGCAGTGCCATGTATGGCTGCATTATAAACGGCCATGGTATCCTAGAGGCGTCTGCAGGTTGGGATACTATAGAGATCGAGGTAAAGATAGCGTCGACAGCCAGGAGATTTATTGTACATACTTAGACCCATTGTACCCCATGCCATGGTAGAAAAGTGGGACAATAGCTCCAAAAATGTGGGAAGGATCTCGAAGGAAGCGAAACGGTTCCCATCATGCACGCTCGTTACCCGTGTGTCTTATAGTTTGTACACAACACACGTCAGCATCGGCAGCAGGAATTGCATAGCCGGATCGACGGGAACTGCCCGTGATGTGTGTGGGGGTCTCTTCATGACAGGTGCTCCTAGGTACCGCAAAATTGTTGTGGTCCTGCACCATGCAATGTTCTATTGTTGTAGCTGTAAAAAGGTACGGTACCGCGCACGGAGAGGAATAGATGCCAAAACACATTCAAAAAGCCGGCTTACACGATGGTGCTTCTGAGGTCGATGTTGAGACCAAGGATGGATGGGTGGCAGGGCGAGACGCGTGTCTTGGGCACAATCGCGATCGCCAGCCAACCAGCGGTGATGACGTGGGGAAAAACAAGCAATTTAGTTCAGACAACCTCAAACATCACACTTCGCGGCCGTTTGGATGATCTGACATTCCACCTTGCCAGCTTTTATCCTCCTTCACTCTTACATAGCACGCAGCCCACAGCTATCCATCCTCTGTTGCTATATCGCTGCCCTTTAATTGTTCCCCTCTACCTACTACACACGTGACCTCCAAACAACCTCGCCCACTCAACACCATGTGCGACTGTGTGCCCATTCCCCTTTGCATCCAGTGTGGAACGTAGGCACCCAAGACTTCATCTACCTGCCATCTGCCTTTGGCTCACACATCAGTTAGCAACCAGAATCCCTGCCACTGTAAAATCATAGGCCCAACCATTGGCTTCGTCGTCACAGTAGGCATGGCGGTATGTCGCGAGGCCATCAACGACGAACGCACACTCACTTTCCGTAGATCTTCTGCTGGCCGGCCTCGCTATTATGCTGCTGTTGCGCGACAGATGCGGGAAAGAAGTAAGTCTATGAAGAGTACGAGTAAGAGGTCTCCCTAACCATTACAGGGTTCTCGGCCTGCCTGTTGATACAGGCAACGCCATCAGCAACGCGATACCCATATAAGTCTGACCAGACTACACCGGCCACATGGGAACCTCCGTTACACTGCCGGTGAATTATTCGATTACAATCACTCGGTCTTCTACCATTCCTGCGTTGCGTTACCTATGCCAATGATTACAGCATGGAATTTCCAGTTAGCGATTCCGGTGAACAGGTAACAGCCTTCTTGTCAATAGTCTGATACCCGATTTTATGACCTCATCTGTTGTCCGATAATCATTTCATACTGAGCACTGTCTGGTCGGTCATGTTGCGCGTACGCTTAGACTCATCTTGCCCTTCATCATCACCTGAGCACGCGTTAACAAACTCACCTTGAGACGGACAGTGTGCATTCACTGCTGAGGGCAGAGCCACAATGATAGCCTTGGAGAAATCTAACATCTTCTGGCCTAGCTATCTTGACCATCTGTTTCGCCATCCTAGTGTCGATCGTACATGTCAGCAACACTAAAGCTAAACATAAACCGAGCCGCGACCACAGAGAATATTCGGGTAGTATGAGCTTCTCACATTGATACACTTGAAGGTGAGCGAATTGAGGGCCTGTGAGCGACTAAGGGTCTAAATTCGACAAACACTCGTTCGTGTCAACAGCAGCGTTTGCACTCTTTCCTTTTTGACAATATCCTTGTTTACAATCTGCAAAGGTACAACATACACAACCACTTCTTGAGTATCACATCTGATACCGCATCATCCGACAATCCCAATCTTCCTTGCTCAATCTATGAGCCCGCTCTATTTGCTACAGAATTCGACCACGACACACCAGAGCCAGCTCAAGATGTCGCTAGTAGATGCAACTGGGTGCGATGACTCTGACGCGATGCGGATTTTCCATGCGGACGGACGGATAGAGAATGCACTGCAGCCACCCGAATACTACGCTTACAGCCCCAGCCCGCCACACTCGGATGCTTGGGATGATGGGCTGCAGGCGATTGAGCAGTTTAATTGGAGGGTGTGTGATGAGCCGGGTCTTGCTGATCCCACAACAGAGGCCACGACATCAAAGACTGGAGTCATTTCTACTCCCCAACACCATAAATCTGCTCGGCTGCCTGAAAGCAGAGCGCGACTGGACACTGTCGATAGCATCACTGCAAGCGACGACCATGAGAAAGCATCAGTGACACACCAAATAACATCCGATATCCAGCAAGAGACCGCAATTCCACCATCATCAATACAGCAAATACTCCTCGAAAACGAGGCGGAAACACAAACAACATACATTGCTTCTGATTCGCCTTCACCGCCCGGGATAAAAAGTCCTGAACGACCCAACGTGAAGATTAGTGACGCATTGGCCTCACATGAGGTATCGGTCGCGCAACCACGTGGCAAGGGAACGGAGTATGACTTTTCAGATAAAAATAACGAGCAAGAGGCGACCTCAAACGGCAACCCAATCGCTGCTGGGATCGCTGAATCTCCATTATTGCAAGGTGAGCCTCGCGTTTTGGGGCCACGGGTTGGAGGATCTGATGCAGTTGAGCATCCTGGAGACGAGGAGCTCTGTAGAGAGATGCAGGGGGTCTCAATTGAGCGTCATCAGAACAATGCCTTAAAGGAGGTTCACTGCGCGCCTACTGAGAAAGCTGCCGGTGTTCCATCTGACTCTTCGCAGCAGCAAAGTCCTCCGGGGGTTCTAGACGCACCTACTGCTGCTTCTGATCGGAATGAGTGTGGCGGAGCTGGAGAAAATCAGCAGTTGCAGGCCTCATCACCAGACACTGTGCATACTAGCACAAATGTTGTATACTCGCCACTTGCAGGGGAGGATACCCCTGGCAATATTATTATCGAAGAAGGGGTTTGGAAATCACAGCTTCGGGAGGCGGCTGCAGAAGTTGTCCCTGTGGCGATTTCGAAGCTTTCGCTCCGCCCCTACACGTTTAACGAGGTAGCCATGGACAATGCCCGCGAGAGTCCGGAGGTGAAGAAACAGCCTCAGGACATGTCTTCCGGAATGGAAGGGGTTGAGATTCCAGTAAATGAAGCTGATGGAGGCTCAAAAGCACAGGAAACAGAATTAGCGGATGCAACTAATAGCACTGTAGAGTTATCTCGGCCAAGTTCGTCCATCGTACCCACCGCAAGTACAGGAGCCACTCGAAAGCGAAAGAAGCCAGCGGAGGAGGCAGAGAAAATGCCCGATTCGGAAGAAGAGGCCCTGGAAAAGAAGAAGGCACGGATACTCGTGCCTGAGGAAGATGATGCTATGGACGAAGACATACGTGCTGGCACTCAAGATCAGGGTGAAGACACTCCACAAATCTCCGATAAAGGCGATTCCAAGGCGCTCAATCTACTTGAATATGAGGACAAGAGCACTGAGTATGACGAACTCAACAAGGTCAAAGGATCCTCAACACCCTCTCGCCCCAACCGATTCGCCTACGGAAAGCAGGCAAGTCCAGTCAAAAACCTTCAAGCACTCTATCCACCATCCCCCAAGCATCTCGTTAAACAAACCGCTGATGCCCAAAGCGCGGTCAAGGAGGAAGATATCATCATGGAAGGCCACCTCAGCGACATAAAAAACAGCGCGCTCCCCAGAACCCCAGAGCCAAAGTCGATGCACACCAGAACACCCCGATCGCGCCCCACCGTCTCCGCCCGCGAGTTAGACGCCCTCTCAAACAGTAAGCCCCGATCTCGGCGCCCCGGCTCTGCAAAACAAAGTGTGCGATATAGTGCACCTCAAACACCAGATGAAAACCATACATACTCCACCGAACGCATCACGCTCACAGGGTCCACTACATCCACCCCGCTCTCCCCCTCCCTCGAAACAGACGAACTCTTTTCCCCCTCCACGGCGAAAACAAAGGGAAAAACAAGCACAAGCGCTCTGTCGAAGAGGAAATCTAGCACCCAGACCCATCGCAGCAAGGAAGCACACACGCCAGTATCTCGGGACGACAGCGCCGAGTCGGCAGATGAACTCTCCCTACCTGGACCTGGGCGGCGAAGCAAGAAGACGGTGGGTGAGGGGAGAGCCAGGGGTAAACCTTTGTTTGAGGTGCGGTATGGCAAGAGACATACACGTGGCGATACCAAGGCTGCAAGCAAGGAGGACACAATGTCTCCGGCTGTTAGTGCGGGAGCTGGTGACGGGAAACCGCGAGAAAAAGAAGGACAAGGACAAGAACAAAAACAAGACCAAAAAGCCATCTCCCTCCCCACCCCCAACACCCCCGCCACTCCCTCCAACACCAACCCCCACAACAGCACCAACCATCCCAAACCCACCACCGCCACCAATATCTTCGGCTTCCGCACCTCCCCCCACGCCACCCGCGCCCGCGCCGCCGTCGCCAAACACGTGAGAGCCTTGACTGCGAGTGAGGATCTGTGTGCGATGAAGCGTGTGCCGCTTGCTAATGCTTGTGAAGGGAAGGGCAGGGCGAAGAGGAAGTCTGAGGTGGAGATGTTGGTGGAGGGGATGGGGGTGGGTGTGGGGAGGAGGTTAAGGGGGAAGTAGATAGGGTGGGATGGGATGGCATGGTAGTTGTAAGTATGTACATGTATAAAAATAAGGAGGAGTTGGGAAGGATCAGGATAACCCACACCACGGCGTTATAGTAGCACACAGCAGCCCCTTGTACATGTTATACCGTGTCTATAGGTGTAGTGTAGTCTGTGTACATACTTCTAATCACGAATATGACCTATATATGCGAGAAATACAAGGTGTAGTGATGTGAACTCCCAATTCAATATATCCATCATATCTGTTGTGCACATACAGATATCTCTGCAGCATGCACACTATTGTAGGATTACCTAGCAAGTTGATCTATACTACCTCACGCTACGCTCCTGTCTACTGCAAAAGAGGAGATATGAGACAGAGTGTGAAATAGGAGAACAGGGTATATACACGCAGTTGGGACATTGCCTTAAACAGTGCGGCAGAGGAGGACAACGAATCTAATATACATCTACCTACTCCATTTCAATTTTTTTTCCCAGGGTTTTAAATCTTACTAGCTACCCCTCCTTGCACCCCCTCTCTCCCCCTCTCTCGCGCCAACAAGTCGCAGATCCAAGATGTCGCTTTATCTGCCATCTGTGTTGAAAACGCATGGCCGACGCCATCAAAGACGATGTCTTCGAGGTGAATTTGCAGACTAGCGTCGTCGTGGAGGATCTGCTTGAAGAGGGATAAAAAGGGTTCGCCGGCGGCATAAGGGACGAGTTTATCGGCGCCGCCGCTGAGATTAAGAATGTGTTTGCCGTGTAAGCGGTCGTTTGCGATGCGCTTGAAGCGGTCGAGTGTGTGGGGAGAAGGCGGTCGTGTGTCTGGGGCGACGGGGTTGAAGGAGGTTGGGAGCAAGAGGCCTGCGGGATCGTACTGGGCGACTGCGTTTTGTAGGGCGGGGGGAAAGTCGGGGGAGCCGAGGAAGTGGGCGCCTGGGGGGTGGGATTGGATGTATGAGGGACGTTTGCTGAGGCGGGCGCGGTCGGCCATGAGGCGTGTGTAGTCTGGGCAGCCGATGCCGACGACGCCGGCGGTGATGCGGGGGTCGGAGAGGAGACAGTGCCAGGTTGCGTGGCCGCCGAGGCTGATGCCGAGGGCGAGGTGGGTGGTGATGGGTGGGGAGTCGGGGGTGTGTAGGATGTAGGATTCGAGGTGGTCAATGAGTTGGGAGACGTCTGTTGCGGTGCCGTGGTAGCAGGAAAACATGTCTTGGGCGTGGCGCGGGTTGCCGCTGCGCCAGGCTTCGTTGTGGAGTTTGTCGACGCAGCGGGTGCCGTGGTTGCGTTGGTCGAAGGCAACGGCTATGAGGCCTTTGGAGGAGGACTTGCGGGCGTTGTGGGTGGAGATGATTTGGTTGGCAAGGGGCGCCATGGTCTGGGCAGTTTGGAGACGCGGATGGAGAAGCCAGAGACAGGCGACCTCTTGGGTTGAAGGGGGAAGTTCGGAGAGCCCATGGACGGTGACGATGATTCCGGCGATGGTGAAGGTGGTGGCGGAGACGGTGGGGAAGGAGGAGGAGGAGTGTGTGTCCTCGAGGGGGTTGTTGGTTGCTGCCATTGTGGGTTGGGATTGTTACGTGTGAGAGTGGTGGTGTTGATGTCTGAGTTAGGGAGCCAGCGAGTTAGCCGAGTATGGTTGAAGATGGCTATGACTAGGTCTCGTGAATGTGATCTCGGTCGGTAATAACTGCGGAGTTACGGTAACTAAATTAGACTTCCCGAGGTTGACCTTGGTGGTTGGCTTGTAGGGCTGAAACGGACGACTGCCCCATGATGGCGATGTTACTATCATCTACTACCACGACTCACTGGTGAGCTGAAGAAACGAACAGATAAAAGGGCCCATTGGACAATCGGTCACGCGACGAGTGCATGAAGCAGCTGGGATAAATGGCGTGGAGGGCGTGGTGCATGCGGGGTGCAGTTGAGTGGTGGATGATGAGATGATTACATGGCTACTCTCAAGAAAACAAGGCGGTGTTCAGTCGGGATAGTACGGTCTTGTCATAGGCTTCGGTTTGTCTGGTTGTTTGGATGCACTGGATGCACTGTACTGTGTAAGCCCTTCATAACCATGTAGGCACCCGTCGTCGAGAGTGGATTGCGGAGGGTTCGGGGGTGAGGCGCGGGCGGTCAAGAAGGCGGAGTGAGCCAGGGGCGGCAAATGCTCCTCTAGTCAACTGTTCACGTGACCAGCGCGCGTCTGGGAAGCCTCATGGGAGATTAAATTTACCACAAGAGCCGCAAGGGCCAGTTCGAGACCTTTATTTCGATCAGCCAACGCCGCGTGTGCATGTGTTCTCATGGAAAACTTGATTTTGGTCCTGCTCTCTCTACTCTAATCTCCCCCCCCCCGTACCGGTACCCTATTTCTCCTGTTTCCAACTATATCTAGGCAGTCCATCCAGAATCTCTCCCGTGACGCGTGACGACAACAGCTATCCCAGCTATCCGCCATGGCCCTATAACGAAACCTCGCCTTTACCATCTATCTACACCTCTAACTTGGACATCTCCCCACCGCGAGCTTGAAGGACATCAGCCATCTCAAACACAGTGTGCGCCCAAACCGCCTGAGCTGCCACAGCTCGTTGGCACCCCCTCTTCTCCTCCCCCTAGGCATCTGTGGACTCGCATCTTGAAATTGATCATTGATTGTGGCTGAGACCACACCCACGCACCCTTCAGCATGTCGTCCCAGTCACGCAGCCCACGGTCCACTTCTCCAGCGGCTGGCACGGGCAAAGAAGACGGGCCACGGATGCTGTCGCCGCTGCGAGAGGGGCTGACTTCGCAAGAAGCAGCCGGGCAGATGCATCTTCCCTCTCCCTCAAATGGCGGCGCCCCCAAGATCATGCGCTCTGCCCCCACTGGGTCGCCCATGTCGGCCAAAGAGCCCAGCGAGTTCCCCTTCCACGCGCCCGCCACCATAGCCAATGGCACTGTCGGCCCCATTGCCACCATCGAGCCCCCTCCTGTCAGAGCGCCGAAGCCCTCGTCGCACACATCGAATGGCTCCACCGGGTCCTACTATCCCCCCTTTGCCCCTGTTTCCCGACAACCCACCGGCGACGGCGCCGGTGGAGGGGAATCGGACGTGCCACGCGAGCGCAAGAGCGTCCAGTTTGCCCGCCCAAACAACTACAACAATACGACGGACCCGCTGCCAGCAAGCTCACGCCAACAGTCATGGGAGGCTACCGAGGGCGAGACTGAAGGCAAAGGCAAAGAGAGGGAGCGAGAGAGGCAGGGCAGCTCGTCACTCATAGGCAAGCTGAGGGCGCTGGCATCGCCCATGCAGGGACATGGTCGGAGCCTGAGCGCCTTGACGGGAGCCTCCTTGGGGCCCGACACCTCCCCCCATGGCCAGCTCTCCCCAACCTCGGAGCGTGACGAACCTCGCTATGACGGCGCACACGACAGCGAAGCGGATGCAGACGGCGAGTCGAGTGCGGGCGAAGGGGGCTCACGCCTGCCCAGACGGCGCAAGAGGACCCGGCGCTGGTTTGATGGCGAAGGTGAGGGAACACAAACGGCCCCTACAACCCCAAAGCATACAGGCCCTTCCTTCTTCTCGCGCGACTCGCCCAGCGGCACGCCAACATCCTCACGGCCTGCCTTTTTGCGCCGTGGCACAATGGACAACATACCCGAAACCGACCGCCAGGGCTACTCGGAAGACGAGGGCCGCTCGCGCATAGCCAAGGAGAGTGCGTGGTCGCGAGGCCTGCACAGTGCCAGGGGGCTGTCGTATGGGGGTCTGCGCAGACACGATCCAAACGCTGAGGAAGAGACCGCAGAACATCGCCCGGGCCAGCGGCGTGCCATTACCGCTTTTAAGGGAGCGGCCGGCGAGACGCAGCCTTCTCCGTGGCGTATGCGCAGTGAGCGCACTTCTAGTTTGAGTGCGCAGAAATGGAAGTCGATCAAGAACAGCCTGAAGCTACTCGGCAACAGGGCCAAGGCAGAACGGCAAGTCGACCATGCAAAGTCGGCAGAGCTCATGGCCGAACTGCTGGCCGGAGCGCCTGCTGCTCTGTTCCTGGCCAGCATGTTCCAGCGCGATGAGCATGGTCACAAGCGCATACCCGTCCTTCTCGAGCAGCTCAAAGTCACCATCAGTGACCCCGACAAGTCCAAGGTGGACAAGAAGCAGGACAAGGATGGCGACCGACATACCGCTCTGCGCTTAGAGCTTGAGTATGGAAGTGGCATGACGCGCATGAAGTGGGTAGTCTACAGAACTGTCACCGACTTTGCAAACCTCCATCTCAAGTTCAAGATTCAAGAAAAGCAAGACTCCTTCCGAAACCGACCCTCGACTCGCGCCAAAGAGATCAAAGACAAGGCCAAGGATGGTGACAACGAAGAGGAAGACAAGGTGGATCCACGCACCAAGCTTCCGCGCTTCCCCAGAAGTGTCATGCCCTACCTCCGAGGTCTCCGTGGTTATGGTAGCTTGGAAGAGGAAGAGGAGGAGGAGGAGGAAGATCCTGCTGCTGCTAGCGGGCCCGACGGTGATGCCAGCGCCACCGATCGTCCTGGACGCTCCAGGCGCAACAAGTCATCCTCATTCCTCACACGCCGCAAGTCTAGTATAAGTGGGACGCAACCCCCCGGTACGCCTGGCCAATCTGCTGCAGCCCGTCAGGGTAGTGTCGGGGGCGCACCAGGGCCATTGCAAATCAAGCAGAACCACCACGAGCGACAAAGAAAGAAGCTCGAAGCCTACCTCCGAGGTCTCATGACCTATCTCATCTTCCGACCCGACAGCAACCGCCTGTGCAAGTTTCTGGAGCTCTCTGCTCTCGGTGTACGGCTCGCCGCAGAGGGAGGCTATCATGGCAAGGAAGGGTACATGATGATCAAGTCTTCAAAGGGCGTTGATAACCGTAAAGCTTGGGCCAAGATACCCAAGATGAATCGGCATTGGCCCAAGTGGTTTTTGGTCAGGCATAGCTATATCGTCTGCGTAGACTCACCGGAAGAGATGAACGTGTACGACGTCTTCTTAGTCGATGCAGACTTCAAATTGGAATCCAAGTCTGGCAGGATACGAGACAAAAAGGCCAGAGACATTGCCAGCGAAGCAAAAGCATCGGCAACAGGTCATCACCAGCTCAAGCTATCCAACTCTGAGCGCAAGATGAAGTTGCTGGCCAGGAACGACAAAATGTTGCAGCAGTTCGAGGAATCAATTTCATTCATGGCGCAGAACACGTTGTGGTCGCAGCGTCAACGATTCGACAGCTTCGCACCTGTTCGCAGGAAGATCTACGCGCAATGGCTTGTTGACGGACGCGACTACATGTGGAATGTCTCGCGGGCGATCAGCATGGCTCGGGATGTCATCTACATTCACGACTGGTGGCTCAGCCCTGAGCTGTACTTGCGTCGTCCAGCGGCTATCAGCCAAAAGTGGAGATTGGACAGACTGCTCCAGCGCAAGGCTCAGGAAGGTGTCAAGATCTTCGTCATCATGTACCGCAACATTGGTGCAGCCATCCCCATCGACTCGGAATACTCCAAGTTTTCGCTACTTGATCTGCATCCAAATGTCTTTGTCCAACGGTCACCGAATCAGATTCGTCAAAACACCTTCTTCTGGTCGCACCATGAAAAAATTTGTGTCATTGATCATACAGTGGCCTTTTGTGGCGGTGTTGATCTGTGCCTTGGTCGATGGGATACACCGCAGCATGCTGTAATGGACGACAAGCCAACAGGCTTTGAGCTCGACGACACGCCAAAGGATGCCGACCACTGTCAGTTGTGGCCTGGCAAGGATTACTCGAACCCTCGTGTTCAAGACTTCTTTGCGCTAGATAAGCCCTACGAAGAAATGTACGACCGCTCCAAGGTCCCCAGGATGCCTTGGCACGATATTGGAATGCAGATTGTTGGGCAGCCAGCTCGCGATCTCACGAGGCATTTTGTACAGCGATGGAACTATCTGCTTCGTCAACGGAAGCCGTCTCGACCGACTCCGTTCCTGCTTCCGCCACCAGACTTCAACCCAGCCGACATTGAGGCTCTCGGCCTTGATGGCACGTGCGAGGTCCAGATTTTGCGGTCAGCATGTGCTTGGTCGCTAGGAACGCCAAACAAGGTGGAGCACAGCATCATGAATGCCTATGTCCAGATGATTGCCACGTCTGAGCACTTTGTGTACATTGAAAACCAATTCTACATTAGCAGTAGTGAGGTTTTGGGTACAAAGATTGAAAACAAGATCAACGACGCTTTGGTGGATCGCATCAAACGTGCCCACGCCAATGACGAGGATTGGAGGGCTTGCATCATGCTTCCGCTCATGCCAGGCTACCAGAACACGGTCGATGAGCAAGAGGGTAGCAGCGTTCGGCTCATCATGACATGTCAGTATCACAGCATCTGTCGTGGCGAGTCCTCTATCTTTGGACGACTCCGTGCGGCTGGTATCGAGCCAGAAGACTACATCCAATTCTACGCACTGCGGTCGTGGGGTGAAATTGGGCCCAACAAGATGATCGTCACTGAGCAGTTGTACATCCATGCCAAGGTCATGATTGTAGACGACCGGGTGGCAATCATTGGTTCGGCCAACATTAACGAGCGCTCTATGCTGGGATCACGAGACTCTGAAATTGCGGCTGTTGTCCGTGACACTGAACTTCTCGACTCTTACATGGCCGGACAGCCATACAAGGTTGGCAAGTTCCCGCACACACTACGTATGCGTCTGATGCGCGAACATTTGGGCATCGATGTTGATAGCATTACCGAGGATGACCTCATCAGCCAATTGGCGTCTGATGCTGATAGTGTTGGCTTCCACACCGAGTCTTCTGGACCGAATTCACCCACGGCGCAACGTGCGACCGAGCAGAAGCTAGAGGAAAACAAGCATAAGATGCAGGACGAACTCATAGCACGTGCCGAGAAGCTTCATAGCTTCAATCATGACTTTGATTGGGCACAGGAGGAGAATCCTCATCTGCAGAATAGCAAGAAGCCATCTGGCGATGCTCGCGTGCAACACAACGAGAAGCATGAGAAGGATGTGCATGGCGAGGGTGTAGATCACATGCTAGAGCTTGAGAAGAATCGGCCTACGGTCGCTCATGCTCGCGACTCTTACATTGATGAACACGGCTACGAAAAACTTGTCACAGATGTCGCCGCAGAGAACACGCCTAAGAAGAGCTCGACGACTCGAACTCGTGGCCGTAGCGGCACAACTGGTACCCGCAACAGCGGTCTGAGCAACCAAACGGAAGGCTACGCCGGCCTTCCACCACCTCGTATGCCACGAATGGACACTACCAAACTTGGCCTCACACAACTCAGCCAACTCCCCGCCTTGCCTCTTCTCGACGACTCAGACATTGGCGGTCCGCCTCTGCAACGCACATTTAGCTATGCCTCTTCCTCCGTCATCAATCCTCTCCTCGCTGAAATGCGCCGTCCTGTTGTTACGGAAGACTGTATGCGCGACCCAATCAACGACTCCTTCTTTCTCGACACGTGGCATCAGGTTGCTGAGAACAACACGAAGCTGTTCCGTCAGGTCTTCCGTTGTATGCCCGACAATGATGTCCGCACGTGGAAAGAATACCAAGAATACGCTGCCTTTGCCGAACGGTTTGCCAAATATCAGGGCGGCGAGAAGAGCCAGCAACATCGTGCACAGGATGCAGCTGGTAAAACAGGACCGCCAGGGGCGAATACAGGACTCACCGATAAAATGGGGAATGTAGGAAAGACTGTCGGTGCACAGGCAACGGCTCTGGGCGACAAACTAAGTGATAAGTTGGGAAATCAGAATGAAAAGAGTGGTGGTGGTGCACAAGATTCCTCCCACCCGAACCATCACTCGCGCATCGGCGGCGTAGAACAGTGGGCTGAAGACCAAGACAAGCGCGTACAATCGCAGTCCCCGCCTCCACCACCTGGCTTCAGTAACGGCGGTCTCCACCTGGAAACCAACGCGTCGAATGAAAAACACGGCCTCGCACCCAACGAGCCAGCAGACGATGCCGTCGTCTCCCCAATGAACCCTTCCCCCATCGGCAAAACATTCACCTTCCCCGCCCCACCCCCCATTCCCACCGACCCAGACACCTCCACCACCACCACAAACACGAATCCACGCACCCGCAACGTCACCATCACCGAACCCATCCACCCCAACACCAACACCAACACGCCTCCCACCCGCACGAGCACCAAGCGCTCCCGCCGCCGCGCCACAACCAAGTCCAGCACCCGCCAGTTCCACGCCGCAGACGCGGACATTATGCTCGACAAGGAAGATGCGAAGAAGTTGCTCGAGTTGGTGCAGGGCCATTTGGTGGTTTGGCCGTATGATTGGCTGGAGAGTGAGGAGAGAGGGGGTGGCTGGCTGTATAACGTGGATCAGATTGCGCCGTTGGAGATTTAGTAAGTCTTTCGCTTTTTTTTCTTGTCCCTGTCTTTTCCCCCGGGCTCTTTAGGGAAGGGATGTGAGGGTGATGGAGTGAAGCTTTTTTTTGTGTATACATGGGCTAACAGATGGTGTAGTAATTGAACAGTTTGGGTTTCAAAATTTCTGCCGCGTCGTGTGCGTGATAATGGGTGCGGTGGCTTTGTGTCTCTGATTGTATTCCATTGCATTCAACACGCTCTGAGCACTTATACCATGATCTTCAACTTCGAATAATAAGGTTGGATCGCCAATGTTTCTCGGGCAAAATTGCCAGCCTAATTGGACCTTGTTTGTAGCATTGGATGCATTGGACTGGGACCTGCACTGGAAATTGCACTGGACTAATCTTGAAGGCACACCGCCACATAAAACCCAACACCTGCCGTATAAAACGCACCACGAGCAAACTCAGCAGGAGCACTTACCAGATCAATTCTGTCCTTTGGCACAACAGTAGCTACCATACTCTCCTTGTGTTATTTTCCTTTACCGTTGTAAATGTTTTCCCAGTTGGTGGATTTTTTCCAAACCTGCACACCTGCCTGCTTGCTGTTTTTTGTCCCATAGCCTGCCCATACTGTTTATCCATATCCCGCACTTTGCTCTTTCGTCGCATTAGTCTCGCCTGCTTTTTTCTTCATTTGTTTGGGTGTGCCGGTTTTGCATGGATATAGGTGTGAACTTGGTCTATCTTTATTGGGTCAGCGGTTTTACTTGCATTGCCTGCGGCTTTCTTTGGGTGGGTTGGTTGGCGGGTATGGTATATTTAGAGTGTGTTGTGGATTAGAATATAGTGTGGAATTAGTGGAATATGGCTTCTGTTACTGTATTGACTGTGCTGTGTCTGTGTTGGATTGTACATGCGATGGTTTGCCTCTTCCCGCTGTATCTAGGTGGTTTCTGGGCTCATGGTAGATGGGGAAGAAGGGGATGGTTGAGTGGACTGGGTAAGGGGTAATGGGGTCTGAGGAGGGGAAAGGGGATTTGGATTAGAGTGTGGTACTGTATTTTGTGCTTGTGATTGGGATTGAATGGATGAAGTGTGATCATGGTGATGTCTTTAGTACATACTTCTATTGGGCATTGGACTGAGGATATACTTGGCGCGTTAAGAGACAGAGCCAGTTGAAGGAGCGGTTACCAATGTGGTTGCACAAAAAAAGCTACTTGATGAACATCCAGTTACCATGCACTCAGAGACTTACCATACCGAGCCACTGTGTAATGTTTACAAGGCGCAGATTACATAAAATGTCTCCTATACGGTAATTATTTCCCTCTTGATTCGCTAAGCCGCAATCGCCGTGACATATCTCCATGTACCTTCTGGTCCAACAATCAGCTTGTAAACGGGGGTGCTTCCGTACCACTTCTTTGTTCCATAAGATGCTACAGTCCCTGCTGTTCGCTCAGCACATCAGTGTAGAACGTGATACTTTTGATCAACCCTGGATCATGGGACGGGCTAAGGGCTGGTGGGTTGGCAATGTTACATTGGTCAATCCAGTGGAATCCATCAAACCAACGAGTACAAGGTACAAGGAAGAAGAGAAAAGTCCCACCCAGGTTGCAAAATCACCACATGTCAGCTCAGTGTGTCGAACAGGGAATGAAGAACCTCAATTTTGTAACGCTACAACCTGAAAAAGCTCCGAAGCCTCTCCTGCATACCTCACCTCTTTCGACCATGTCCCAGTTACACGCCCTCGAGGTCCCGGGATTCTTACAACGTGCTACCGGTTCCTGGACTAGCATTGGCAGCCACATTGACCTGTTTCACAGCGCCGCTACCAGGCCAAGCGAGCGTGCAGGTGAGCACCACGCCACCCACGCCCCAGCCCAGCGCCATTGAGTAACAATGTCCCGGTCCTCGGTCAGCTGATGGAGACGTACCGCCTGGCCAGATATTGAAAGGCTGTCAGCGGCACACTCCCACAAAGGGCAAAGACATCACCGCCGTACACTTTTGCCATCACGATCATTGTTGTGAGTGGTTGCTGCTCCTCCCCCCCTGTTGCGTCGACTCTTACTGTACAGAGCAAGTTTTGGTCAGCCTGTAGCACGGTAGACGAAGCTGAATATCAGGTAAATGGGTTTACACACGAATGCGAAAATCGCATTGCAGAGCGTATTCGGAACGTCATCAATACGAATATGGCGACGCTAGATCATGGGTTTCTTTCCTGCTGTTTGGGGGGAGGGGCAAAGCGGTGCTGGGTAGATATAAAGTGGCAGTCCGTTGGGGATTGTCTACCATAACTTGTCAACTACCACTATTTACGACCATCGACCGAGTTCATGAACATTCATTTCCGCTTTCCAGTGGGCAAAACAACAGAAACACTACCCCAAATGTCAGCAACGACAACGAATTCCGTTTCTACTTCAACAGCGGGAGTCAGTGCCTGTGTTGGCTGCATCAAATGCGTGCAAAGCGCAGGCATAAGAACATGTCCAAAGTGTATGGGCCATCCCACCCAGTAAGTTTATCCTGGATATCTATCCTTTCAAAACCGGAAATCTCAATATCAGTGCTCTCTCACTGCAAGTATTCAATCATCTATGCTGAGACCTGATATACAGATATCGTACCGGTGAAAAATGCCTTTACTGCAATGGCCACGGCATAGTCGGCCGATCTGCATGTCCTGGAGAATCATGTCCGTAGAAGCATCTGGATAAGCATCTGCGGACTTCATTACTGCCATCATTCAGCGAACAGACATGAGGGCATTGTCTCATCAACACAAGCTGTGGTCCCAGGTACCGTGGTATCGGGACTACCGGTTCACGGTGCACAACACACTCGACTCTAAAGACCTTTCAACCACTTTCTCCCTACCAACAATGTTTTTTCTGCTACAAATACCACCAACATGATAACGCGGGACTTGGGATTGTAGATGAAAACCTCCCAAGCACTCAGTTCAAGTGTACGATCGCTCATACTCCTTGGTCCTAACAACATGAAATGTCTCCCCTTTTACTTCATCGATATAAGATACCTGCAATACTTATAACCAAATCATTCTAGCGCAATATATAATCAGCAATTTAAATCCCCACGCTGTCCTATTCACACCCAAAATCTCTACCACTCTCACGAAAAATATCTCCGTTGCCTATGTACCTCCCCCTCGTATACACACAAGTGCGTTCCCCTATCCCTCACATATAAATGCTTTCCAGCAGGGCACCTAGTTTACTGCCGCACCCGATGTACCGCCGCTCAAGCGCGCGTTTCCTTATCAAGTAGCACCGCAGCATTGTGGAAGGCCAGATAAGCATGATTTGTGGCTCGCGTTGGGATGAGGTCGTGGCTATGAGATGGTTCCTGGTTATAATTAGTAGATATAGTAGAGTTTTATTCTTCTTGATTATTGAATTATACTGCAACAGTTGAGAGTGCCGTTGTATTCATGACTTTAAAGACACGAGCATCGTAAGTGCACAATACCCCTACAAAACCATCACGCATGCTCATCAAAGCTCATGTACACTATCATGCCGTTTCCTTTCCATGGTCCTATTCGACCCTGCAATCCGCTTATTCTGCTCGGCGAGTAGATACTTTGTGACTTTAAACGTCGTGCCGTAATTGACTTGCAAAGCTTGATCTTCAGCGACATTATCCTGAATCACCAGGCGACTGATATCCTTCCAGATATCCTCTCCTGCGGCAGCATTGATCTGCAGAGCTTGGTGGCGTGCCGAGTTACGCAAGATTATACGCTCTGTTTTGATGGGCAACTCTTTTGAAGGAAATTCCGAGTCGTCGACAAGGGTTTCGTCGCCGCTGTCTTCGTCGCCGTCTTCTTCGGTCAGAGATTTCAGGTCGGCGCGAGTTAGGGGTATGGTTCCGTCGTCTGATGCTGTTAAAGGATGATCAAAATTTAACGGGTGTGTTGGCACTTACTTGACGGACGTCGGCCTTGAAGGAGCTTGGCGATGCGGAGGCCTTCACAGTTGCCTACTTTTTCTCGGAGGAAGAGATCAATGCGTTCAATGACTTCTGCATTGGCTACAAGCTGCTTCTTCTCCATAGTCTTGACGATGCCCACATTGGATATCTGAATGCGTAGCAGTAGAGTCGCCTTGACGTCTGACAACTCACTCATCACCACGCTGAGTTTCTCTTCGTCTGAGGATCCCTGCGTGAGCTGATGCGCAAACTGGTTCACCTTGCCCTTGGGTTTAGGATCGAGTTTGTTAAGCAACTCAGCGAGCTTGCTCTGGACATCTCTCAATCGGACCATTTCTGAACCAACACTCGGCGTTTGCAGTTCTTCTTCATCCTCAATGATTCCAATGAGGGTCTTTATACTTCTCAGTTCGCTCTCGTGACGCTCTAAAACGGAAACCAGAGCTTTCTGGCGTTTGTGTGCGCTGCGGATGCGGTCGAGTATGCGAAAGGCTTGCTCCACCAGTTGAGTGGTCGCTTGGACAGCAGCTAGGAACACGAGAACTTCAGCCTATCGTGCTGGGTCAGTCTATAATACAGGTACGAGATCAGCATATGTACCATGTTTCAAGGTTTGAGGAGGTGAAATGATAATTGTGGATTGGATTGCATTCAGCAACCTGCTGGTTTGGAGCGATGGCAGTTTTTATCTCGAAGATGAACCCTCCCCAACGCCCTCAGCGGGGCGCAGTGCTGGAGGTGCGGCAGAAGAGTTCGCAGCTGTCCGGTGAGCAGCTCGCAGCTTGCATGCATCATTAGATGATTGTGACCAGTGATGTGTTGTCGCAAAAGAGCCTGCAGCAATTGGCGCATATCAGCAGAGGGTGCATGTTCGCATGGTGGTGACCAATGACGATGACCTCTAAATTGGCCAACATGGCTCACAGCTGAGCCGATTGACCACTTGTGCATTGAACCCCCTCAAAGGTGTGCGCTTCCATAGACACTCCTACGCAAACGAAAACGCCACCTTCGGCCTGCTCCCTCACTCAGTCGGCTACAGAGCGTATACACTGTGAGCCGAAAAGCACATCGAACGGGCACCGACGGGCGATGTAAAACCGGTGTGTGACGCGCTTGCTGCTGTTTTCCGCGGAACAGGCGAGATCGACGTAGGTTGTAGTGGATGAAACCGTCGTCTCACCCAAGATGAGAGACTTCGCAGTTGCGGAATGACCGTCAATCTCCATTTTCAGACGTCGGACTATCCTACGTGCGATGAAATTCTCAGGGATGGAAGGTCGAAAAATCGCCCGAACAACTTCACGGTTATTGCTGAGCTTGGGGTAGAGGACTATATTCTTTGTCGGTATCGTTCCCATCTTCAGATTGCTAGCCTGGCAGGGTTAACTCGAGTCTTGGATCTTCGAGGTTCAAGCAATCGTACAGGTAAGCCTTCTTTAGTACGGTCAAGCCTCTTGTAAGTTTTATCCACGTTAGACTTCTGTGACTTGCAACTGGGTGAATGTGCTGATTCCAGTCTCGACGAAGCAACATCTGTGGCAGATCTGATGGGATAGATGATGAATACATTCTCTCTGGGCCAGGTCAGACATGGGTACAGTGCAAAACGTGAAAGAAGCGATCTTACACATGGACATTCCACATTTGATCGACTGCGTCTCCATTGATCTGAAGAGCATTGCCGCTGGCGAGATTCTTGCTTATGATGATTTCTTTGGACGTGACTTTCTTCTTCGACAAAGGGCGATCAGATGGGCTCGTAGAAGACATTGGAGACTCGGGTCGTGGGGAATATCTGATGTTCATTCTCTTAATGAGGCAGTTTGCAAGTATTTGTTGTAGCCTACCTACGATGAAAGGCTTGGGGACTGTAGAAGGACAGCACACACCGTGTAGGCTAGACTGAGAATGCATTGAAAGCCGACACCCTGGTGATGTGGCTGCGCCAGATGCGCTACGAGGGGTACCGGTAGAAGGACAATGGTCAGGTATCGAGTTGCTTTCATGACTGGCTGTGGGATGTGAGCTGTCACATGACGTCTCGATGAGCGCCACTTGCCGGACCGGTCACCTCGAAACGGACAGTTGTGCGCCTTGGTAGTATGCGTGTGCCTTACACATAGCCCCCACCGGTTTCTGCCTGGTCTCCAACCGTCAAGGATCCATGAATCCAAGGTTGTCTGCACGCACCGCGCCTCGAGAATCGAAGGGTCTTCACATTCACACCGCAAACATGCGCATCGAGAAACCCCACCCGGACTAGCGCATCCCTCCGCGGCGACCTGCTTGTTCTACGTAGAGCAGGCCCACATCTACGGCCGCCTGCTTCGAACGTGCATTATGAACGGACACGTAGGTGCGCGCATGACTGTACGAGAATTCATGTCACGATACCCGGACAAAGCGTTTGACTATCTCGTGAGGCACTTCGAGGACGACCCAAGAGTCCAGGCGGAAATCAATGGCTATCTAACTCACCCCGAAAGTGGACAGTCTCAGAGTTATGAGCTCTCGCGCAATCAGAAAGGATCTTATTCGACGTCGCCCGTTGATTCTCATCACCACGGTATGCCTCCCGTACGCCAGAAGCCCTTGCATCGCCCTTCATTCGGGACATCGCAGCCACCGTATAACAATCCCATCAGTCCTCCAGCTTCGGCATCTCAAGCTTCACGTACCTCTTCGAAAGGTGAATCTACTCCACGACTATGGATTAATCTTGTGACCGATACCGAGAATGGTGTCAAAGAGGAGACCGTTCGCGTAAGGCATGCACCGATACCGTATAGCGTGATCCGAATGGCTGTGATCGAGAGGCTGGATCTCACTGATAGACTTGCTGGAATAGATACATTGGAAGTGCCCATATCCAGGTCTGCGGCTCCTGGCGTCTATACAGAAGTACCTGTATCATATTCCATTGAGCTGACTTGGTTACGGTCTGGCGCTGATATGACACACAAAACCACTTTTCACGTCGTTGTTAGCAACTTGCTAGACATAGATGTACTTTTGGGTGAAGGGGAAACCGGTGAATATTCTTCAGGTGAGTACACGGCCCCTTGTAGAAGTCATGTCAGATCATGTAATTAACAGACTATTGCGCTGTACCCAGGAAGTCAACCAAATAATCTTCCGCAAACATCGCGCGACTTTAGCCATGTTTCCAGAGGGAGCTCAGGTAATATACCAGGATATGCACAAACACCACCTGTACCATCTTGGCATCGCTCGGCCACATGCACGACAACCGACGACTCTAGCACGACAACTGTTCAACATCAGCCATCCCAACATTATCAACAACCCCCACCCTTCTTACAACCAATTTTCAACCAGTACAAATCTCCGCAGCACTCAAGTCCCATCATCAAGCATCCTCCGCGTCCAACAACACAAATCGATACTTCAAGGTCTGCCCAAACTCCCGCTGTTCTTGCAGCTTCGACACACCAGACCAGTGATCCCAACGCTCCCATCAGCAGAATCAGACTCTTCCTCGAATGGGGCAGAACGCCCATCTTGCTCTGGCTAGACCTCTGTGCATCTGGCGACGCTTTCTTCCAAGCTTTCCAAAAGCTTGCTCTGCAAAGAAAACGCACGTTGGACCGCGCCGAAACAGTATTATATCTGCGGCAAAACAAGGATGGCGTGGATGACGAGGAGTATCCGCTTTCTCTCGACGAGGAAGAATTGGATGCTGATTGGGGATCAACAGTGGCCTGGCTGATGGAGAACAGAAGAGATAAGCCACCGCACATACATGGGCGCGTCGAGGTTGGCGAAGGGTAGCGGGGTGTTTGCCTGAGTTTTCAGCATCACATCTTTTCGGCACAACTTTCACATAACCGTGAAGCTGCCACTAGGCCACTCAGATGTGCCATCCGTCTCTCGTGCACGGATCACCTACACCAGGCTCCAAATTCACCGTGATGGCCTCAAGTAGCGGACCCAACTGTACATATACCTTGGCCAACCCGCCATGGCTCCTTCTATTCAGTATCTCCTCAGTAAGCCATATGTCAACCACGCCACCCAAACCATGTCCAGACAAACCAAGCCACACGCCAGCAAGAATGCCCAAGGCCTCCACAGCCAAGGTCACTCACGCGGCACAGCCAACACCCCATACGCCAGCAGAGTCACCAGCATCCAAGGCCTAAACACCAAGAGGACAACAACAAACACCACAACTTCCAAACACCACCCCAAACTCAAACAACACAACTACCTCCGCTACAGCCAATCCCTCCGCATCTTCCACTATGCCTCATCTTACCTCCCTCTTCCCCTCTTCCAAAGCCTTCTCTCCCGCCCATCACACGGCTACATAACCACGCTCCTGAGCCGTGACCCTTTACACTCCAACCCCATTCCCACAGGCGACGAAACACCTCCCGGCTGCACAGAAGTCGTGTATATGGCCTCTGTATTCCATAACGGCGGGTCAGCACTAGGATTCCGCACGGGGGCTGCAAGTGGAGGCGCCGGCGCGGATAGGGTGGAGTGGTTGTGTTTTGAGCGCAAAGTGGACGAGAGGATATTGAGCGGGTTGCGGATCAAGTGCGGGAGGAGGGGAAAAGTGAATTCCGGGCTGCTATTTGATTGCGTGGCGGTTGTGGAGAAGGGGAGGGGCTGCGGGCTGCGGGCTCGAGGCGAGCATTGGGCGTGGTGGGATGCTTTGAGCGGGGCGGGGCATCCGAGGTGGAGGGTTAGGTTGGGGTGGAGGGGGTTTGGGACGGAGGTTGCGACGTATTGGGCGTATAAGGTGGCTCAGGCTCAGGCGTTTGCGATGTGGGAGGAGATGGAGAGGGAAGTGGAAGAGGACATTAAGCAAGAAGAAGTGCAATATGTATCTGTCGATGAAGATCAGGAGGGGTGGCAGGATATGGAAGTAGACGATGATGCTTCAGAGCTGATGGGTGATATCGACACGGAGGAGAGTAATCATGTCGTACCCAGAGTCGCTGTACTTGCTACCCCGGAGCAGAGTGTAGATGCTAGGAGTGGGAATACCACGCCCCCAGCTCAAGATCGCGATGATGCTTAGGGGGCCAACAGTAAGTTGACTAAGATAGTGCGGTAGAGCTTCAACTTGCCCTTTTGACACAGCTGAGCCCGTGCATAATGGCCGACCTCTTTTCACAGCTTCGTAGAACCAAGCATGATTATGTGCCAGACGGGAGTTCGCACCTGAGACGTAAGCTTATAACCGGCATTAACGGGACTCATATGTGTAGATAGTCGTAAATGGAATATTATGTTATATACAATTATACACAATATATAACAGCAGGCGGAAAAGCGCCGCATTTCATATCTCAGAGCTAGAAGTAAGCGCAGTTCATAAAAGGATCCATCTAATCCTTAAGACCAATTTCCACCGCTGTCAGGATAAATTCCATGAACCCAGCATTCGTATCAATAATATTCTGAATATACTCCTCGCTCGTGGGGTAAAAGTTTGTGGAATATCCAAATTCGAGCGTGTAGCCGTAGACCTTGTTGACGTTCTTGTTGGTGTGCCACCTGCTGAATGCATAGTCGTCGGTTGCACCAGACGTGGGATACAACCCGACCGCTTGCTGGGGTACATAAGATCGTCCGCCGACAGAGACCATTGCGTTTGTTGTGCGGTTGGCTTGGAGGCGGATGTTGTCCCAGTCGGCTTGGTCGATGTACTCTTTGTACACGTCGTCGTTGACAATGCCGCGCTTGCCGTCGAAAGCGGGATTGTTGAGGTTTTGCTTGGGATCGTGGGACTGATTGTCATCGTCGCCCCATGAGTAGAGGAGGGTTCCAGCTGCAGAGTGGACATCCATGTACCACCTGATATTGGGGAATTGGTCGTAGACGGAAGCTACGTTCTTGCTCTCAGGCTCTGAGAAGGGCGCGGTGCCGTAGAAGGCCTGGGAGGAGGCATTTGTGGAAGCGGGAGCAACGCTTGGGTCAAAGTGCTTGGGGAAGTCCCACAAGAAGTCAAAGTTGCGGTTGAGATCCACACCGACACTGAGAGGATTGTTGGGCGTGGAGCTGGCTGGGTTGCGGTTCTTGCGCCACAGATTGCTATTGGCTTGGTCGTGGCGAACACCGTCGGGGTTGGTCATGGGGAGGAAGACGATTCCAGCGCTGAGAGCAGTCTTGACGTCTTTGTTGGAGAATGTCTTGTTGCCGTATGTAAGGCCCTTGCGGTGTTTATTGGCATAGAGGAGATCAGAAATGAAGTAGATGAGGTTGTCGGGACCACCTCGTTCTCTGGCATGAATACCACTGATGAAGTAAATGTACTGCTTGTCCTTCTTCATCTTTTCCGCCTTGTTGGCAACGCCACCAATGACCGTGGCATTCTCGTAAGTCTTGTGAGGCGCAGTGAATAGGGGCATTCCATACTCTTTCTCAAGACCTTTCATTGCCGTGTACACCTCATCAGCGTTGAGAATGCCAGCGCTCTGAATCGCAGCATATTCGCTAGAGTTTCTGGAGCCCAAGCCTCGGGGTGCGACCTCTCCGCCCTTGAAGCGATCACCTTTTCCGATTGGTGCGGTGGCAGTCTGACGCTTGTTCAAGTTGTGCAGGGTCTCTATACGTACGACCTCAGGATCCAAGTTCCTCTTGAAGTGGTCGTAGCGGTCTTCTGAAATGACCGCATGGAGCTTATGCTCTCCTCTGGCGGCCAGGACGACAGGACGGCAGCCATAGTCGACTTCGCTGTTGGCCGAGATGAAGTCGTACAGTTGGTTCTTCTCCTTGGCATAAAAGGCGACACTCAGAACATCCGAAGCAATCGCAGTTCCGGCGAGTCCAAGAAGTGTAGAGACCTTCATGATGAGGTGTAGTCGAGGGGTCGGGAAGAAGGTGAGAAGCAAGTCGTGACAGTGGCAGGCTTGACTTGACCCTTGTTATATATGCCAATGATTCAAGCCGGTACGTACTACCAGCTGCACTTGTGCCTGTAGAAGATCCCAATCGAAAAATGGAGCTAACATCGATGAGGAAGCTCGTTTCCCTACCAAGACACCAAACATCTTGGCCCGCTTCCCACTGTCGGTTGCGATAACAAAATGTTGGGTTTTGCAGCCGGGCAGTATGAAAGTAACGCTTCCATGCTGATTGAAGGATCCGGAATCCTGGTCTCTGGTCATGGCAGACATGGAGACGTGCTTTGGCGAGCGAAGTTCATGAACCATGACATGCTCCCCGAGTTTAGCGTGGCCCGCCACACGGGTGATAGCTAACTCTAGCGCTACAGTATGATTGCAGCAATCATAAACAGAGTCTAGATGCACTGTCGACTTCAGAGAGGTTTTAACCTAACGCATTTGGCAGTTGGGAAGCCGCGAAACTTTGATGTTCTTTGTATGGGACGCGTTCGTGGGTGGTGAGAAAACGCTGGTAGACCTAGCTAGAGAGGATGAGTTTCACAGGCTGAAATATGACCCAGCGTAACACAGAGCGAATGATCTGCACCATGTAAATTGTGGACTGTGTACCGTATGGTTAGTGCTACATGCATACTACAGCATTTGGAGTCTAGACAAACCTGTAGTTTGAGGTCATACTAGTCTTTTATATACAGCAGCAAAATTAGTGCAGTACTTTGATCTTCCCCAGCTTCTGTCAATGTTTCCTATCGTCTATCGTAGGCATTGGCTAAGACTATCGGAAATGTCCCATCCTCTCACAAGACGGAGCAAGAAGGCGGCAGAGTCGGACCATGAGATCGGATCCGAACGACGCCGTGAACAAGCTAGGCAGTGTTAGGACTAGACAAGAAATGATTGATTCGACCTCCACGCCGAGACAACCACAACGCGACACATGCATGTCACGACCACCGCGGCGGTCGCCATGAAGCCGCCTTGATTGCAAACAACGCCGTCCAGGCACAAACTTCACTACAATGGACTATGCCTCCGTGCCACCAGAGATACCCCAGATAACTGTTCTTCTCCTAGGCGATGCCGATGTTGGAAAGTCCATGTTCTTATCGTATGTCAACTATCCCTCCCCTACCTTTAAACCACCCACCAAACCCATCCCATTGCCCTCTATACCTACTCCTCGAGACACCACACAAAAACACAGATACAAAGACACGCATAATAACCCAACCAGCCGCCTATCCCTAGGCATTTCCCCACGCCAGCCTCCATCCCCCAACACACCCCTCACATCCGAGGCCCCACCCCCCTACACCCTCCCCACCCTCCACGACTCCTCCCAACCCTTCGCCTTCGACATCACCCTCTACGGCCGCCCCTACCGCCTCCACTTCTACGACACCGCCTCCCCAACCTCATACATCCTCTTGCGCCCCGACTTCGTCATCCTCTGCTACTCCATCGCCTCGCGCCCCTCGCTCCACAGCCTGAGCACCCGCTGGCTCCCCGTCGTAAACGAGCACTTCAACTACGATGAGAACCTGCCGGTCATGGTGTTGGGCCTGAAGCGGGATTTGCGCCGTCAGTGGACCGCGGATGAGGTTTGCGCTGGGGAGGAGGATCGGCGCGCGGATCTGGGGCAGGGTGTGGGTAGGGGTGTGGGTAGGAAAGAAGGGAGGGGGATGGGTAAGGGCCCGAGTGTGATGCCGCATGAGGGATTGCAGGCTGCGCAGCAGATGCTGTGTGATCATTATGCAGAGTGTAGTGCGCTTACAGGGGAGTTGTGTAGAGAGGTTTTGGAGGATGTGGCGAGGACGTGTGCGAAGACTACGACGGAGAAGGGGGCGAAGAGTGCGGGGATGGAGTGTCTTGTCATGTAGGCTTGTTGTACTCATCACGCATCATCCGTCGTGTTGCAATGAATGAAATGTTGGTTCTGTGATGCGTGAAAACGCTGATCAAGGTATACCGTATATGTACTAACCAACAACAAATCTCCTACATCTATAGAACACAACCTCCCCAATTTCAACCCCTACTACCATGCTAAACCTGACCCTCCTTCCCTGTGCATGGTAAACGAATACCAGTAAACGGGCACAAAGAGATTGCACAAAGACAGATTACAATATCTTGTGACACAATCTACGCACCCTGCAAACCCCAACTCCGCCCTTCCCCAATTCTAACCAAGCCACTGTAACTATGAATATAATACACAATCCC